ATGTAAAATTCTCCTATTTATTATTTAGTAGATTAGTACTGAGTGTTTAAGTAGATGTGTTTGCCTGTATCAAACAGTTCAAGTATGTAAATATTTTCATTGCAAGCATGAAAGAGGTACATCTGCAAATATTGGTTATTGTTCACATAGATTGTGCACATAGGGAAGATGATCTACAAAGATTTTTGGTCCAGAGAAGTAACTACAGTCCTATACCACATGAAAGAAAATGATCTTCTGGCATTATATCTAGAAAAAGTCCGAAGTGCCTGAATTTAACCTTATGTTCCTTGTCAGGAAGCCAGAATTTACAAATTCCAGAACACTTCTTGCAGGTAGGTTTCTGAAACCTGACTTCATGTACTAGAGTCAATATTTGTTTCAAAGTCCAAAGACCACCTGTACTGTAAACATCTGTGAAACACTGCAGCAAAAACTCTTGGGTAATAGCTGTTTAAATGCATCTGTCTGTTTCCTAAGGTACTGAGGAAATCCTAATGGTTTACATATATACACTAATTATGTCACAAGACATGGGAAAGCAGAAGATTGTACAGATCCCAAGCTGATGGAAGACAGCTGAGGTTCCGTAGCCAAATTGTTTTTGAGATGCACATCTATGGCTGTAATAGGGTTTAGTCTGGGCAGGTGATCAGAGCTGTCACTAACAACAAGGAGTCCTAAGGAACTGTGGCTGTGTGTATCTGATGTGTGGTCAGACCCCACGTGAGTGAAATTAAGTGTTATGCTTTGTTACATTTCAGATGATAATCTTTCCCTAGCCAAACAACTGACCATAGCAACTGGAGAAAACATCCAGTGAAAATATATAGATGGCTTTTTGTAAGGTCAGAGGGAGACCATTTCTAATCGAAGACTTTTCCATACCTGTCTGAGGCATAACTTTAATAACGAATGGGTTAATTCATTAAATTTACTATAATAGATTATAAGCACACTCCTAAATCTGTAGGTTGTACATTGCTACATTTGCAAACTGAAAAACTTTTAGCTGTGTGAGGTGAATATGGAACAGGGCTCTATTCTTTTTCTTCTACCCTCTCAGCACAATTATGAAGAACACAGAATTTGTCTTCACATTAGGATGTAACACAAACAAATGGTTGTGCGTTGCTCTGTAGAGCTTATACCTTAAAGAGGAATACTGTCAAAGACTAAGGGCAGAACTAGTTATATACCAATATGGTTTAATGCTGTTTAAATGAACCAATAGAAACCAATCAGTGAATGGAAAACTTTAACTAATCTTGCTATTTTTTTCACTATTTCTGGTACAACAGTGCTTATTTATGAAGACTGATTAGGAAACAGACTTTTTAATTTATCATTATCTTAGTGTTGAGACATGAACAGATAGGACTTTTATTAAGTGAATAAACAGAAAATTAAGTTGCATTCACTTCTACTTAATGTTCCAGGTCTAAGGAACAAATGCACCCAATGAAATTAATACCAGCGTATAGCTGATTTTAATTAAATCAGAATTTAGCTCCCAGTATAGCTTTAATTATTTCCTAAGAAGCAAATTAAAAGTTGCCATTCATGTATAAAGCCCTGGCACATGTTACTTTATGACATGGCCATGAGCAACCTGTTCAAGTTGGTCCTGCTTTAAGCAGAGGGTTGGACTTGAGACTGTCCAGCCTCAAATATTCTGTGATTCAGGGATATGTTAGAATAGAGAATTTGAGGTCAAACAGATACAAAGAAGACAAGCATATGGGAGAGAAGCAAAATTAATTATTTTCTTTGATATTAGTAATGGAAGAACCTGGAAAGACTTCTTAGGGAGCAGAAGGGAAGGCATATGGGAGATACAGCAGAGGATTTCTCTAAAGCTGAAGTAACTGTGGAATGAGTTACATAGAATGCACATCAATATATTACTCTGGCTGAAATTGGTATTCATTCAAAAAGTCATAAAAACCCTCCAGAATGGAAGAGCTGAATTGCTTATGGTCTTGTGCAGGGGTTGCAGGAGGTCCCATACTCCCATCCTGAGAAGGTGAAAGGTGATATGAAAGAATAAATGCTGGTGATGAGCACCCATCTCAGGGCACATACTACCTTCTTTCCTTCTACAATCACAGCTCTTTTTTTCTGCTCCACAGTATGTGTTTTACCTGAATGTTTATGGGCCAGTGAAATTCTACACCTGCACATCTAAGAGGCCTTGAGCCACTCTCAGGTAACAATAGATAGAGGTGAGAGTTTTGGAGCAGGTGGGAAGCAGGTCTTGAGTTCCCGATGTTCAAACTCTTTTGCTCTTGTCATTCTTCGTGCAAAGGAAATAAACACAACTTGAAAAATCTTCCTTATGTTAACTTCAAAACTGAAACAAAACATCTACCTCCTCTAAACCAAAATGTACAGGCTAAGACAAGGCTTTTCATCAACAAACTGAAAAACCCTCAAAGACATTCCCATGAAGCTGGCATAATTTTCAATAGGAAAAAAGATGGACTGCAGTAACTCCTTGAAAACACATTATTTGTATTATACGAAGTACTAATAGTAAACAGTACAAATGAAACTAATGTTAAAGTTGTTTTTGTAAGCACTTGCAAAATTGTTTTCTTTCCACAAGCATTACTTAGGGGTAAATTCCTTTCATGAAGTGAGAATAGAATAGCGAAATAAGAAACTTAGACTGCTAGACTGTGAAACAGTTAACTTTGGTAAATAATGTCTTATCTGAAGATAAAGATGAGAGAACAAAACAGAATTTTTTAGGAAAACACTTTGACATTATTTGTGTGCATGAAGTATTTCTGTATAATGCTAAACTTAAGCATGTTTGGGGTCTTTAATAATAGTGCAATTGTATCTTTGAGTTACTGTGAAGTGTGTGCTCTCTACAGATCAAGTCATTGTCCTCAACATTTGAAAGCTGTAATGAGAGAGACAAATTACATAGCTTAAGAAATGGTTTTCCCTTGACCGATTCTAGTAATGTGGAATTTCTTCAGAGCTCTTGATACAATTTACTCCTCACTAAAAAGAAGCTACCTAAGAGTTACCATGATGGCAAAACAGTAGGAGTGGAGTGTAAACCTGTACTGCTTCCAGGGAAAACATGATTCTTCTGTAGCTGAAGTGAGGATAATCAAATCTTAAAGAAACCTACTTTCTTCCTTCCCCTTCTGCTGTGATAGTGTTTTATCTGTAATCTATTGGCTCAAACCTGTTTTTTCATTTCTACAAGCATAATTCGTCCACATAGACTCCATATTCAGCGATTTATAACCTAAAAGGGACATCAGTAGTGACAGATAGGGAGGTGGAAAGGAGTAAGTAAAAGGAAGAAACCAAGAAGGAAGGGAAATCTGTGTTAACCAAATGGATATAAGCAAGAAAAAATGAGGGAAAGGGACAAAAGCAAATACGGGCAGAAAAAGAGAAAAGGAGAAGTTAAATGATCTGATGAGAACGTCATGAGGTCTAGGGCCAAGGCAATTATCAATCCTATCTGTCTAGACAATCAGCAGCACCAATAGCCATCATTGATAAAATTTTTTTGTCAGTTTTATCTTGTTCATTACTTTCAAGGTTTCCTCAGGACTCCAGTAAACCCATGCCTTCTGGCAGGTGTTAAGTGTTTGTTATATGAACTAGAAGAGGGATTGTTTTGCAGGACTGCTGTGAGTAAAAGTAGCAAAATCATGGGATGATTCCAAATAAGAAGACTCTTTTAGTTAACAGAAAGATTCATGTTGCTATTCCAGTGGTTCCAATTGACATTATACTCGATATGGAGCAATATGGAAGGGCAGTGTTGTTTTCACATCATTATTTTCCTGTCTTTAGCCTCATTTCAAAGCGCAGGAGTCATATTGATTTAGATTTTACCATTGGGTATCTTCTGAGTAAAGGTCATAGAATGTGGTCAAAACATAATACAGTGCAATGGACAATATGTGAACCATAAAGAGATTTGCAGAGAAACTTTATTAGGGCTCAGTCTACAAAGCTGTTGATTATGGCAAGAAATTTAGTAGAAAATTTGGAAACCTTTTACATGGAGTGATGAGTCATTATCAATAAAATGGAATAGGGAAAAATGCTGATATCAATCATTCTTTTATCATCTTTTTTTTTTTTCTTTTTCATAGGCAGAAGTGCTGTGCCAAAAAGACATGATGGTAGAGCACTATCTTACCTTTTTACAAATATTTAAAACGTCACATTGTCTGGGAAGAGAAGCCAAATTAAACATTACCTAACCCTACAGTGCTTTAGCATTGGTCACAGATGTCCTAGAAGAGAACATGCTGAGGTGCTTCATGGCCATAAAGTAAATGTGTTCCTCTTGATAGTAAAACCACAGCCGGAAGAAGTTCAAAATGGAGTTTGAAGTTAATACACAAGTTAATGTGAAATGCAGCTGTGCAACATTGCTAGAATACTAGTACCAGAGAGGATGTTTCAATGAAGGGGTGACCTCCAAAGGTCTCAAGGACCAATGCATTTAACTAGACAGAAGTGAGTCCAGAAAGAGGAACTGTAAAAGCAAAATAAACAGTGGTCCTGCAAATTCATTCCTTGTATATGTCAAATTACTTGTGCTCTTCATCATTTTAGGAGCTTGTGGGGTTTTTTATTTTTATATGTGATAAGAGAGGCCTGCTTCTGCATTCTGCTTGAGTGTTACCTTCAAAACATGAATGCTGATTCCCAAACTACAGTTTCTTTCCTTAAGTGGCATTGAAAAACCAAGGAAGAGCAAAACCAGAAGCAAGAGAGAGTGGAACTCACAGACTGACAATATTTGATCTTGTCTGCCTTTACTGGATGATTGCTTCTTTCTAAGAAACTTTTTGTGTACAAAAAGGGTTTTTGTTAGTGTTGTTTCATCCATTTGCATTGTCTTTTGGTGCTTCCATAAGAAAAAAAAAAACAAAACAACAAAACATTTGTATTTAAGAATGAATGTTTATCACTTCAAAAGGCAATATAGTCTTTGAATGTTACCCATTAACTAGGGTTAATATAGTTAGTTATTCTTTTTCTGGGTGTGTTAATGCGTAATTTATTCAGGCTGGGATAGTATCTTCATGTCAGTGAAGTGATGACAGTTTACTGAAGGGAAAGCTGTCCCTCATAATGTGTATCTGATGTGTGCGTTGTCCATGTTTTTAAGTGCAACCAGTGCTCATCATTCCATGAGTCAAATTGTCTACAATGGAAAACCAAGAAAAAATATTTGAAATGAACGATTTCATGTCAATGATAATTAGAGAGGGGCCAATGCTGCAGCAGATTACTGGTGAACATTCACAGGCACTGGTTATTGTTTTCAGGAATGTAGGCAGAAAGTGAAAATTCTAATGAATTCTTACATAACTATGTAACAATGCAGAAATTTGAATCCAAGGAAACACATAAAGGGATTTTTGAAAATAATCAAGTTTACTTAGTTTGAAGTAAACTAAGTAGGTTTTTAAACTGAAGAGCGATAAGGGTTTCATTGCTGTCAAAATGGCAAAGGCTGTGGAACACATTGCAATCCAAGTACCAGGTACACTTTGAATGATTAAGACAGTATGATTCAGAGTGCATTGAAGTAAAGAGAAATTTTTATTTTGATAGACCTGTGCTTTGGTCTGAAATTGAGATTATAATGGTTCTTCTAAAAGAATTAAGGGTAATTACACTTATTTATAATGGTGCACTAGTGCTGGGCATTTTGTGGATCTGCCTCATGGTTATGTTTACTTGTTTGTTATATAGTAACTTAAAGACACAAATACCCACAAAATGCCATCTGTCTTCATACCTGGCATACCATCAGCATATTCCAGACACGAGCCATCTGACAAGTAATTTTCCATAGCAGAACTGATCACTGAGTGCTCAGATGTGGCAGTTACTATATTTCTAAGGGTGATGGAATATAGTATGAGAATATGATATAAAAATATAATTGAGATGGATCTGGATTAATAGAGGATGGGAAAAGAAAAACAAAGGCTGAAGGGAGAGGTCTGCGTAAATGAGAAGCAGCCGACGTGCTAGATCTTATCAGATGTTTTGTCTCTCAAATGTGCATGAAGAATGAATGAAAATGAAAAAGAAATATTTAAGGAGAGAATTCTACTTTTCTAGAGCTGTAAAAGTAAAAAGAAAATATTTACGTGACACAGAGCAAACTTCTTCCAGTCTTTTGTTAGGAAAGACATGTATTTACAGAGTTTGTATCTATCCTGTAAAACCTCAACACACAGCTGGAAGCACAACATAGATCCCAGAATTAGGGGAGAGACAAACTGAAGAAGCAGCTGCCCCGAGCTGTCACTAGTACTCCTGCCTTACTTTGTACTTGGTTGAATTGCTAAGATAACCAATCTTGCACAGGTTGAATCCAGAAAGTTTCCAAGAACTGAGTTAATTAGTGAAATATCCTAAAGTTAACTAACTCCCCTGCCAAGAAATGGGCTCTTCCATTTTCCTCACATGATTATCTAGGCACTTTCACTTTTCCATATATAGGAGCAGCTCAGGGACTGACAGATCAAGCTAGGTAGGGATACAGACTTCAGGCACATGCGTTCTCCTTGTGTGCATGCACAGATGCAAGTGTATGCTGCTTTCACACACTGAAATTCAAGTCAGCGAAAGAGGTGACAAGTGAAGACAGTGATAGTCTTGCTGATAAAGAACCTTCTCCTTAAAGAGAAGGCACTAAAGGTAGAACTCTTCAACCACTGTTTGTAGTAATTCATCAGGAAAAGCATCACAACCATGAATGGACCAGTGGATGGTTTATGTGATTACACGCTGGATGATGAAGGGGCTTTCATGTTCACATCGGAGTCAGTGGGAGAAGGACATCCAGGTAAGAAACCAGCTCTGGTAAAAGTGTAAAAAGAATAATATTTTCATTTAAGATGAATCTTTTTAAAAAGTCTGAAGAAGAATTTATCTGCTATTAATTTTATTATAGAAGTTATATGTAACAGGGTGCTTTTTACTTCTTTTCTACTTACTGGACTACAGAACTGCTATAACTAGTGTGCTTCCAACAGTTTACGTGCTTTTGCAGGGTGTGTGTTAAACTGAGGAGGGCACTGAGGTTTATGTTGCTGCTCCTTCCTTTTCATCTGAATTTCTTTCAGTATTCCTGTGGAGACACTACTGTGTCTCCGGCAGACTCAAGTTTCACATATGGATAAGAATGCATAGCTTACTTCTCAAGTTCTATATCTTTATGGGCCCTGTGAAACTGTCCTCCACATATGCAATGCTCTAAAACTGTCACCCCACGACTAGAATATCCCTAAGCAGCCTGTTTTAAAGCTTTTTTTTAGTGGTCCCAGCAGCTGTACAGGGCAAAATTGCTGATTTCCAACCCCACTGCCTCCCACCCCTTTCCATCATCTGATGCAATATATGGAATTGCTTAAGCAAATAGTGGACAGTTATTTGCTAAACTTTATGTATGGTCAGCAGAGATTAGTTCAATTTTATTGAAAACAAATATTCATCCACCATAAACATGTACCTTATGTCAACAGCAACTGTTCCCTCAAGTGAGGCCAGGGGACAATAGGCTATTTGATGTCCTGAAAAGTGTATTTGTTTTAGAAGCCAATTTGGTGGCCTATACTTTTTGCTATAATAAGGCTTTTTCAGGTTTGTGTTTTATGTTATGTGAGTAACTCATAATTGGGTGGAATGACATAGTAGAGGATAAAAAGGTCGGCAATGAGAATTTGTGTCTATAGTTCTGATACTCCTATGATATAAACTTATTACTGCAGATGAAATCCATGGCTGATGCAATTGAGTATGTCTCCATCAATGGGGAGGCAGCTACATCAGGTTGAACCAGTTGGGGTTCTTTCTGATGTAACACAATCAGAAAATGACAGCCAGGTTTTGTCCTTGGGACATAGGTCCCATCTCAAATTTATGTATAATTACATCCAGCATTTGTAGTGCTATGTAGTTTCATAGAAAAAAATAACATTATACAATATGGTAATTTTAAATGGATGATGGTATTTCCAAAGATGACAGGTCACAATTTATGCTACTCTAATCATTATTTTTAATCCCCTTGGGGCAATAATAGGGAACTCTCGGAGCAGAAAGAGTTTAGCTGAGTCCCCAGGTTTAGCTTTGTCCCTTGATTTCTTTCCTTTACTGATTCTCTTTTTATCTTGTTTCTTGTTTTAGAATTTGACCTATTTTTCAGTTCTTCTTCACATTCTCTTCTTTATTTCCAAACACTCTATAGGCCCTCAGTAACTTTCTTTTAAGGCCCATGAACATTATTTTTCTCCTGTGTTAAACATTGGGCAGGCCCTTGAGAAACACTGTTACCACTTGTCTGATGTGTGTACAGCCTCTTACCCTGGTGGGTCTCTGGGTACTCTGAGATGCGAGGTTGGTTGTGGAGTGAGTAGAAAATGGAAAATTACTTGGATATTTTCAAGACTGTGATGCTTGTACTTTCTTAAACAGCCTAGATCTCCATGTAGGGTACTGAAAACCCAAACCCTATGGCAAAGGGAAGATACAGATTTTCCAGATCAAAGGCGGGCAGGTTGGCAGTAAGTAACTCTGGGTGGTCCAGCAAATTCTTGTTCCTGAACATAGCCCAGGAAGGGAGCTTAGTTGTCTCAGCTGTAGCTCTTAGTTCCTGACAGCAAATTGATGTCCCTTACATCCTGACCAACTCCCCCTTTTCCTTCCCTGGTTTTGTACAAGAGGTGTAGACATGCCGCTAGGATTTTATCACCCAGGAAAATCTTGGTTATTTCTTAAAACGGGGCCCAGTGCCTGGGGCTGTAGTTGGGCTTCTGACGTTATCTGTAGCAATAGAATTTTATTGTGAGTTTTGATTTCCTCTGTTTATACAAAATGGATAATTTGCGTGTTCTTGATTATTTCTCTTCCGTATCTGATAGCATAATTTTGCTAGAGGGCACAATGTGAAGTAAAGATCCTGAACTGCATCTTTGTCTGGTGGAAATTTGAATTGTTCTGATTATATTAGCTGAGGACTGAGCGCTTTAATGGAGACCTCCTCCTTAATGCACAAAGCAGGAGAAATTACGTGCTTATTTATTTTATACCTGTACAATGCCTGGAGCTGGGTGTCACTGAGAAGCCCAAATTCCATGGAAGCGAGTAATAGCTGCCAGTAATTGACATACAGGTATTACCTCTGCTCCCCAGAGATATTATAGGAGACTGTTTATCCCATTTTCTCAGTCCAGATTCTTGGGTGTAACATTTGGGAATCCCTTTCAGATCTTTAATAATTTAGTCATTTAGTGGGGTAAATTCCAAATTTTCTGAAGAGATCTGCATTTCAATAGAATAATAAAAGCACACAGACAGTAGGATGAGCAAGAGAAAGATTCTGTATTTAGTTAGCTGGTTTTTGTCACTGCTCCATTTGGCTTAGTCCAGTCGTGTCTGTGCTGCATGATGGTTTCACGATGCTTTGAAAGGCATTGAGTGTTTCTCTACCCCACAATGTCTTACAGATGTCAAACCACTTAGGAATAATTCCTTCCCCTATTCGGTGTGACTTCAGGTGGAATTTCCTGCAAACTAAATGTCGTTCAGTTTTCCAGAAAGTATCAAGGAATCTTTAAAAATATAAGAGCAAACATCTGCTAAAAGCACCCTCAGATTTTCAACCATATTAAAAGCATATGTTTATCTCCTAGATATTCACAGGGGAAAAAAAAAATCACAAAAGAAAAAAAAAAAAAAAAAAAAAAAAAAAACAAACCAGAAAATGCAGATCTTTCCAGCAAGTTGATTCTTGCTTGTCTTATATCTAAGATTATATATACCTAATGATATACATAATACTTCAGTAAACTGCACATTGAACAGAGAACAGATGTACAAGATATTTAAACAGTGTTAATAGTGCAATATCACTACAGCTATCAACTAGCACTTCTCAAGAGTCTTTTAAATAGGAAAAAAGTACTGCATATTTAAGCTATTTGAAGTCTTTCTAGTGAAACTTTTTTGGTGGAAAGCTCACTTTTTGATGAAATGCTTGTGATAAGTATCTGCATTTCTTCACTGTTTTTTTAACCAGAAAACTGAGAATTGCTCAGTTTTCCATATTTTGAATATAAAATTTCACATTCTAGTTTAAAATTATCTTTTTTTTTTTCTGTTGATATAAATAAAATAACATTAAAAATACTGAATTTTATTTTAATGATCACAGGATTTGAAGAAAGTCAACCTTGCCATTTCAGGTGTTCAGTGTTTGTTATGTTTACTACACCATCGAAGTCAGAAGTGTGGTTGCACCTGTTTGTTGAACTTCAAAAAATGGAGCTTTTTAAAATTAAATTTTCAGGTTTTACTGCTGTTCGTAGGTTTTGTCTGTGCATGATGAGTCTGAGAAACTTCCTGGGAAGGTCCTGAGAACTTGTGTTAGGCTCTTAAATATTCTAGATTCATGTAAAAAACTTATATCTTACTATCTGGAACCTGGGAAGCTCCTTCTATTTATTGGAGATCACTTTTGTTGTTTACTCCTTTACTTCATAATATGACAACTGGACTTTTGAGGGCTGGTCTTATCATCGGTCTCCCTAGACTAATTTTTTAGTTAGCAAGAGTTGTTTCATGGCTATTTGGCATCTCTGCCATAAGGATAAGTCTGTGGGATGATTTGACTTCATGAAAAGAACTCATGGTCATCTAATACTTTTGTGCTCAGTCAAGAAATCCTTAGCTTAGACATCTCTTTTGCAATAGTTACCCTACTGGATAGTAATTCACTACATGGAAGGATGCATGAACTGAATTCTGACCCCTGAAAGCATCTTTTAAAAATGATAATGTCTCACCATAGGTGGTCCATTATGCTTTCCCCGTTTCCAAAAGGAAAGGGGAAAAAAAAAGAAAGAAAGAAGCATATCCTCTCATATTTAGCAGCTAATAAGAGAAATGAGATGGTTGAGTTGAGAAATTTGAATAACAGAATGAAAGGTGCACAAAGCCTGCTAAGCATTACTAAAAATAGAATGCCTTGTTTTATTTTACACCAGAGACCTTTGCTAATAGACATGCCTTTAATTTAATGCATTAATCAGCCAATCATCCAGTTAGATTTCTCTTTCCAGTCTTGATAGATATGTCTGTATCTGTATTTGGAGATCTAGTTGCACTAGATCTGCTGGTTGTTGCACCAACAATCAGATATGTCATGAGTTATCGAACTGATTTGCCCAGACTATTTTAATCTAAAGGTGCATTCTCAGCATGGTACACTAAATTATTCTAATTTATTCTTTTCATTGATTAGATTCTCACATAGAAATTAAAGACCAGAAGTGACCTCCAATATATAGTCTGGTCTGACCTTCATACACAGGTAATATTATTTCATGCAAGAATTCATCAGACAAGCTAGTAAATGATGGTTGAATTTCATTTATACCTTTTAAAATTATATCTAATTTTCATGTGGTGATTTGAAGAACAAGGAATCCTGAGTGCCTCTAGATGAATGGTTTCAGTGGCTCTGAAAGATTTAAGATTTTACTTTTTGAATCTTTATCTGTCTCTTTTTATTTTCATTTATCACCTGTAGTTATATTCTTGCCCATCAGAAAAAACCTTTTCTCTCAGCGTAGTATTTTTGGGTTCTTAGAGACTGTGATCCCAGTGCCTGTAGGGATTTCCTCTGGTAGGTTGCCTCTCCTTCAGTCTTTCAAAACTAGATTGAGTTTGATTGATATAATCCTGTAAGGTAGACTTTTCTGATTTAGGGCATCCTTCTCAGTCTGGCTTAAACCTTCCCACAGCTTCTTAACTTCATCTTTGGAATACCAGCACCAAAATTTAGTATTTCTGTAGCAGTCTAATACTGTTGCATGGATATAATGTCATTTCTATGGATGACTGTCCCTCTGGGTTCTATCACAATCTTTTTACAGCAGCAGTTTTGTAAGACAAACTCTCTCCTTCTGTAAATGTGGACTATACTTTTTGTTCAGGAGTGTTTGCTGGTCTATTTCTCTGAGAAGGAAGCAAAAGAGCTGCTTTCAATATCCATGGAATACTGTAGATACTAATGATACAGTTAATTTTTAAAAAAACCCCCAACAACCAACCTCATGAAAGCATTCTGTTAAATCTTCACTTACTGATTTCACTGGCTGCTATGGCTCGTGGTCCCTTAAGATGTTTCATGGTAGTTATAGTTCATTAATTTCAACCACAGCGTGCAAAACCAACATAATGTTCTTTGTACCAGCTGGCATGCTTCATGTGGAGCAAGGACAGGGATAAAGGTGTTCATGGCATAGGAACTCTGGGTGGTGAAAAAAAGACTAAAAAACAGTCCCAACCACTTGGACTTTACTACAGGGCAGTGGACCTGCACTAGGAGGGCCATTCTAACCCCATTTGTTTTGTTGTCTTACCTAGGTAATCAAAAATTACATATTTTCATCAGTAATTTTTGCTTTTACACTTGAAAATATGGCTCTATTTCCTTATAAATCTGAGAAATTTGAAGAGATAGGCAGAGATACATTTAAATCACTCCTGCCACCTTTGTCCCCAGGTTTGCTAAACAAGGTTCAATTGGACATCTGATTAAACTGCAAGAATGGTGTCTGATTCCTGTTTGGTAATAATTGTCCCAAATTTAGTAATCCATGTACAGTTCTTGTAAGGCTGAAAGTTCCAATGCAGCTGACATCTGTTAATTGTCTTTCATGTTCCTTCTTTTTGTGTTGAAGTAGTTAATATGGGAGACGAGAGTGCAGGAATCACATTAGTTCTCCAGTCTTTGATTTGTCCCTCTTAGCTAAATGTACACCATCTTCCTGAAAATAAATGAGAATTTGTTTTGATTTGAGGTTAAATGTATTAAAGGCCTCCAATGACAGACTTACAAAACGTTGCTTTCCAACAGACTGTGTTGCAGAGGAGATTAATTTATTTTGCCACACAGCATGTTATGGCAAAGTCTAAACACAGTGTACAATACTGGACTTTTTTTTTTTTAAGAATTATACAATTAAATTATATGAGAAAATTTACTATTTTCGTGTAGAAGGCATTGCTGTGGGTGCTGCCCTTTTGTGTTCATTAGATTAGCTACATTATTTAAATAAGATTCAAAGAAAGAAGAAGATAAAAGATTATTATGATAAACCTGAATTGAAACCTTTGTACTTGGCAGGTAACTAAAGGTTTACCTCAGGCAAACTTCAGTTGATAAACTCTTCTTGCTTTTGTGTGTGCTCCCTCCACTGCCTTGGGTGCAGGCGTTTTTAGGGAACAACATTGCCAGATGGTAGGAAGCAGTGACAAAAAGCAAACCTGAAACAGGCTCTCCACTGACCTGTGCATTATGTGTATTAATCCAAATACTTTCTTAGGCTTTACCCACAGGGTTGGTCAGGTACATTCTAACTTTCTGCTAGGGCAATGGAAGTTGGTGGTGAAGCATCACTGTTCTGTTAGAATATCCCTGGTGTGGAGGGCATGCTGTATTGGCTTGTGGTGTTAGAGAAGGAGAAGGCTGGGAAGAAAACCTCATTCTCTGTTCATTGTTTCACACCTAAGTGCAAAAAACTACAGGTAAAGTTATAGTCACTGTTAGTTTACACCAGTGAGTAAATTCCCCACTGCATCTACAGAGTTTGTTTGCAGGATGTTTCATATGTCTTTCTATTTAGCTGGATTAAATATGCCAAATATAGCAAAAAAAATAAGCAAAAAAAGAATTCCTTTCTGAAATACCTACTCTAAGTGGGGCAAGCAGTCCATGGTTTGTATTTAGTACTGTGGTTTTGAATCACAGCTTTGATGTCTTGCAGATAAAATCTGTGATCAAATCAGTGATGCTGTACTAGACGCCCACCTCAGACAGGACCCAAATGCCAAGGTTGCTTGTGGTAAGTTGTTTGCTACTTTGCTTTAAGTCATCACACATTCTTCTTTTAGGATGTTGAAAAGAGCTAGCTCATTTCACTCTCAAAAAATGACATAAGAATTTCAGTCTTGAAGAGAAGGAGAGATGAGAAGAAACAGTAAAAGTTTTTATAAAGGCTGAAGCTTAAGTGGGCTGTAGAAGAATAGGGCTGTTGATTTTGTGTGTGGACTGAATTGTCCTGGGAGAAACAGATTTGGATTGACTAGAGTGGATTTTTGAAAGAATATTTGAATGTTTTGTTGAAAAGTTCATTTACTGTATTTAATGAAGTACTATTTTTTCAGTCCAAGTTCCTGCTTGTTTTTTGAAATCTACTTAGAAGTTGTACCATCAAATTTCAGGTTATTACTACAGTTAATTTATTGTGTAACTAAATCCCATCTTCAGATTCTTCCTTCTGGAACCGGAGGCAAGTTTTCAAAATAGTTGATCACTGATTAGTTTTATTTAGCCTCACTATATACCTTAGACTGTTTGGGTGGATTTAAAAATCATGGTTTAATTTTAAATTTCTCTTAAGTTGATGCATATCACTGAATCGTGCTCAGTGTTTTGACTTTCCCATTTGTAAATAGGACATGTTAGTCTTTTCCTTACTTTCAGGCATATAGTGAATATAAAATGAATTTGTTATAGGAGATAATAATGCTAAAAATATGGGTAGAAAGGATTTACACTCTACACACCCAATAGATCTCTCAAAATCACCATTGGCGCAAACACAGTTATTTGTTTTAGTAGGCTGGCTTATTCTGCTATTGTAATCCTGTTTTCGTCTCTCTTTTCAGAGACAGTATGTAAGACAGGAATGGTGTTGCTCTGTGGGGAGATCACGTCTCGTGCTATTGTGGATTATCAGCGAGTTGTCCGAGATGCAATTAGACATATTGGCTATGATGATTCAGCTAAAGGTTGGTGGAAAAACTCATGAAATCCTGGAAGAGCAAGCAATAGGCAACTGCAAAACAGGTCTGTCACCAATTCCATACATGGGCTTTAGCAAGCCTGATAAAAACGCAGTATTCTGTTTGACAGTTGCTTACATGGTGCTACATGATACACTTTCTGGCTTTATCCCAGTAAGAAAGAAACTGCCACTTATTAGTCAAAACTGAATTGGGAATAGACAGACTATACTTTGAACTGTGGTATTAGGCCAGAATAGTTAACTGCAGCTTGAGGCACAGAACTTACTACTCCTCCAAACTTGCAAGAACTTGACTCTTGGTTTTTCATTTGCCAAACAGATTGATGCATCTTGTTTTGAAAGAGAGAGAAGAAACCTAATTAATTTCATTGTACCTTTATATTTTTGTACTGTGGTACCATCTGGAATTCCAGGTGTAAAGCTGGTTCTCAGTGTGGAGAGTGCTCTGAATAACTACTTCTACAATGAGGAGGGTGCAGTGCAGACCTGGTTTGTGTGATGTGCAAATGATTAAAAAGACAAAATGCTCTATGTACCAAACACATTTCACTTTCTGATTTGCATGTGTCCGTTTATACAGTATAAATATTCCAAGTATTCTGTTACAGTGAAGCGTATCTTTTAAGAGCTTTTGGTTAAAAAGTTGTTTACTGCAGCCCTTTAATTGCTATTGCATTTGCAGGGAGATTGTGGTGGGAGAATATTATAGCAGCACATCTGCAGGTTTCCTCCACTGTCATGTTTCAGCAGTGCTTACAGAGAACACTGGCAAATCTAGTAGGTCATAAATCTCCTGTTTAACCTAACTGCCCAAAATTACGAGGGGAGATGCAGTGACCCAGTAAAAAACAATTTCTAGAAGTAAAACAAAACCTAAACCAAACAATTGTATACAAAGATACAATTTTCTTCTCTATATAGCCTACTTAAAATAGGGTGAAGAGCATTCAAGTGAATCATATGCATATGGACATGTATATATGTTGTACTGACTGAACATGAGTTTGGTCAGCAGCTGTCAGTGGCTACAGTTCTAGGAAAGGTTGAATTTGGAGAGAAACAAGTTATTATTTATATACCTAGGAACAGGTGGAAAATTTTGGCACAATCTTCTTTCAATTTCTTTTTAAAACTTTACTTTTGGTCTTTGAAAGTCATGTAAATTCCCACTTCAAGATTTTCTGTGACACTTGAATCTGTTTTTTTCCTCTGTTTGTGGTTCACACAAAGTCCTGTGAGAGATTTAGGTACCGACACTACCTTACATGTATTAAAACAATGTGTTAGAGAGCAGAGCCTTCAGTTGCTGTAAACATCAGCCTCTAGGAATTTATGTAGAAGGTTTTATTACTATTTATTTGGGAGAGGCTCATTATTTACCTTTTTATCTAATTTTCTGAGTTGACAATTCATAATCTGAATTGGCTTGGCGCAGGGAGCCAGTGCAGGAGAAAATAAGCAGTAACAAGCAATAAAGGCAACCCTGTATACCCCACACCATCCTAAAAAAGGTTTCAAGTGTGATATTTACAAAATAATTACTAAAAACAGTGGAAAGATTTTGAGTTCTGAACGTAGTATCCTATATAAAATTAAAATTTTGTCATATGGTTCCATGTTACTTGCCCTAATTGTGACAGAAAAAGCTAATTCAGTGCTATTCTTTTTTCCAAATAGGCTTTGACTACAAGACTTGTAACGTTTTAGTGGCACTGGAACAGCAGTCACCTGATATTGCCCAAGGTGTTCATCTACACAGGAATGAAGAGGATGTTGGTGCTGGAGATCAGGTAGATGTGGCATCACATCTAAAGCATCAAAGATGTTTCAATAGAAAAAATTTACCCCATCTTACTGCCCTATTTTCTGTGTCAAAACCCTTGTCAAAATATTTCCACACTTCTATCTTGCGCTGCCCCGGAATAAAACCCATATTTTTACTAAACAGTTGAAAGTTCTTTGAGAGCAGACTTTTCCTGGTGCTTGTTTTAGCACTCCATTTAAGTGAGGAGAGCTCTGGCAGTTGGTAGTAGCTGAGGAGGTGCCCTATAGAACTTAGCGAAAGTTTTTTTGCTTACATATTTCATGTTTTTGCTGAGTAGATTTAGGTTCATCAGTCCATTCGTCTTGCAGCCAGACTTGTCATGTAAGGTGGAATAAACAAAAGATCTTTTCACTTTCACAGAGCTCTTGAGATTTCGCACATCCAAAAATTAGGTGATGTTTCAACTGTCCTCAGAATTAGTACAAAGAGTGCCAGAGTGCTTTTAATTTTCACTTATTTCCCAGAGGCAGATATTGTAATAGGTGTTCCACATAATTAAGGCTGTCCGAACTGCATTTCTATGAGCTAAATAGGTAATATAGGTAATTATGGTATATTCCCAAGAGAGAGATACCAACACAAAAACTCCATAATCTGACTGATGCCAGTATGAGTGAGTTCAGCATTTACAGTAGTTATCATTAGAAGTAATATCTAGTTTATAACACTGCTGTTGAAAACTGTAAGTGAGGGTATCAGAGTACAGGACGCAAAGTAATATTGTTCAAAAAATCCCTTAAGGGCTAAATTAAAATGCTTTTATACTGTCATGGAGTCATAACACTACATAAAATGAAAAGATATCTTCTTGGGCACTTTGACTTTCTTTGGCACTTTGGTAGCCTCCTTTCCCATTCCCATCAAAGTACATTCCTGTCTTTTTTCTTTTTTTTTTTTTTTTCCCCCACAACATACACTGGATGAGATAAAAGGAAATGCTCCTAACTCTATTTAACAAATTATAATCTGGTGCAGGAAACATGAGTGAATACTGGTAGAAGCTGTGACTAGAAGCATATGGCATTGAAAAATCTGAGGCAGGTGCCTTAAACTGGTGAATGGTGTGTCCTTCATGGAGTGCTGGCATCCCATTCCACTGTCATTTCAGGTGCGACCTGCAGTGTGTGTGTCTGTACTCACACACAAAAGCCTCTGCAACCTTTTCGTACTACTGATAGCATCATTTTTATGACAAAATAGTCCTTAACCTTTTTCTCCAGCAGATTTTTTTTTTCTGTGAAAGAATCTGGTGGGGTTTTTTCTTCACAGAAACATCTCCATTTTTGTCCAGGTTTCCAGTTCAACATGTAAACCTTCAGGCTTTCAGTCGAAAAATCTAGGAACATGGTTTGTTTCTCATTACACTGTAACATGTTGGAGCCTGACCCAAGTTTAGGCTTCTTGCACTGTAATGTAAAACAGTAGAAAGTAAACCTGAGGGTACTGTTTACTCTTTGCTTCAGATGAAATCTCATTGTCTTTGATTGTGGTGCCATTAACAGTAATTGAAGTATATTTTCTCCCCCTGTAGGGTTTGATGTTTGGTTATGCAACTGATGAAACAGAAGAATGTATGCCTCTAACAATTATTCTAGCTCATAAACTGAATGCCAGGTTAGCAGAACTGAGGCGTAATGGAGAACTTCCTTGGCTGAGACCTGACTCTAAGACACAGGTAAATACTGCTATGGTTGTCTAGATAGTTGAAAACTGAGCACATCAATTGTTGTCTTCAAAACTATTTAATATTTCTGGAAAGAAAAGGTGTTAAGCCTATCAGGATAACCTACAAGTAAGAGATAAAGCTTTTCCACTGCTTATGATACTGTCTCCTTGACTGTTGGAAAGTGGTTAACTTGTATCAGAGCCCTTAAGCACCTAACAGTGAAGAGACATTTAACCCCTCAGACTTAAGTGGTTTGTGCTCATTGAAAAAGTGACAGGACATCCAAAGGATTTATTTGTATTTAGGGATTTGGGGAGACATTTTCAAGATGCAACAAGAATGTAAATTTCTGAGGCTTGGAAGCTTTGATGGAAATCCCAACTAAAAGACACATTTTGGATGATTTCATAGAGAATCAGATGGTCTACCAAATGAGTTTGGTTAATTATTATTTTTTTTTTATTTTTTTCTATTTTCTTCCTTAGCATAGAAAATATGAGGTGAGAAAATAGGCTTTATTTCTCATGCCCTGGCAACAATCTGAACAGTGATCAATATAATGCATGACAGCGTTGACATTTTGCTACAGTTTTACTTTTGTAATAGTGTACATGGCATTTGATGAATACCAGTAATACATTTGATGGCAACTTTGGTGTGTTCTTCCTCCTTCTCCCTGTTCCATCCAGGTCACAGTTCAGTATACCCAGAAGAATGGAGCAGTGATCCCAGTGCGTGTGCACACCATAGTGATATCTGTGCAGCACGATGAAACCATTTCGCTGGAGAACATGCGCAGAACCCTGAAGGAACGTGTGATCCAAGATGTTGTCCCTGCAAAATACTTGGATGAGAATACTGTTTATCACCTTCAACCTAGTGGGCGTTTTGTTATTGGAGGGCCTCAGGTTTGTCTTGTGTTGTTTTGGTGCTCTTATGAGCTTGCCTTTCACTCTGTGTGTGTAAATACTCAGTTTTTTGGCATGTCTGTCCTTAGGCGCAAGGTGAAAGCTGCTTAATGCAAGTTTTTCCTGCAGTTGTATGTGGGAGAAGGGCTCAGGATTTCATGCCAAAATAACCTTTGACAGCATGATTATATTGCACATGTGCTGTGACTAGGTAGGCAGGTTGAGCTGAATCTTACATTGCATGTGGAATGTACAGCCCAGTTCTGAGTTTCCTCAAACCCCCTTGAGACCATCACTGAGACATGCAGTCCTTTCTCATTGAAAGCATTTCTTGCAGAGAGATGGACAAGAGAAAGTTTGCTTGTCTTACAGTGAACCTGATTTTCAGATCTGCATAGCTCTCGCTCTTCTGCCTGACACCAGTAAGAGCTGAAGGTGTTCATCTGTCCTGAAAATCAGCCCCAATAGGCTTCTTCTGGTGAGAAAATAAATGTTCATTTTACTTTATTTAGGCAACGCAGGAGCTGGGATTTATAATTTGATCCTGCACTCACAGAGGTCAGGCAGAACTTCCACTCTCTGAGATTTAGTTTTTGAAAACAAATTCACCATTACCAATGTTTTAGTCTTCAGATCCTTTCAGAACAACGATAGCAAAATTTCAGAGCTCCTTCCTGAGATTAGGTTCAATTTCACAATAAATCCAAGTAGACACCGTTTTTCCTTTGTTGTTTAAATTCATTCACTTACTGGAATTTGCCAGAATTATTTCTAAGGTGCTGTGTCTTTTTTACCTTAGGGCCACGTAACAGGTAGGAGGGGGTTGAGACTAATCATTATAATAATGTTCCTATAAAAAAATGTATTTTTGTGCAGTTGAATTGGTTGTATCACTGTAGTTTTGCGTATCATTGACATCCTAGCCTATGAACAAATGGAGAGTCAAACTTGAGCCATAACTTGAAGTGAAGGAACCAGTGCAGCAATCACAGCTACATACAAAAAGAAGGCTACATATATGAAAATTTTTATGTGTGCAGTAAGCTGCACCCATTAAAAATGTAAATCTTTCAGATGTGTACTGAACTGCATCCATTTAAAAATGTAATATAATTACATATGATAACCCACCCAGGAATACCCTTTCTACTCCTGTGCTAGAGCTCTATTGCATATGTTTGCACATGCAAACAGAGGCATGTCAAAGTGTCTGTTTACAGCTTTTTAAACCTGGGCTAAGTTTACTTAGTATGGGTCAACCAGCCTATGTGTCCGTGACCTTATAACTGCTATCAGCACTTGTGCAATTTACAATAGCATTGCAGCAACCAGAAAATAACTATTTCTTTTCTTGCCTTGAATATCTTGTACCTTCTGGTTACTCAGTTATATTTTTAACAAGGCTAGCTGTAGAAAGCTGCCTTAACCTCCAGTTCAGTTCATCCAAGGAAGGCACATGTATTTCACTTATGTTTTTGAGTGCAGTGGTGCCTTGAGTTCTGGCTATGGCAAAATCGTTAGTTTTGCTGCTGTCACTGTTTTCCCAACAGCAAAACCCTCTGGTGTGGTGAGGACATTACAGCTCATCACAATAATGACTTCCACATGCTTTACAGATGCATTTGTGCTTGTTCAGCACCTTTGAAACACCCTTTCACATGTCCATTTATTTCTTTCCCTCTCACTCTGTTCTGCTGTCAAGTCATGAAGGCACACAAGGTGTTCTCATTGCAACTGTCTGTGCCATCAAAAATTAAGGATGAACCAAGCAGAAGAACCTGAGGACAGGTTCCTTTAGGCAGCCTAAATTATCTGAAAATTTACATCTTGCTTCTTTCTTAGCAGAATGAAACAAACAATGCCAAAGTTTTTCTTCTGTGCATATGCATAGTCTTCCTAAGAAAAATGTTGACTCTCCACTTGTGTTTGCCGTGCAAACATTCCAGCAGTTGAATTTTAGTGACATGATGTTTTGAGACAAAGAATTTCAAATCTGCCTGCACAGGTGGCAACTGAATTTCAAATTTGGACACATTTCCATTCACATCAAAAGCTTAAGGATTTAGTAAACTGTAGGGGTCAGACAATTAGTCAGCTGTTGATCAGCTAACCCAGATCAAATGAAAATATGAAGTTCTTGTAAGGAGCAGTCAGGATAGCTGTGTAGGCAGCTAGAAGGTTACCTGCACTTCCTTATTTAGTATTTTAGAATATTCATCTATAAGTATCTGTTCTTAGAAAGAAATAATCCTTCCTTCTCAGTTACTTATTACTGCCTAGTACTCCATAGCTGTTGTGTACAGTTTAAATTATACTATAAATACTTTGAGGTTGGAAATGTGTTTTTTAGTACATATTTGTATGACAGTCTCTGACACTGCACTAGAAGTGCTGGGTGCCAGCATCCATATAATAATGTATAAGGTACCACTGGCATACCTTTTGATGGTAAATAAAAAACCCAAACATTTACTATTTAATATTTACACAACTTCAGATTTTGACCAAAAGATATGAAAGCCTGATTTTTTTGTTGTGGGGCTTTTTGGGGTTTTGGGGTTTTTTGTGGGATTTTTTTTTTTTTTTTAAGAGTGTGAAATCTCTCAGTGGTTCCTATATGGCACATAGTTTTTTAGCAATATTCTGTAATTGATTTGGGTATTATAGGTACATAATTTCTAAACTAAAGTTTCCATATTGCCAGGAATACTCACTTTTAAAACAGGCAGTGCATGCTCTAGCTATCTGTGTGTAAACCTGTTTGTTTGATTACCAGACAAATTGATGAATGGCTTGTCTTGTGAATCTGGCTTTAAAGAACAGTTATAGCCACTGTTGTAGCTTGGTGAGACGAGTTCATTCCTTCAGCTACCCCACAGCATTCCCTGTGTGGGGAACTACCTCACACATTGTTGCAGTCTTCTGAAGGAACGCATAGCCTTGTTTGAGACTTACAATAGAACAGACCGTAAAATGGACCAATTCTTTTGCTGATTTAGGGTGATGCTGGTGTCACTGGGCGGAAGATCATAGTGGACACTTACGGTGGCTGGGGAGCACACGGAGGCGGTGCCTTTTCAGGCAAGGACTACACGAAGGTGGATCGGTCGGCCGCGTACGCAGCCCGCTGGGTGGCCAAGTCTCTGGTGAAAGCTGGGCTCTGCCGCCGTGTCCTGGTCCAGGTGTGGTTTGCCAAGAACGTTGCTTTTCTCAAAGAGGTTTTTCCTTTTCAGATTTACTTGGAATACACATCGTACAAGACCCTGTAGTAGAAGTGGTTTTGGTGATGGTTTTGGGGTTGAAGAAAGGAAAACTTGATGTGCTTGGTTCAAAACCACTGTAATGTCACCAATATCAGCTCCTTGAAGCTGGAACTGTTCATTTAGCTTTTGTTTTATGGGCCATTTTTCTGGACTTTTATTGAGCCCTCAACCCTCTGACACTTACTGTTATGGAAATGAGCATGGGATGACTGGATAATGGGAAGAAAGTCATCCAGAGACCTCAGCATTTTCAAAGTATTCTTTTTTTCTACGAATATAGATTGTGCAAATATGAGAAGTAAAGGAGAGGCCTTAGTTTGCATAAGGAGATTCAAAAATGAATGCTTTCCTCTGCTGCATACTGTTGTTCCCTGAGGTGCTGTGTTTATTGGCTAACTATGGTGCCTTTTTTCACACAGGTTTCTTATGCCATTGGGGTTGCTCATCCACTGTCCATTTCATTGTTCACTTATGGAACTTCCCAAAAAACAGAGAAGGAGCTGCTGGACATTGTACACAAAAACTTTGATCTTCGGCCTGGAGTCATTGTCAGGTATAGAAACACACAAAAAGGAAAATATCCTGGTGGTCACGTCCTAGAAGTGGCTTCTTCCAAAATCTTTAGCTGTTACACTGTAAGAGGCAGCCTCTTGAACCAGCAGGGGATTGTTCCATGCAGTACAGGAGGACTTCCTCTCATTCTGTCATTTTGTCAGTATTTACAGTTGACAGTTTTTATGGTTCTCCCCGTGTGCCATATATTTTAAGGTTACAGATATATTTTTCAAGTTTCATATGCAACATATACTTTCAGCAATTGGCCTTCAATAGTATATGGAATTTAAATAGAACAACTTCTGTATTCCAAGAATTTTATATTACTTTGCTGTGAAAACAAAGATATGTTTTGTTTTACAAAATTAATTGAAGATTATTTCATGTTTTCACCTACAATTAATAACTCACAATAATAAGGCCTGCAGTCCTAAAGTACTTGACATTTAAGTTGTGTTGTCACTTTTGACACGTTCACTGGTATGCTTGCATCTCCAGAATATGCTTGTTTGACTAAGGGTGTGAAATGGCTTTCAACATCAGGATTTTAATGGTAGTTATCATGAAGTATCTTAATATGACAAATTTTCTCTTCTTTTTATTATATACACAGGGATTTGGATCTGAAAAAACCCATTTACCAGAAGACTGCTTGTTATGGTCACTTTGGAAGAAAGGAATTCCCATGGGAAGTACCTAAAAAACTTGTGTTTTGACATTAGCTGTCACCTCTTAAAAACAGAAAGGAAGTCCACTAATGATGAGGGTGCTTCTGAAAATCAAATTTGACAGCTTTGCATTCAACAAAAGGAATTTTAGATTTTAAATGGAAAGAAAGAAAAGGATATTTTCTTGGAAATTGATTTTTTTTAACCCTCAGTGTCTTTTATTATCCAAGATATAATGGACAGAGTCTGTTTTTTCAATCAGCATAAGACAACAAAATACAGTTTACTCTTAACTGCTGCTCTGTTGGTTCTTTTCATAAAGACAAAGTGTGACTCAGGTACTCAAACCAATAGATGAACCTCAAACCTTTGATGGGCAAAGGTGAAGACAACTTTCCCATCTCTGACTAAGGATCAGCAGATCTCTTGCTTCTAATTAGATGATGGGAAATTCTGGGGTCCAATTTCCTTACTGGAGTTAGCATTGCATACAGCTGGGGGTTGCTTTGATGGGAGAAGGCTGAATATCACACAACCCTATCTTGGCCTCTTTTGTAAAAGATATTATCCTATATGTAATATTTAAATCACTGTCACTGTATATGTGCTGTTATTGTTGTGTTTCAATTACCTGTGTTTTTGAAACATAAGTGGTCTCCTATGAAACAACAATCATAGAATAAAAAGCTTTTTCCTACCCTGAATGTAAAGGAGTCTCTTTTTCTGTGTTTTGGGTTTTTTTAATATTGCAGTGTAATGGTTCATCTCAACTCAGCGTCTTATACTCTTGTAGGATTTTAGTTTACCAACATAATTGAATTTTTTTATTAGATTTTGGAATTGTGATACAAATTTGTCTTATAACACGTGTGATCGCTCTTTAGTCCTTGTGATTAGTAGAACCTTGGTGAATAAGTATTCTTATTTGTGACTCTTAGGTTGATGTTATACAGTATTCTTTCATAATTTTTGCTCCCAAACTTTAGGTTTATTGCACGGCTTTCTGTGTTGGATGTAACTTGGGAATAAAGTAAAGCACAGAGAAATAACTGCAACATAACACAAAGCATGAGGTTAAAATTTGGCCAGAGAGCTGGGCCCTAGCTGGCTGTGTGTGTCCCACACACACAGAACAACATCCTTGCCTGTGGGGTTTGGGTACTGCTGGGTGGTGTGCCCCGTTACTCCTGCTGGAGCCAGTGACAACCTCTGCTCCTGACAGGTCAGGGTTGCTGCTGTGCACGTGGGCTGGCTTGGTCCAGGCTGAGGGCAAGGACGTTTCTGTGCCCATGTGCTGTGTTCTCCTAGATTGTGGTGAACTACTGTTCACAAAGGACTGTGGATTAATCAAAGGTTTGTTTAAATTTGAAGGCTGTGAGATCTTCTGTGATCAGCTTTGTTTGTCAGTAGGCAACAAGGGGAACTTAATTCTGAAATACAAGGGTTATCTGTGTATGGCCCCCAAGAGGGACTTCATGGTTTACCCAGCTATCTGTTAAATCTTCTACGCTGGAGAAATGCTGCCACCCCGTGTTTATCTCCTAACTAAATGTCTTTGTACAGTGCCTCCCAAATAGATGTGGTGGAGAGTGGCTGACCGTGATGAATGCTAAAGGAAAAGCTGCCATTTATTCCTTTCAAGTATGTCATAAACACAAAGTCTATCTGGTCAAGCCAGAGGTTGTTCCACTTTATTAATTACGCTAATGTTCCTGAGATGGCATAAGAAGACACTTCTTTGTGAATGTGCTGGATGTCTCGCTGTTGGCTTAACTTCTTCAGGATCACCTGGTCATAATACATCAGACTACAACCAACAGAAGCAAATGAATGAAAAATTTAAAAAAAAAGAAACCTGAGAAAGTAAGTGCCTTATAAATAAATGTGGTGTGTAACACAGCACAGAAGCAGCATGTCCATGTCTCAACAAAAAAACCCACCTGCGGACAAAATGCTCTGGTAGTGACAGTAACAACCATTAAAGGTTTGTTGGAGAGGAGGGGTGGGTGGGGGTTGTGTCTGTAGCTGGTTGATGGCCAGGCAAGGCTTGGCAGTGTGTGTGTGGGGGGGGGGAGGGGGTGACAGGCTGTCAGATGAAAGGCTATGACTGTGAACCCTGGATTTTACAGATGGGGTCAGCACACCCCTATCATGTTAGCAGTAGCTGGATAATTGGATTAATCTGCTACTAAATGTGTAGGGTAAATGATCAAACTTCTGTGGCAATTCTACTAGTTATTCAGCTTTTCCCATTAGTGGATATGAGCATATGAGGTTCATGGCTCCATGAAAAAAAAAAAAAGTAGCTAAATTCTGGATGCTACAGGATACAGGGTATAACCCCTTGGTTCAAATCAGTTGTCATTTGATGTTCTGAGCTTTCTCTTGGACCATAAGATATGAGGTGGAGCCCTGTAGGTAAGGCATTCTTATGTCTTCTATGAGAGTATGTGTGTGAGAGAGACAGACAAACAGACAGATGGGAAGGTAGATAGAGAGCAAGAGCACACAAGAATGTGCATACACTAAACATGTTTACAGTAAACCAGTTAATCTGAAAATTTCCCAGTGGAGTTGGCAGCAGCAGAGAAGCCGATCCGGCTCAGTACCCTAAAGAGAACGCCCCTTGCCCTCTGTAAACCCTGCTGGCAAGCTCTCCTTGGGCTTCCTGGCAAGTAGGGCAACATGTTCATCCCCCTAATCCGTTATCACAGCTCTGCCTTGGAGCCAGGCCCACTGTAAACAACCAGTGACCTAGAGACAGGCAGCTTTGTGCCTGACTCCAGTGCTTTTGCTCCTGGGCACCACAAGCAACAGGTAATTAGCCCCTGGTCTCCTGTAGGAAAAAAATGTTGTTCTGCTCCTGCCCACTCTGGAAAACACTGGTTTTCCTAAGTTCAGCACTGCTTCTTGCAGGTAAGTTATTGCCATTCTTGAATATGGTTAACAATTATTAGTATTATTAATAATTAGTATTATAAATTACAAATTAGTATTATAAAAATTAGTATTAATAATTATAATTAGTGGCTGTCTTACAGAAATGAAGGACCCTGCTCAGGAACCCAGCCCCAGGAGGCCACAAACGATGTTCAGATTGCTAACTGCTTCAAATAAATCAATATTTGTACAGCTTATTCACATTTGAGCCCTGCTCACCTCAGGTATACAAGGCAGGACTAGGACTGCAGGATAGTGGCACGATTCCTCTAAATAAGCACTATGATGTGGTATTTGGGGTTTGTTGATGTGTCAGGAAGGATTATTACATTGCTAAGTACCTGCTTCTGCTTGTCTTTTAGATTTTACTGAAATCGGAGCTTTTGCCAGTCCAAGTGAATGCGAAAGTGCAACCATAGATGATGTGAATGAGAGTCTTGAGGTAAGAGCTTGGCTGCACTGGCCACCCCAGGGCCTGCTCTGCACTCCCCTCCTGTGCTGGTGGGCTCCTGCCACCTCTGCCTGGGCTGGCTGGGCAAGCACGACTCATGTACTGCTTTGGCAACGTGCAAAGAACGTGCTGGGGAGGGAGGGGAGGACATGCAGGGGCAGAAAAATATCTGTGTCATTTGCCTTGCCATGTCTTTGGTCCTGCTACTGCTAGACCAAAAAATGTTCTTGTGTATTTATTTTCCAGTTTTGCTTTGCTCTGGATATATATAAAGTGGCTTTAACATAAACAGTATAGCTATATAAATAACAATAGCTAGCTAAGAATTCGTTAACTTCTTTGTTTGCACACATTCACAAACAGATTTTTTTTTTTTACACACACAAATATACAGAGTCTGTAAGGTGCCAGCATTCAGAAGATAAGTGTAACAAACCAGTGTTTTATATAGAAATAAAGTACATACAGTTGTTTACAAAGGCATCTTTTCATATATAGGAAGAAAACCAAACTACCAGTCCTCTTCTTGAGCTCAATATGATGGAAAAATCCTATCTAGTCACAGTTTTAAAAGAAAGCCAGATTTCTTCCAAAACATTGTAGGGAGATTAGGATTACTGAAAGCTATACAATTTTCCAGATGGTTCTTGTTATGTATTAAGAAAAAAAAAGAAAAGGAAAATTATATAACCACTTTAATTAATTAACTCCAAGGCTCCAAGGTTTTTCCTCTTAAACTTAGACATTTTCTCCCTTATCCCCATAGAAATATTCAAAATGCCTTCCTGAAATGATTGCCAAGGGTAAGAAAGCTTCAATCAATTCCCTTGTCTGGACACTGCAAGAAACACTTGATCTCCTGCGCCCTGTTCAAGAGAAATGTGAGTCCCCTCCTGTACCAACACTCCCCTTTGCTGGTTGTTAAGTGGCAGTGGAGAAGCATTAAGAAAATTTGTTCTCCCTGCAGTCATAGTAAGCCAAATATCTGCATTTCTTTGGGGGAAATAAGCAGCAGGAGGTACCACTGGGCTGGCAGGGACTGGGGAGGCACAGCAGCACAAATATGAGCAGACCCTCTGTTTCTGCAGCTCAGACACCAGTGCTGAGCAGCAGTGCAGAGTCACAGGGGCAGCAGGGCCTTCTCCACCCTCCAGCCAGAGCCTCCTTGGTGTCTGGGAGCCAGTATGCCAGTCATATTTTTCCAAGAAATATTTGGATAGTTTTGGCCATAATAGTACTGAATGTCAGTGCTGTGAATGTGAATACCCCTTTGAACCACCTCTAAAGTGTAACTGGTGCTGACACTGTTGTGGTGGGAAAGTGATAGGAAAACTGGGTGTTGCCAAAAAAATAAAAAGGGAAAAAAATCTTCAAACAAGCGAAAATGCTTACTTTGACAGTCAGCTAGGGGGGGCAGTTATCAACCATACCCAGGTCAAAGAGTTTGCTTGGGAAGGGGAGACTTTTATAATCGCTTTCACTCTGATACATAGTTTTCTTGCCTTTTTGTTTGTTTGTCTGTTTGTTTTGGGGGGTTTTTTGTGGGGTTTTTTGTTTTGTTTTCTTTTTGTTTTTAATCCACTCAAAAGTTTTCAAGCAGCTGCATCCATGCCCTCTCCCACTGGCCCCAAGAAACGGTGGGCTGGTGTGTGTCACCATCGACAGCGCTCAGTACTGCAAACCCATGTGCAACAAGGTAACATTCGTGGCTTACTGCTGCTATATTGCTGCATCCATGCAGTAATTTACAGCTGTTTATTGTGTAATGCATAATTTTCCTTGCTATGCCTTTTTGTGTCCCTTAGAAGGATTGGTTGTAGTGTTTGTATTGATCTTCGCTGGCTGAATATTTCTTCATCTTACAGTTACCATGACCTATCTTAAGACACTGTTTGTTTATTTGCTCCCTGTCATTGTTTCCCAAGGGTTATGACTTTCAGTTCCTCAGAAGCAGCAGACTGTATGAAGTATGTGGCAATGCCACTGGGTTTTCCTGGACCACGCAGCTTGTTGGGGGAAAGGAACTGGCTGTTTGCAACCGTAAGTATTTCTCAGACATATCTGTTCATGAGGACGGGAGGCTCTGTCTCTTTTGTTTAAAAAAAAGGAGGAAAGAAAAGGTTTTCTTTCTTGGCACATGTGACAACCTTGGCATGTGTGACATTTTGAGAGCTAGCTCTGGGCTGGCAAATTGCTGAATAAGAAATCACGTTAGCTTTAAAACTATCACAAAGGCCTGAGCACTGCCATTTCAGCTTGGGGTCGCAAATATGACATATATGCAATATTTGTGGGAAGATACACCTTTTTTTTTTTTTAACAGGAAATTGGTATCACCTTGACACAAACCCCCTGTTGCACAAAGTCTGTGTGACCCACTGGACAGAGAGCAGTAGAATATAAAACTGTTTATCTTGCAGCAGTACTTGAAGAATCTCAGTAAAATTGGCCAGCACCTGCACTATTCCCTGTGTGTACACAATAAACCCCAGCAGCTGGTCCCCAGCCAGCGTCTTCATGCAGCAGCCCAAGGGTTTTAAGTCTGCTCCCCTTGTGCCCATTGAGCAATCTGTGACCCTAAGCAGGCTGTCTGACTCTGTTGTTATTGCCTTAATTTAAAAATAAATGTGCACATAAATACACAAACAGGCTACCCTATCTCTCCTATGGTTAGTGGAAAAATATTTTACTGTTGACAGTGCCTTGTTGCTAAAGCAGTTGTTTTCTAAGGCTTAACAAAAGCAATCATCTAGGTACTTTTATTCCAAGTTGAAGACTAGTCTAGCACTTGTTTAAAGACCAGGACAAGTCTAAGCTAAGTAATTCAGCCTTTTTTTTTTTTTAATTTTCCTTTTGGTCATCTTTGATCTTTCCAGCCTCTGAGATGGCCATCGGTGGAGCTAAATCTGCCTATTTCCCCAGCAACAGCACCTGTCTGCACACAGTAGCCTTCCCTGAAACTCAGAGAGAGCAGCTAAACATCTTCCTCAAAGAGCTTGCCGAGCAAGGCATTGACAGCTCCAAACGGGATGAGGAGGCTGATTGTATCATCTGCGGTTACTAGCACCAAAAAGCTTGTGCCACAGACCAGCCAGCTACCTGCAGTCTGACATGGGTATTTTGACAAGAGAAGCAGAGCAGTGAAATCATTCTAAGACATGTAAGCATACAGCTTTTGTTTAGTTAAAGGACTAGAGACCATAGTCATAATATGACCTCAGCTTTGGCGTACAGAGATATAGACTAAATCGAATGACATAGCTCATGGTAGAAGTGTTTCAAAGAAAGAAGTTCACTTTTATGGCTTAAATTTGTCTAGCTGGAATTAAATAAGGATTACAGTTTTTTAATGGATGCAGTCATTATTTAAACACAATAATTGTTATCAGAAATCGTTCTCTGTCAGGGGTCATCTTTGATGAGAAAGGGCCATAGTTCTACTTACTTTTATAGTTGCCAATTAATCACTATTGTTACTCTGATGAACATTAAAACAATGAATGCCATAACAGTTACTGGTTGTACGGATGTAATTCTTTATTCATGTGCCTGCTTGACTGGGGTTTAGAACATCAGCAGAAAACCTGTCCATTGTCCACCTGGCACTTGGGGCAAGTGAAGACCAAAGACAGCTTAGCCCTGGTAATCCAGTTAATTTGTGGAGCTGTAGCTACCAAAGAGATGTGCATGTGAATTATTATGAAATGTAAACAAGAAGCTTAGTTATTGCTTGGTTTTCAGTGGAATCTGTGCTTGGAGTTATATTTTAATTTTCTTCTGTTGAGCAAACACTGAAGCTGTAGGTCTGAAGACAGACAGCTCATCTGTTTGTGTTTCCTTTCCCTTCTTTACCTTTTTCCTATTCCTGTCAATCTCTCAGACACAGAGAGATACAGCACAAACAGCACAAAACAGCATAGTTTTGTGCTACATGATGTATAATTGACCTTTACATCATTAATTGGATAAATGATTCAGATATATATTTACATGCTTATATTTCAGACTTAAAATCCAGTCATTACAAGCAAAAGAAAACAGCAGCTGCTTTTGGGCCCAGGAGCAGACAGTCATATGACAATGAATAGAGCAGATAATTACACCAGCAAAGGGATGATTTGGCTGCTTTGGCTGCTTATAAACCATGCAGCAGTAACTTAAGTCATTGTGTTGGAGACAAAAGTGCTGTAGTCTTAAAGAAAAGCAATGGCTTTTGAATCACTGGTGAGTTTGTTTATTTCTGTCAAACAAATGATCTCTATCAAATGAAATTGTAATGGGTTTGAGTCTTTTCAGCCAGTTCATTAACAGCTGATGCTCAGCTAAAATATCTGGAGCAGTTTCCAGTATATTTTTTCTACTGGTGTTAAAAAACATTTTTTCTCTCAATTATATTAATCTATTCTGGTGACTTCCTAAACCAACCAAAAAAAGAAAACTAATATTGTATTTCGTAAGGAAATCAAATCCATTGCTTTTGTAAATGAACAGAAACTATTAAATCTGTTTAATTAAATTAATTCTGTGTGTCAGAAATCCTGATAATGAGCATCACATAACGTGGAAGAATTAGGCTGGAAAGCTTTAATATGATGTGTCATAAATTTGATATTAAGCTGGAGATTGGGTTGCTGGGTGTTTTTGTTTTTGTTTTTTTTTTTCAAAAACTTGAAGAGAAACAGTTTTGTTCTATGACCACCAAGTTATTATTTATGTATGAGAAAGGGAGGTTGACACAATAAGCCTCTACAAGACAGTTAAAAACTAAAGTAAACTTAATAATATTATTTCCCAAAGTAAATTTGCATAATTTATTTCAGGCAAACAGTTGCTGCATGTTTGCATTAACCTCACGTTGGTGTCTGGCCGGGCATGTCTGAGCATTGGGCCATCCCTCATGCTCCTGACCCAGGATAGGGGGGGGGCTTTGTGTTCTGGCACTTGGATGTTGCAGAGAGAAGAAAACTCATATGGAAGGAAAGACATTAAGAACATTTTAGGCGAGTAAGTTTTCAGATCAGACAAAAGAAGCACAAGATGCTTATTTATTGCACCATTCTCTGATTATTTATTTTTTTAGGTTCTGCAATACAACCGGGCTAAAGTACTACCTCCCTAGAGTATCCTGCATGCTTTTGATAAGTTCACTTGCATAACTGTCAGTCATCTCAGCTAGAAGGCTTTGGTAGTATTTACAGTGTAACTATAAACAGGGAGGCTTTCCTGATATTAATTAAGGAAATACAATGCTGCATTATGCTTGCTTCTCTTTCAGGCCATTATAAGACAAGAGAAGAACTCAGTCTAGGAACTGAGCCAATAACAGTAATTAAAATATAGCCAAAAAATGAAAGTCAAAGTGCTCAAAACTGTAGTTCACGACGACAAAATTACACCCATTCTCTACTCACAGGAACTAAGCAGCAATAGACTGGTAAACCCGCTGCTTTTGGGTGGATCTTGGGCAGAAAGAGTGATCCTGAGAGATGTGATCGTTCCGAACCATCCTCTGCAGGGATGGGTGGTGTGGCAGCTGTTTGCAGGGCTGGCTCACACCGAGCCATGCAGGGAGATCTGCGGCACACGCTTCATCCTCCAGAGCACCACGGCAGCGGGGGGCAGGAGCATGAGGAGACTCATGGTCAGCACTGCGGCGAGGATCACCAGCAGGATTTGCCACGGGGCCAGGACTGTTTCCACCGTTATTTCCTCCATTTCAAGAGTCCGAGGCTGTAAAGCAAAGAGGGACACTGCATTATTTTCTTCCAAATGGGACTTATGATCTGTGTACATGCGTTTACTTTAGCCAGCCTGGGCTCTCACCCTCCCGGCGGGTTTTCCTTCTGGCCTTGAGAACGACTCCCTTTCCTTGGCTGCTGGTCTGGGATGACTCCTTCCTTTTCCTTTTCCCTTTTTCCTTTCCGTTTTCCTTTTCCTTTCCCTCTCCTTTTTCCTTTCCCTTTCCTTTTTCCTTTCCCTTTCCTTTTTCCTTTCCCTTTCCTTTCCTTCAACTGATTCTACAATCTTTGATATTTTAGTAGGTCACCAATTCCACTAAATTATAATAAAACCAGATATTTACTATTGAAAATTCCAGTATCTTCTACAAACAGGGCTTACAGCTCTCATATTGTCTGCATATGAGAGCTGCTCAGTGAGATACAAAGATTAACTCCCAGGTGCTTTAGCACAATTGGAGCTGCAGAACGCTTCTTGTTTTGCAGAGGTGTGAACATTCTTCTCCCAGGCACATAATTATATTAATGGAAAAGCAAGTCAAGAGGCATAAACCAGCAACAGTGATGACTTGTTCTGCTTCATTTTCCATGCAGTCAGTGATTTAAATATTTAGCCTTCAAGTGGGGGAAAGCAAGTGCTACTGTGTACTTGTTCTCTAACTTAACTGCCAACTTCCTATTAATAGTTAGAGATAATTGCACATGATTTGTTTTCTGAAGAGGGAGGTCATTGCTGCTGCAATGTCCATAGTGTGCCTTGTAATCATGTGCACTGCAGAAAGGTGAATTTCTCTGCCACTTCTTGTGTTACAAGCAGAGGTAGGAAATGGTAGGAACATGAAAAGTTTTGAAACGTGGATGTCTGGCACAATCATGGACTTGAAATGAGGGTGATGATCAAGAGATAACTATACTGCAAGTTAAAAGCGTCACTTAAAACTCCTTCCTATAAGAGCCAGAAATCAAATTAATGAGTTTGGTACCTAAGAGAAAAGGCTGCATTTCAACTATATAAAACCTTAGAAAGATCTAATGATGCTGCTTTGATCTCTAGAGGGCTAAACCTTTCAAACCAAGAGTGTATGAAAATTCTCAGAATCATTAAATATTAAAAGAAATTTCATTGAAATTGTTTGTTATAAATATCTCCCTCTACAAATAACACTTGAATTCAGTGCTAATTGTAATAGTTCAGTATTTATTTATGTAGGATTTCAGCATTTATAAAGCATGCTGTAGTTTAGTCTGATTAAGTAAAATCTGCATGTATTTAGCTTCCTGTGAGTAAAGTCACAGCAGGACAAAAATCTAGCTTAAAATACTTAAAAAAAATTATGAAATTTGGGTGAAGAAATGAAATATGTGAAACCTGGGAGAAGATTTTGAAAAAGAAAGTTATGATGAAGACAGAGAATATTTAATAAGGTAAAAATAGTACAGCACATTACTAGGATTATGCTGATCATGCCTTTAGTTTCACCTCACTTCCAAAGGAAGTATGTGATTACAATAAAAGTTAAAATGCAAGAGAATTTTCTCAGGTGTTATTTAAAGGAATCATCAATCACACTTTCTGGACACAAAGATTTTGACTTTTATATTTTGTCTAATGTCAGATAACACATTCTGACATATGTCTATTATTTTTCTGATTATTGAATGTGTAGCAGAGATGAGTTACCTACATCTGAGTCAAACAGACATTTCTTTTTCTGAAATATTTAGACTTTAAACACGTTTGAATTACTTATGCAAACTGATCTAAGTTTAAAAGGAGAAAAAAGCATTGCCCTATGCAATTTACTTGCAGACATAATTCTAACTATTTAGCAAACTATTTTGATATTAGTGAACTTAAAATAAATTATATGAATGGCAACTCTACAGTTTCTTCTTCATATCTTCCCTGCTGACAACCTTTTAACCAAATGAGAAATAATTTAACTATCCCTTTATTTTTGCAGGAATGCCACCAAGCAGTTGAATTTGTGTTGAATTTTTTCACCTTTCTCAACCTGACTGCCTGAAATAAGTTCTGGCTTTCTCTAAAACTTGTGTGGCCCTGTAGGTATTCAGATCTTTTCTGTCTACTCTTACCTTCTCAGTGTCCTCAAGGTGTCTTGCACAAAAAATCATGTTGCTTCTTTTGGGTGTCCATCCTCCACCCTCAGGCAGCAAGAGCGGGTGTTAGAGGTGTTCAATCTGCAGAATGAACGAGGGAGGGTGAGGGCAGCGTCCCCTCACCCTGTGAGGCTCAGGTGAGCACAGCAGTGTACACAGGTACTTGTTTGTTCAGTGGTACTTGTGTTGCCTCCCACTTGGTGTTCTTAAAGTGGCACAATCCTTTCCAAACAACTGAAGCTGGCCTGCCTTGACTGCAGTTTGCTTGGAATCAGCAAAACAATAGCTGGCTGCTCCCACATGCACAAGCTGCTTTAGGAGATAGTCACTTGTAGTGTAAACTGATGGCCTGTTTTTTGCCAGGAAACCACCTGGGCTTTCCGTGTAAATCATTTTATTTACTCAGAAGTGAGTAATCTGATTAATTCATATTCTGACTGATTATTATTATTATTATTATGAATAGCACATGCAGCTTCAGAGATGAAGGTCACTGCAAATTCAAGGGGTTCATACACCCACATCTCTTCCAACTATGCACGTTCTACAACCTACTTTGCTACTTACAAGCTTAGCTTTATTTACATATCTGAAAAATTACAGCTATGCTCAGGCTGCTGCAGTATCCATTGTACAGAGTAAAGAGCACATAGAAACGTTTTCAGAGGCTTTGCTAAGCCAGGTCTGGCTCTGGTCCATGCTGTTGTGGAGGTGGCATTACACAGTCCCTGAGAACTGGCCCTCCTGCCTGAGCACAGTACTGCATCTGGCCCTTGTCTGTTGACAAGGGAAGGTGTGAAGGACAAACTGCAGTCTGGGTCTTTCTACAAATCAGAGGATGCTATACTTCCCTCTCATTCAGATTTAGGAAATAAATTCAGTGCCCAAATCTTGGACCAATTTGTTTTTCAGGCCAAGACTGCTGTTTCCAGTCCTGCCTGCTGTCAGCAGGGTTGCTGGAGGTGACAGTGTCAGGCAGGATGACAAATATTTGCTTTGAGGTTTTTTATGTCCTCACTTAGAACCACAAGTAGCTACAGTGTCTGAACAGGCTTAGTATCTGTAGCTGTGCAATAACACACAAAGTCCTTTACCCTCTTCCCTGGGAGCCCATGGGGGAAATGGCCAAAGATGGTGTGGTGATGGAACATTTCCTCTGTGGCACATATTCATTAGACTGACACTGAAGGCAGCCACTTTTTCAGACCCCTGCACGTATCTCTAATTTTGAGATAACTCTGTAACTCTATGGAGATAAGAAGCATAAAATAAAAAAAACTTACCTTGGCTTTAAATGTTTGGTGGTGGTGGGGTGTGTGTCCAAATTCATGCAGGAATGATGTTAATCATTGTAAACTTCCTAAGCTTTACTGGAATATGAGTGGAAAACTACTATACAAGGCGATGCTCACGATCCTGTTTCCTTGTGCTCATGGCAGAGCTGGTTTCACAACAGGAGTCACGCAAGGCTGAGGACGTGGACAGGTGAGCTGGTGGGTGCAGGCAGGTACTGGTGAGCTGTAAAACATTCGTGAGTGAGAACAGAGTTAGAAAGTGCCACAGTGCCTGTGGACTCCTGAGTCCTCGCTTCCCCTCTATGTACCTTTCAGCTGGATTAATACAGCAGCCTACCTACACCTCAGATGATATGGGGTTCAGTAGTTTATATTTTGGCTATGTTGTCCAGAAACAAGGCATTAGTTAACATCTTGCAGATCTCCTTACATACTAAACACATGCATGGATAAACTGAGGACTTTGCTCACGTAAGTTTTATCTTTGCATGTGTTGAGATAACTTTACAGCTCTTGGAAACATGGTCCTATTTAGTATGCATTGTGATGAAGGATTTGAATACTGCTGGAGAGAATAATTAAGGTATTCTCTATTTAAGGTAGACCACCTGCAGGCACCAAACTGTTAAAGCAGAAAGGTGTCTTGGTTTGAAGTTAGCCCTGTTGCATTAATCATCCTAAGTAAATACCTGTAAGATAAATTGCTTAGCTTGCAGAGAATAACAGCAAGAATGATTTGCAGGCCCTGACATCAAACACAGGGCTGAATTGTGGCCAGGAAGAGCCATTCCTTGTCAAAGAGCAGATGGCGAGACCTTGTGCTCAAAATAATTTAGTAATTGAATTTAAGCCAGTGCAGGAATGTTGTGCATGGCAAGTTGCTGCTCTGGAATTACAGTGATGTGCAGAGCTACGAGGCTCAAGCAAACCCATTGCTGGCCCCTGGGTTCACACCAGCTGTGAGCATGCCTTCCCTCCCCAGTTGCCTTCATACTTTGACTGTTCTGTCTCCCTGTCACACAGAGGGCAATGTTTCCTTGCTCACTGTCCGTGACCAAGCTGGAACTAACAGTGCGAGTGAGTGTGACTGATGGCCAGGCACTTGGATTTACGTGTATGGAGACATGTCCAGACACTCAACCAGCCTTTGTGGCATGTCCTGGAGCTTAGGCAGAGCCTTTAGCCTGAGCTGGAAAGTGCAAGCTCTGAGCAGCTTCTGCAAGGAGTGTGGAGTATCGGCTGCTTCAGCAGGGTAGGTATCCACCAAGCTTAGCCCTGTGGGCATCTCAGTGAGGGCCTGACAAACAGCACTGTGGTGCCCAAAATTAGTTGCCCCTGAATCTCGGTATAATCTAACTTAAAAAAATTGGCTTTGTCATGTCTCTACTGACCTAAACCACATGGTAACTCCTGTTAGCTCCTGTGTTTTCTCTTCCACACACATCCCATGTGGCATGGAACCTTGGGTTCACTCCTTTGAGTCAGAAAGGGATTAGGAGTTGCTGAAGGGGCTCAGGACTGGTGGCTTCTGGCCACCATTTTTGAGGTATATGAAGGCTAAAGACCTGCTGACTCCAAAGTTTCCTGTGGGAAACGTAAGGTGGGTGAGTCCCCTGTGTGCTCATGGCTCTGTGTCACCCTCTCAGCAGTGCTCATGTCTTCCTTCAAGAGACCTGTTGTGGGTGAGAGTGGCCAAGGAAACACAGGCCGAGCAACAATAGTGGTAGCAGGAGTGTCTGTACAGGTAATTTTGGTGAGGGAAACTTACAGAAAGGGATCAAAATACACACGACTTTGAGGCTTATGGGTCAAGGGGTGGCTGGAAGATCTTATGGCTGCAAGTCACTTTAGGTATGTGCCCAAGAAATCTACTTTTTGGTCTTGTAATAAATTAGCAGTCTAACAGCAGCAGAAACCCATAGGCAGTAGTATTAAGAGACTCAGTGGGCAATGAATAACAAAACAGGCAAAACGGTCACTGGTTTTGTTATAAACAATTTCCTCTTTATAGCTGGCATTTGTTTAAAAGATAAATCAGGCTGGGAAAGAGTGAATTTTATTTTTTCATGCTGCATTGTCTGAGTTCACTAGCTACAAACGAAGAGACAACCAAGAGAGAAGCATATTCCAGCAAGCCTGCCAGAGAGCAGCAAGGGAAGCACTAAAACTGGCAGATAACAAGGCGATTCTGGTTGCACCTTTTGTCATTCCAAGTGCCATCAGTGTACATCTCCACACATCCCTCCTCCCCTTTGCCAGAAGGTTCATTTAAATGCCAGTTAGTATAGCTCAGGTTTGTACCATCCAGAAACTGGAATTTGCCTGGAATAAGAGATTCCTTTACCCCTAGGTAGGCGTAGGTATTAAAAGTTTTCACAAAGTACCGAATGGCATCATTCTCGCCCTGGTTCCTCGGAGCAGCAATAGACCCTCCAGCTTCTTTGCATTTTTGCAGTGTAGTATTGAAATCAGCCCTTTCCCCACTGATAGCAAATATTTTTCCTCCAGATTCCGTTATCATCTTTTCCAAGCGGAGGACTGCAAGATGAGGTGAAAGCTGTTAAACCGTTGTGCATTGTTTTGTGGTGACTTCACTGCCAATTTTAACTCCTGCTATTTTCCTCCATAACTTTAGATTAAACTCAGGAAAAGATAAAGGAAAGGTGAACTTGAAATCAAAGCTAAAAAAAGGAAGGAAAAAATTTAACCCCCAAAAGCCAGAAGAAATCTGAAAATGAGGAGAAGGGAAAAAGGGAAGAAGCACATAAATACACAGTCAGTGAAACAGGAGAAGCACAAAACAGGTTGGAGAAGGAGGGAAGGAAGTGAGGAATTCTACATTTGGAAGAAGTACATGACTTTCTTTGAGACTCTCTCTAAGACTCTGAGATGGTTTGCAGTATACAGATGTCCTTGACATTTGGTGTTATGTGCTTGAGTGAGTAGGATCTTAGATGTGATCTAATTGTGATTGTTTTGGTATGTTTTCAGTGTTCAGTTTATTTGTCTGTTGGGAGCATGAGGTGCCCATGGAGCAGTTCAGCATAGGCAGGGGTTTTAATCTGTTTCATTTCTGACTTGCTTGCACTCCTACTTCAGAACTGGTACCCAGGCATCCCCCACTAACTACGAAAATCTAATCCCCCATCCCCCCATTTGAGAGTTATCATGCATGATATGAACAGGATATAAATAGAATGCAACAAAACTGGAGAAAATACTGCCTTTTTCCTAAGAAGCCATTTTTGCTCATCTTGTCTATCCCCACTAATCAAGTTACAGTAGAAAGTAAAGGCAGATAAAATACCTCCTTCCAGTCTGGAAATCCGACGTTCCAATTGATGATTAATGTCTCCCATTTCACCATCAGCCACCGGTATGGAAGCTATGAACAAAAGCAGCTATTATATGCTTTGTGTTATAGTTTGAGTCTTGGCTTTCAAGATAAAGCACAGGTTAATCATGGAAAATGAATGTGAACTTTTAAAATGTTTGACATAGTTTAGTTTACTGCTGTGTTTTAAATAGGGGATATCTTTGTACATTGATCTTTGTAAGCATAGGGGATATGTTCCTGGAAATTACCTGTTTATGGAAAACTGGAATTGGTAAACCGAGTTAGTCTTCCCTCTAAGTGATTGAGCCACTCCACTCAAAACACTGGCACTCGTGCTGTAGGTTTAGCTGATTTTTAACTGTGTCTAGGGACTGAATCCTTGATAGAATTCTTTAAGCTGTTCAAGCACTTTCTTGTAGCTCCAGCCTAAGCACTTCGCAGCAAGTTCCTTCTGCTATGGAAAATTATAACCTTTTCTTTGTGGATTGTACCACTGCATCATTAAATAGGAGAGATTTAGATATCTTACTTCATACAAAGAATTAATAAAGATCTGATTATTTTCTCTCAAGTAGAACCCACATCAGATTATGCAAGATAGCACGGAGTTTACCAAGCATAAAAATGGAACACAGCAGACAAAAATAGAGATGGTAACTTTACGTACTTGGTATAAATCTTTCATTTGTTTCACCTCCAGTCAAATACTTGTAAATGTATGAAAGAAATCCTGCAGGTGTACCTTGGGCACATAATGGGAGCAGGAAAAAAGTTACTCCTAAGATTTTGTGGAACAGCTGTGGAGGCAGCATCATTTAAAGCCAAAGGTAAAACAGACTGGTTGTCTCTCCAGTGTAGAGTCCTGTATTAAAAAAAAAAAAGGGGGGGAAATGTTTCAGAATTTTGCTGTCTGGGTTTGAAGTTTTCTGTATGTTAAGCTTTGCTTACAGTGACATGAATGCCATTAATGTAGTTACAAAATTAGCTTATTTCAAATCATTAAAATATTTTTCCAAAAGACAGTCTGCTACTCTACAAAAGTCCACAGAGCAAAAACCCAAAACATCCCTTTCAGAGCTCTTCTTTGTACAACAGATATCATTATATGCCATTTTACCCCATGGAAAAAGCTATAGTTTCAATTTTAATTTTACAGGAGAGCAACAGACACATGGTTCCTTTAGCAAGAGAAAGTTGTTTTAGGATAAACTGGATCAAGCTGTCTTTTTCAATTGGTTTAAGAACAAAACAATTTATAAAGCTCATTCTTCCATTGCAGCATCCATTTTTAACGTATCTTCACAGCAGGTGACATGGTCTATAAAAATAGGTGAAAGTGATAATAAAAATGTTGAGACATAAATCAGAAATGGAAAATTTTGTAATAGTTTAATAGATTCAACGAAATTTAAGCAAAAACTTATTAAAAGATGTTCAACTTACCTAGCGGCTCCAATACGAATTAAGAAAGGCTTATTAAATGGTCTAATTTATAGGGCATGTAACTTGAGATTCATCTTCTTACTTACAGGAAATACAAAGAACATGTCATCTGATATGAATTTGCATATGATTTTCTTCAAGAGGCAAACATACTTAAAATGTGAGGAAAATACTTGAAGGTACTTTTTAATTTGTAGAAACACTTTCACACGTTTTAAAACACCAAACCTGGAGCAGAACAAAGCAATTTCTCAATACATATTTGAAATACCTGATGTTTCCACAGAATGGCTGTGTAAATGTTAAATTGGAAATGTCACTGAAGATAAGCCAAAACAAATTCACCTGGAATAAAATATGAATCATCATTCTCAGTACAGACCAAGGCATAAAGGAGACAGCTACAGAAGCACATACTTAAATATCTTACAGAATACTCCAGGGGAAGTTTATAGATCGTAAATAACAGTTTTCTCCAACAGAACAATGACCTTTCAGTGAAGGAAAAAGCTGCTCTACACCGGCCTTGTGAGTACAGAGGCCTCAAGATGAGGAACATCACTGGTGCCTTGCCAAGCATTTTAGAGTTATTCCCAGCTGAGAGTTGGTTCTATTTAATGGGGACTTTCAGGAAAGCTGTTTGAGGCTGTGCTCCAGTTCAAACAAGTAAGATGTGGTCGCATCATCCGTGTGGTGTCAGGCCAGCATCCTGATGTTGCAGCAAGGCTAACAGCCAAGACAGTTGAGGAATAAAGTGCTTTGAGACTAGAGGGGGAACGTGAGCAGCATCCATATTGGTCTGAGGTGCTACTGGATCACCTCCACAGACACTCTGCACTGTGTCCTGCACGTTCATACTTACTTCAACAACAGATGTAGAGTCCATTGTCCTTGGTGGTGTGCCCACAGATACCTGACTAGTTCCTGCAGCACTGTTTATTGAGTGCCCTAGAAAAGGCACCAGTCCTGTGAAAAATAAATAAGCAGTACTCAGTTGTACGTATCTTGACAGAAGAGGGTTGTTTTAAATTTGCATGTGCAACCTTTGTTTAAAGTTTCTTGTTAAATTTCAAGTTTCTTAGCTTTTGAGTGCTTGATGTAATGCTTTTAATAACCTTCTGGCAGAGGTTTTCTAATTGTTTTTTTTTGAAAAAAAAACCCACCAAAGCCAAAGAGAGAACATGAGACAAGCCATTACCTGGGTTCTAAATGAGCAAGGTCACTGGCAGAACCTCGGCCTTTGCATCCGTGGTGAGAACAACTTTAGCATTTCAACTGCACCTGGAAGAAACCACAGATTAGGTAAATGTGAGAAGAGGATGAGGTTTGGCCTGCATTAGTGGGTTTCCCATGCTGACTCATGGCCTGGGAAACCTGGAGGGAGACAGAATTTTTCTTGTGATAGATTCCTGAGAAAAACTGCTGTAGTTTTGATAAATTATAAACTCTCCTTCTCTGGATTTTCATCAGCATATTAATAACATGGAGCAAGCTAAAATAGATACTTAAATATACCTGTATTTCTGCTATGCTTGTTTATGATTTCCTAATAGAATATTTTATACAACTATCATAACTTGTAAACTATTTTCTGATCTTGCTCTGAGCCACATATCACAGAAGCCCAGGAAGATTCAAGGACACAGATCTGATAAAGAACAAAAAATTTTTGAGTAGAGAAGCAACTTTTCTTCTGTGTTTCCACATCTGTCTTAAAGGGGTTTATGATTTCAGTGCTAGTGAAGCAAAGGAAGGATATTCCGGGAGTAGGTTGTGTTGCACAATGTAGGCAGGTTACGTGCAAAACATGCTAAGGACAAATGCTGTCCTTAGCAAACATTGGTCAATGCTGCTTTCTTAGCTGGTTCGAGAAATACAGACACTGGAGTTGAATTTCAGTTGATGAAAGTGGCTGTGTGTTCCTTCCAGTAAATCTGTTTGTTAGCCTTTCCTTTGTATACTTAGCTTCCTAAAAGTTAGTTCTTTTCCTTCATAGTGTTAGTCACACCTCAGATAACTTTAAAAATTCTTTTCTTATTTTCTGTTTGTATTTACACGCCCCCAACCCCATCCATATTTTCTGTTTACATTAATATTTGTGCTGCTCTGCTGTTGTTTCCATCCTATCTTGTCCTGTGTTTTCTGCATTTCATTTTCTTTTCCAAATCAGCACCAGACTGCCCCCAGCAGCTCCCTTCTGTCTGGAAATATCAGGAAGAGCACAGAGCATGTAAGACCTGGTGTCTCCCCTTCTCAGAGGACAGCTGAGGCTAATTTTGCTAAGCATTAAAAACAGGAAGCAAATAATTCAGCAAGATATGGACACCTGGGATGGCAAACTTCAACATGGGGGTTTTGTTTTGGTTTTGTTGTTTTTAAAATTGTAAGCAGCATTTTAGAGCAGAAAGTCCTCATTTTACCTGGAGACGCTGTGATCAGTGCACATAAATGCTGCTGTCATCTTGCTCCATTGACTTAAGTTATGTATGAAAGATCCAAGTGGTCACTAGATGTCTCTGATACGTCACTCAGTGCAGCTCAGCTGAAAAATACAGAAAGAAATCAAGTTTTGTCTTTATAGCAAACAGAAAGCAAGACAGTATCTCATCTCTTCAATAGTTGTTGATGGCAAAATAGCATTCTACTGGGAAAGAAACCAAAACCTCATGGTTATGAACCAGATGAAACTATTATTCCATATATTTTGTTGTTGTCCTCCTTTATCTGCAGAAGGATAAATTCACTCAAGTCTTTACTACCATAATTACTACTGCCACAGGCTCCTCAAGGGTTAAAGTTCCCTTGCCTTCCAGTACTGTTCACCTCCTGAGCAAAAGGGCAGAGATGAGTGAAAGTTTCATTCCAGGTTTCACCTGGCATCACACCTGGATTACCACCCTTGAGCCAAATTCTGCCAAAACCGAGTTTCCTAACAGGCACTTCAAATAGCACTTTAAAAAGTAGCACTTTTTAAGGTGCTACTATAATTTCCAGGTATCCTGTATCTATTATGCTTTAAAATCAGGTATGTTTGTACAACTGGAGGTTAATATGATTTTATAACAATGTGTTTCAACTTCTGGTAATCCCTTATCACTTGCAATCAGATACTCTGAGGTCCAGACAAATATGTCTCTTGTACCATTACACAATACTCCCAAGAACATTGTTTTCCTCTGGTTCATAGGCATGGTAATAAGGCCATTAGTCTTTCTGCCACTTCTCAGAGTGGTTTCAAAACCAGCTAACAAATTTCCTGGTGGCAAATATTTCTTCTCCTATTTGCACTTATTGTTCTTCTGAAGAAAAGCTGCAAATAAATGGAAAACACAGATGAAACTTTACCCTTTCTTGTGGTTGTGGCACTACTAGGATATTGCAGCAGCAAGCACTGGTGTTTTTCCACCATATAAGTTCTTTTCTTTCTGGAAAAGAACAGAACAGTAGTGCAATTATTCTTTAAACTTGGCCTAAAAAAAAACTGCAAGAGGCACAGCCCACAATTTATACAAGATAAAGTAGCTCTGCCAGCCTGTGTCACAATCCTGTCAGTTATGTTCACATAAGGCTGAATATGAACTCAGTTTTCTCAAGAACCATGGGGCTTGCTTGTTTTTGAGATTTTTTTTAATCAAATTTCTAAAAAAATCAGGAAGTCACAGAAAAATTCTCATTTGCTGTAATTGAAGGTTAATTTCTTCACATATGGTGTGAACCATAAAGGGGGAATTGCTGCCTAGCAGTTCATAAAGAAAAACACCACATCTGAGGTGTTTTTATTTTTTAGCAGCATATACGTTCTTGATTTGTTTTTTTTTCCTTTTCTCAGTAGTAATGGCTAAAATGGAAAGAAATTGGAATCTCACAGCTAGCCTAGATGCTTTTCTTATTGATGCAATAAATACTAGCTTTTGACTGAAAAAAAAAATAATCTTTTTTTCTTAACTGGATAACACTCCCCCTTCCCCCCCCAGTGTTTTGAAGTCTAAATCTGTTCAGATATAGATGATATATTGTGTTAGGCCATTTTTCAGATTTTACACATTAAGGATTTTAACAAGAGATTTCTATAGTCAGCTTGAAAACACCAATGTGGTAGAAATAAAGTACTCATTAAGCAAAGGAATAGAATACTCCACAACTAGTTGGAGATCTATGTAAATGAATATGCTTATTTGGTTCTGATAGTAAAAGATCGTGTTGGTAGTGTTCTTTTTTCCTTAGGTGGGGGTCCCTTTCTCTAACATGATGCCTTTTTGTGACAGGTAATCACCTTGCTTTAACAAAGAATCTGCATGAGTAAAAGACTCAAAAATTGCTAGCAACATTTACTTACTTAAATACTAATAAATAAAAATTAAGTGGTAGTTTTAAGTAGACCTTCTGCTCTTTCCAGAAGCTTGAGTGCAGCTGGTCAGAGCTAAGCCCAGGAAAATTAAAAGGTATTAATTTAGCCTTCCTTTTTCTCAGTGTACCCTGAGAGTCAGAATTTTCATCATGGCATAATCTATTCCCTTCCCATTGGAAACTTTTGGCTAAAATGGTATCATGGTCATAAGTCTCAAAGCAAGCTACTTTGTAAGGCATGTTCACACTTTGAAATCTATCTAATATGGTACTGGGCGTACTTTTTCAGCTTCCTTGGGGCTTCCTGCACAGAGGCCAAATGTGGGGAAGGAGCAGGATATGAAATGTTTATAAATGTATTTTTAACTCTACTCCCCTCAGGTAGTATGAAAATGATAATGGGTTGGCCCGGGACCCCTCATGGCAAGGTAAGTATGTGAGAATTTGCTACTCGTGGTACTCTACTGAGCTGCCCCTGCTCACCAGCTACCCAAGCTGAGCAAGCGGTGAAAACATTTTGTAAAAGATAAATATTTTGTAAAAGATAGTTTTCTGAGGGAATGTGCTGCTTTAGCAACAAAATGCAATCTTTAGCATTTTATACACATACCTCTGTCTACTTGGATCTAATGCAATATTTAGCTTAGTGTTTTATAGAGACTAGCTTCTGAAACTAAGATAATTAATTGTAACTGGTACTGTTAACATTTTCATAAAGCATAAATTAAATGTGGATGCTGAATGAGCCAGTGTGTGCTTAAATATGACACAAGCTCTATAATTGAAAGTGAGGTACAAAAAAACCTGAGACCATAATTGCTCCAGTGAAGTCAACTCTGGGCATCTCTTTTAAGGCAGAAACTATTAACTACTTGGAAACTCTTCCACTATGAAGCTATGGGCAATTTTAACTTCAGATTTTTCCAATATCCCAGGTCAGACCTTGCAATTTTCCACTAATCTTCACAAAGGCACAGTCTGCCATGAAAAATGAATTCTGAGGTATTCCCAACCCTCCAAAAGAGAGAAACACATCAGATTAAGAACATTTTAATTATGTTAATCACCTACCACATTTAGCATTTTCTTAAGGATAAAAAATTACTTAAATATGATTCATTTTAGATTTTAGGATACAGAAAATTTGCAGAAATTTTATAAACCTAAGATAAAGCATATTTCATTGTCTCCACACTCTGAAGTGGCCGAAAGGCCATTCTTTAAAATTCACAGATTGTGAGACGATACAGGTTGCACTTTTTGTCATTCCAGCTCCCATCCTTGTACATCTCTACACATTTTTCTTTCCCTTTGCCATTAGGCTCATATTGGTGCCATTTGGTATAACTCAGGGGCATGCCAGTTATATATGTAAACTGGCCTGAAGTCTCACACTCTTTAATGCCCAAGTAAGCATATTGCTTATACTGTTTCACAATGTCCATAATAGCTTTATTCTCCTCCTCATTCATGGGAGTTGCAAGAGTTCCTCCAGCCTCTTCACAGGATCGTAGTGCAGATGCAAAATCGGCTTTTTTTCCATTGGTAGCAAACACTTTCTCTCCTACTTCTCTTATCCTCCCATTCAAAGCAAGTGCTGAAACATGAAAAGAAAAAACCTACTTAGCTTTTTAAATTTTCTATGGCCTATTGAAGAAAAAGCAAAAAAAAAAAAAAAAAATCAAGAGATGAAGGGAAAATTAAAAGTGGTAAGAGGAAGAGTAGGCAAAAGTGAGAGTAAAGGATTAAGAGAAAAAAAGATTTTAAATTTTACCCATCCACTTGTTTTTCCCTAAGTATATTGTTATGCTCCTTGTGACCATCTGTCCTTGTCTCCAAGACAAGGATGCCCCACTCACGTTTGCTACATATTCTGTGAGCCCCGTTGTATTGAGTGTGCTTTCTAAAGAGGATCAGTTTACTTCAAATTCGAGCAAGCGAAATAGAGAAGTGATAATTTTTTGTGAATTCTTTCTCAATAAGAAACAATTTACCACCCTCAACAGTCTGGTTGCTGATAGATAAAAATATGGGGTACAAAACTGAGGAGTTCCCATGAATCTGTGTGGAAAGTGCAACATCAGTTGGAATATTTTTTTCAAATAAATCGAATTTTAATAAATGTGTGTTACTGTTGGTAAAAGAAATCTGCTACTCCAGGGAAACAGGGTCTTGATTTCCTGAGCTTTGGATGAGAAAATGGAGTTTTGGGACTCAGTACCATTTTCAAATGTAATTTCTTTCCTACAAGTCATGAGTCTATAATTAACTTTGCCTATTGTGCTTAGAACTGTTTGTGAGCTGAAAAAGTAACAAGGGGAAGAATTACCGGCTTCAAGTTGGAAAAGTCGGTGTTCCAAATTTACTAAATGATTGTGGTATTCAGTGTCCAGAGAACCAGGTAGACCTATACAGATAAAAATAAAAGTTATACAATCAAGCAAAACTAGGTTTTGCCGATAGGAACAATTCCCTTGATAAAACTAATACCTTTCCAGAACTAGCATGTAACAGTACTTTTTTTACACCATCAAGTTTAAAATAAATATTTTCCCAGTCATTTTTTCATGTTGTTGTTAATCTATATTAAAGCAAACTAACAAAAACCTCCAACCTTCTAAATGCTACTAATTCCCCTCTGCACAGAAGCAACAGAATTTTTCGAGGTTGAAGAATTTTGTTTGAATCTGTGAAACTGGCTTTGCAAAAACAAATTTGTTTCATTCTACTAAATAGTGGTGAACAAGCACAAGGGAGATTTTGGGGAGGGAACAGTTCCTATGACACCATACCATTTTCTTTTAATGTGCAGGATGGATGCTCTGTGTTTTTATGGTGGGATCTTATTTTTATGAAAGCATAAACACTAGTAGATGAAAGTTTCTGCATGGATAGTGTGAAATAGAGTCCATGCAGCAGTGCTTGCTAAAGGGGTACTTTGGCAGTACTGTAAAGCACTGTAAAGGTAGATTCCTTTTTCATACCCATTTCCATGGGTAATAAAGGTCCTACATGTAGAATAAAGTCACAAATGTGCTCCCATGATCATGTTCCAATTATTCACAACTGAAACAAATAGCCAAGTAGAACCACAAAGTATTGCTGCATCTCCAAGTTGAATTTTGCAACACTTACTGTACTTCACAATCCATTAAAAAAAAAAAACATATTTGACCTAATAGAGAGAGTTTATGAATAATTTTGATAGTGCTTTAGCCTTGTCAACAGACTTGGAGAACGCATTTCTACGTAGAAGGAAAATTACACAGTGCAAAGTGTGTTCCTTACAAGTCTACTTTTGCACATACTATCTTTGAACACTAGAGAAATATGCCAGAATCCATTTAATTACACTTTTGAATATTGGATTACATTGCCTTTGTACTTAAAAAAAAAAGAAAAAAAAGATAACTTCTCCTGTGAAAGAAGCAATTCCCTTTGGAAAGTCAATGGAAAAAGCACTGTAAAGACATATTTATATATATAATATTTATATCAAAGTATTTATAACCTGTTCACTTCCCCTCTTCTCCCAGATGAGAGCAGAGGCCTGTCTTTTGGGAGAAAAAAATTAAACTGCCTGTTTCCTCCATTCAGTTTTCCTTCCTCTGCTTAACACAGCTGCTTCCTTGAGAGCACGTGTCCTTCTGTGTCATGCTGCCTTCATGACAAGGATCTGGTGCAAAAAAGGGAAGTTTACTTACCCGGTACACGTGGCAGTCCTTTCAGAACATCTTTTCCAGGGATATCAGGTAGCCCAGAAATTTCTGGAAATTTACTCAATGCGTGGCAAGTCACTATCAAAGCACCTACTGCTGTGAGTACGTAGGATGAGTAAGACAACATGATTGCTCAGGCCAGCTGTAAGAAAACCCACACATTTGTCAGGCAGTGATTTTGTAAGAAATCGTTGGCATTGGCTTATATAATTGAAAATTCTGGAAATTTACATTATTTCCTTGTTTAAATACAGTCTATAGTTTAGGTGTAAGAGATTTCCCAGATTTTTTTCTATCATTGTGTAGCTTATACACGAAACTCTTTTTAGTCTGATTCAGCTTGACACGCCCATTACAGAATGACAGTCACACATTTGGAAGCAGTGAAGATAAATTATCCCTTTTGCTATCACTGACTATTTGTTGGATTAATCCTCGAGAAATGATGGGCTTGGATGTAACTGATCACACTTAAGCCATTAGTTGGCTGTTAAAGACTATAATCACTCAATGATTTTATGATACCAACCTGAAAGGCACAATCTGTTACAGTGGTTATTGCAATGTTTTGGAGCTAGTTAGCAATCTCTTTAACCACAGTACTGTTTAAGCACATTTGTTTGACATAAACAGACTGATAGTGTTTTACACATGGGCAAAATTTTATAGCTCAATTGACATTCCTATCTTGTTTTGAACAAAATTCCACAAGCTTGAAAATGTCAGAGTTATTCTTGCGGAAAATGCATTTTTGCTGGTTGGCAATAGGCCTATTCATCTTATTTTATCCTTTCAGATATAACATTAATCAGGGTTATAATCCTAGTGCTGAGATATCATGACTAAAAAGCACTCAATTTATACACATCATGGTTTACAAAATAGCAAGCGGGTATGCTGTGCAGTTATGAAACCTGAATTGAAGGACTGTAAGTTATTGTGGCATGGAGATACCCAGTTATTGACATCATTCAGTTAAAATAATAAGAGATGTAAAGCAAGGTTCAAGAGACCAGAATTGGTATCCATTTCTAATAGGTGATCCTGTTGGGTTGATTCTCATACAAAATATGTAACTTAACACCCATACTTCACTTTTCTACTGGCATGAATTAGAGAGATCCTGCACTGCTCTCTCTCAAAAATTTCCATCCCTAAAAAGAAAATCAGAATTGACAATCATAATATGTTCTAAATCCAGCGCCACTCAAAATTGAAAATAAAACTTTGGTTGGCTTGAATGCTGCAAGATTTTAAAATCTGGGTTCATCAGTAATAACAAGATATTTGTTTCAAAGTATATATGCCAAGCAGAATCAATATATCAGTTTATTACCATTTGTCAAATGGGCTGAACTTTTTGAAAAGAGAAGTATTGTTTATATCTTCCAGATTGATTCTGTCATAGAAGAGTTTTGAGATTATTCTTAATCTGCATCAACACGAACTTGTTTTGCTAGGGCAATGTCTTATCAAAGTCAATTCAGTAGGACATACCCTTGAACATAAGAATATTCAATTATGTCATAAATTTGTAGCATATAGTATCTGTTTAATTAATAGCAGTATCTATTCCTCATGGTCAAGAATTTCCACTTTAAAGAGCGGAAACACACGAGCAGTATTAAAAGTGCTTTTGAGTTTTGTCTGTTGAATCTGAAGTGTCTTGAGCTGTTTACCCTTTACTATACTGAAGGCTAGCAGACACCTCTGAAAATGCTGGCCAATGACTTAGAGCAGATTATTAAACCTACCTTAGGTGGCTAGGAATACTTACATCCCTGAGATAAGCAAATGCAATTACAACATGTACCCTTTGCCTGATGATCATCATTCAGGGAATTACATTTGAATGGACTACTGCATCCAGCTCATAATTGGATCATGATGCAGAGTCAAAGTCTTGATCAATTATAAAGCAAAATGGAAAAAAACCCAGCTCTTCAGTTTTAATCCACTTTTAATGACCTTCATCAGTCATTACTATCTACTGGCCTTCAGGCGTGTCCTCATCTACTAAAATTGCTAGTATAAGCAAAGTAAAAAATGACTAATAAAGGAAAATTTAATTTTAAAATGTAAGTATGACCACAGAAATAAAAAGAAATGGGTTTGCCTTCTAGCTGAAATTCCTTGTGATTTATGAAGAGGAAATTCAACTTACCCTTCTGCTTCAAAGTGAAATGAAAGTGCAGTTCACACAAGTCCCCTTTATATGGTGTCATGTTTGTTGAATGACACCACTGAAGTGGAGACTCAATGTTGAGGGCATAAATGTGTTTTTTTAGTTTCACTCACACATTTGTGATGCAAATACTGAGATCAGTTTTGAGGTTTGAGCAATTTCTTATTCTTTTATAACAATAGAAAGCCAAAGTTGTAGAAAATACAATCTAGAACTAACAGATAACTCCGGATTTGTAGACACAAACAAAATCTATAAAAACGTAAAGTAACTTTCTGTGATTCCAGGTCATATTGTAAAAATTGTTTCTTGTTTTACAAAAGCAAAAATGTCATATGACTACCAGTGGTTTTTGTGAAAGGAAAGGTACTCCTGTGAATTAAGTAAGCATGATACCTCCCAGATAGTCTGACCTGGAAGTCAGAATTCTAAACTTTGCTTCCCATTTCTGTGTATGATTTACTTGCCTTACCTTAATATAATTTTCTAGCTGTGTGTTATGCTCAATGTTTCCATGACCTTTTGGTCTCTCTTGCATGCAGAGTACCATCGATCCTTTCTTGGCCAGAGACGGATCTTGGAAAAACCTGTATATGTGCACAAAATTCTCAAACGGGCAACATTTTCAAGAAAAAAAGAAACCAGAGTTTTTGTTCCTCTGGTTTCCCAGGAATAAATATTGTGATCTTGTGAGTAACTTCCTTCTGGTTCTGATGTCTTCTATTGTAGGATGTTTGATCCTAGATGAAGCTTGTTTCATAAACTTCAGCAAGCCAACACATCAGTCCCTCACCTGTAAGATAGAAATACCTCTACAGCTAGAACATTTAAGTTTCTCAATCCCTACTTATCTTTACCCAGCAGTACTCAGCCCTAACTATAGCGTCTTGCAGCAATTAAAAAGATGTTTAATATCAACTAGCTGACCTAGCTAAGAGAAGATTCCAAACGACAAGATATGTGAGGGATCCTCTGTAGAAGTATCTTAGTTACTTAAATCCCCTTCCATTCACAACTGTAAACCTCACCTTGCAGTTAAAAGGACATTACTCAGCATGGTTTGTCCTCCCTCTCAAAAAAAACCCCACAAATAGCAAACTGAGGACAAACTGAGTGTCCTTTTTAACAAATTATCAATTAATATTCACAAACTTATGTTATAAACAATCTATCTTCGAGTCCTTCCTCCACCTGATATGCAGCAAAGCTTTGAATGCAGGTTAGTCATTTTACAAAACCTCTCACCCCATCACTGGAAACTATTTCCCTCTGTAGTCCAGAAAAGGTAGATGATGGTATTGAGCATATAAGACATGGATTAGACAGTACCCAACACATAAAAAACTTTTTTTTTTCTTCTGAATCCCATTGCAGCTTGGGAATAGCATGGACACCAGGCAACTCAGCACCATTGAGACACAGGTAATTCTGTTTCTGAAGGGTAGAAGACCTCTGGGGTACTTAGGAAATTTCTTTAGTTGCAGGATAAGATGAAACTTAATGGATCCAGATTTTGAGAAGTAATATTTTAAATTACTAGGTGCCCAAGTTCTTGCCCAAGTTCTAACTTGCCAGAAAACAGTCTCATACAGATCCAGTTTCTAGGCAGCTCTGCAACAGTTGTAAGGGTTAATTTTTCTGTTGTATCACTGCACCCATATGTCCTTCCCACGTAGATAGATGCAACTTTAATACATGAACATGATATAAATCTCTGCAGATTTGTACTGTTTCTTCCACCTAACACAGTTTATAGTTATAAAAAAATTAAATAAAGAACCGAAAACATTAAACAGGGAAATCAGTTAAGCCCTACCAGCTATTATCTCTGTCCATTCGGGATAGTGCGGCAGGAGCAACATGGCTTATAATGTAGGAAAACCTTATAAATTATTATCTCTTACCAAAATTTTCAAGGAAACATACATTTGATAACAGTTTTTCTCCCATGAGTCAGACTATACTTACACAATGGATGCTGATAAGAAATCTAAACCATAATCCAACGTGAGAGATTACTTAGCCATTTCCTTAGTTATGCGGCAGAGAATGAGGGAAAACAAATATACTAAAATAAGAAAGAAAGTAAATATTTTTTTCTGCAACCTAGCACCCCTGTAGAATAGCTACAAGGTATTCTGAAATTTGCAGGTAAACCTGCGTGGTAGTGGCTGAAGGTCTTTAGCTGGGAAACACACACAAAACCCAGTCAGGGACCTTTATTGGTTTTAGGGGGCCTCAGGTACTGCATCCATTTTTCTATCATTAAGAAGAACGATAAAAATTTTAAACATGCTGTTTTGTTAATGCCAGTGAATTAAACCCAAACCCTGCAATGGCCTCCTCAACCATCAGCAAAGGAGAACTTGGGGAAAAAAGGAATCCGATTTTCAAAGACGGCATGTACCCAGGAAGACTTCTTCTTTATATAACAGCTGTGCATGCTACCCTCAAAAACTAACCACCAAGGGGGGGTAAAAACCAGAACTAATGTTTTATAGCCTTCACACCTCTCGTTTTCAGAATGCAAGGTAAACTCTTCATTTTGGTCACACTGTTTTGAAGTGAGCTGATTACTAACTGATTATGATAACTTATCATATCCTAAACAGCATGAAGTTTATGCCACACTCAAAGCACAGTTCTGTACAGCCTTGCTAGTTTATTTTACCAATTTGTGAGACATTAATCTCAAATGTGTCACTCTGCTGCAAGTTCCTGATACCGGCTCTCTGAGCCTGTCCTTGGCACAACATCTGTGTGGCAAGCAGGTGTGGTCAATTCTCCACATTTACCTTGTTCAAAACAACAGTAGTTTTTAATATTTGTCTAGTATTTCCACTGTAATCTATTTGCTGTGCTGCTACAGAGCTTTAAATCATACAGAGTTAAGTGCCTATAGTTAGTTTTAAGAATTCTCATTGGCATCAGCTTAAGACCTCATGAGAAATATAGAGCACTAAACATATGTCACCTCTTAAATCATGAAACAACCCAATGGCTGAAGTCCTACCTCCTCTCCACCTGCAGTTTAACTTTACTGAGACAATATGGGAAGGTAAACAGTCCCCCCCTTTGGAAAACAAGAAGCACTGATAAAATAATTTGTATGCTAATTTATAGTGCACTGATGCAGGAATGGGATGAGAAAAATGTAGAGAATATGGTACCTTATTACACTGCTAATACTGAAAGACAAGAAATTCTGCTGTAGGTAAGTCTTAAAATTTATATTAGTGCTGTTGTACCCTAGACTTGTGCCACTTTAATCTGAGGATAAGAATCTTACAGGAAGAATGTGATTGCTGATGAGGCACATTTATATTTATGAAAAAACATGGCATCAGTGACATGCTGTCAGCTTAATAGCACACTTATTTTGGGCAGTGGATCCCAGGGCAGAGATTTCTGATGGAGGAAAATAAGGAATGCTGAATATAGATCATGAGGTTCCCAAAAAGAGGATAATGGAGATTGGGAACAGAGCTTGGAATAGTGGATTTTAAAGAGCTGGCTCCACTAGACTGTACTGAATAGCCCTCTCATAGCATCACTATTGGAAAATACAGAAAGCATAAACTTAAAAAAAAAAATAAAAAAAAAGGCTTCAAGCAATTTATTCAATTTATTTCAATTTATTTTCCATTCCAGGAAAAGTGATTCAAACTATGCTATCAAGAAAAGAGATGACCAGGTTTTCAGAGCTTTTTTTAAAAAAAACCAGTGATTATCTCCAGCCAAAAAACTTACAGCTTAAACCTATGTTAACAAAAGAACTGCTTGCCCTTTGCTTTTAGATTATATCAGATTCCTTCTTTATCATATGATTAAAGCAATTGATTTAAACTACACATTCAGAGTCAGCAAAGTATGGGACATCAGCAAAGCAGCCTCTCGAGTTATATGAAGATGGTAGGCAAGTTGCTAGAAAAGTCATTTGGACTGAACCATTATTTCTAAGCCTTGAAAAAAGAAAGAGAAAAAATCAACCAGAGCACACGAGCAAAGGCATCAAGCAGCTCTTGCTTTGACAATAATATAGCAGATTTTTAGACACAGGCTTCTTCCTTCAGACAGGACAAGTACTCTCCCCTTCTGCCTCCCCATATTCTTTATCCAGGTTTAGTAAAAATTTAGCCATACTGTAATCAGCTTCTGTCTCATCCTTTTATAAACAAACAGAAACTCACAAATAATCTCAATCTAACTTCACAACATAATAATGATTTTCAGGTCTGTTTCTTAAGTGTTTCACAGGTAAAGTTTAGAGAGATGGTATTCCTATGATCATTGAGGAATCACATTTTTATTTCCAAAGCATCAATTCATTCTTGTATCCTATAGGTCATATTATCAACTCTACAATTCTTTCTTGCATGTTCCACACCACGTAAGTGGCCCTCTATGGGAATACTACATAACAGTATGGAAGAACTCTAATCTTTATTCAACAACAAAACAAAATTACTCACTGCAATATCAATTAGGGGTGTCATGATAGAGTAAATATTGCCTTTTTACTGGGAACAGTGAAAAGAGTCCTGCACTGCCAGAGATGGAAGTGTCCTGCCACACTGTGTTCCCACAGAGGTGAACTGGACCACATCCCTCCTATCAAAAGTGGTAATAGGAAGTAATTTATGCTTGAACAGCCACTGGCTAACATTGCCTTGGAAACATATGCTTGCAATTCATATCTTGCCCTTATAAATAGCCACCTGGCCCCTGTTATCAATTTAAAATAATCTAGCCTCCAGATAGAAAAAAAAAAAATATCCTGCTGAGCTCTTATTATGTTGTTATTGCCGGGAAATGGCCTGTATAATGTCTCACTGATAAGTGTTAGAACATATATATCCAAAAGCTTTGTCAATATTTTATTTGCCATTGAAATTCAAAGTCCTTGGGAGAGACTTCTTGCTGAAAACACATGGCAGAAAACACAGAGTTGCAAATGAAAACAATAAACTCATCGAGCTGCTCTTACGGTCTGATGATCACAGTGAAATAAAGCTGCTTTGCATCTTACTGAAGGGACACCAACTGGTCATGAATTCCCAGGAAACAGCACCTGTCATGGTTGTTGTTGCTGTTATGAGCTGAAAATTAAGACAACGGGTATTATAGAATTCAATTTTGCACAGAATTTTTCAAGAGACTGAACACAAAATTCTGTATGTTTTAGCTGACTGTTGTTTGAAGCATATAGAACTTAATATACTGAATCTGCTTCTGTTGTAATGGCCCATTTTTAGATTCTAATCAGCATAAAAGCATAGAGGAACACTTTATAGATCTCTGGTAGCAGAAAGCTCGTAAGGCACTTTGTTATTTCATTTTCCATGAAAAGCAGAGATCCTGAGCATCCGAGGGGTTGGTGAAGCCCAGCCCTGCATCCATCCAGCTCCTGCAATTCCATGTGGTGGTGCTGTGCTTCACCTCCAGAGGAGCAGATCTCGGTTCCCAGGGCTGGGGGATCAGGCAGCAGCAGCAAGTGGTGCTTCAGGGCCCCAGTCCTTGCCAGGCTGAGCAGCTGCACTGTGCTCTGCCTTTCAGCAACAGCATCACACAGCAAAGACTTCTGCCTGTAAAACCCTGGCAGCTCCAAACTAGCCATGCTGAGCGTTACTAGGGGGATAGTTGGAGTGCTGAGATGCCAGAGAAAGGCCATAGATTGAAGTGCCCAAAAAAGAAGGTTATCTCCTTACCTTTTATGGATACACCTGAGCTGACTTGAAACTATATAAGGCACAGATATTGCAGAGACTTCAGCGCAGAAATGTTCTTGGAAGATTCCTGTAAGGGAAAATGAGAAAAGCTCTATTTAAATCCCCTGAAAGTTCATCTAGCAGATAAAAAACAAGGACCAGATGAAGACTCAGAGAAATAGAAATAAAGCAAATGGGAAAGAACAGAGTTCTACAACCTCAGATTCTCTCTGGAGAGATGGGGCATCTTGAATATTGCTTGAGGCCAAAATGATTCAAACTGAAACTGCTTAGTAGGTTATGAAAACACAGCAGACTTAACTTGAATGACAAATCAAAGAGAATATTTAATAACTCTGAGAAATGTAATAACCATGAATGTCAACTACTTAACTAATAAAATATCATTTTGTTATTCCATAGGGGTCACCCCTTACAGCCTTTATAGTAGCTTTATGTGCAGTTTTGAAGATTTAACACTATTTTTCTTAATAAGACAAAAGAAACTCTACAAAATTTTAAATAATAATTTCAGCTACCTATTTAAATCTATTAATTATATTTGTTTATAAATTTGTTTTAGCACTCAATGCTCTGATTTGAGGAATGATTCTAAGAGGTTGGCATGCAGCAATCTAGCCCCTGTGTGCTCAAGCAGCTCACTGCCTGGTTAAAGAGCAGTTATCCTGTTCTTAGTGAGGCAATGTGAACTACAGCCTGGCCTAGAGATTTCATATCCATTCTGCTAAGCATGACAAATACACGCACATCTGTACAATGATTTAGGTGTTTCCCCACACTTTTTCCACCTGAAATGCAAAAGCACAGGCAGCATCTTCAGTTCATTTTGTCTCAGATCCCAATGTATGTGTGTACCATGAAACTACACAGCCATTACCTCATTCCACTCTTATCTCCACAGCAGTGACTGTGAAAGATGTAGTAGATTGCTGGCCTGTCCATACTGTTCTGGAAATACAAACAGCAGCACAACCACGGGCACCCTTCCTGTTGGTTGTTTTTCATTCGTTCTGTCAGACATGAGTTTCCAAAAAAGTGCTGAACTAAAACAAGTCTTTTGGCATTGGTGTTGCTCACACACACCACAGGTACAGTGAAGTCTACTTAGAGGTCTCAACCAATATCATCAGAAAAGTTTGCCAAATCACTGGAGCAGCTGTTGTCCTGATAATAATATTTTCCTTTTCCTGCCTTTCTCCCATCTCCTGAAACTCTGAGTGTTTTCTCATGTCTATCACCAGTCACATACTTGCCCATTCTCTGAATATTATTGTTCACATTCATGAGAAGTTGTAGCATTCCCTCTATAAAAACAGTCTGTGATATCTTACAACCTCTAGTTTGTGAGGGAATGAACAGCAACAGAGACACATGTAAATATCTGGCAGACAGGAATATTCTTGTTTCTCAGGAGTGGGAATCTACATAAGAACACTTCTAATATGCTTATTTTTCAAGCAGTCTCATTCCTTGTCTGTCTTACTGGACCACCTCAGGGATTCAAGCTCAAAAATAAGTGTACAATAGTTTTTTCCTAACTGTGTCTTTTCAAATGTGTGTTCAACCCTGTGCAGAGCCCAGCCTGCTGGGTACACTGAGTGCCTCTTTCACAAGGTCAGGCCATTTCCATTGTTCCCATGGACAACTCTCTAAAGCTAAAGTGGGTTTTAAGTATTAACTTATAAAATTTAATATTCAAGACCTGGAGAGCGACTGTGCTCCTGAATGTTTTGGTACCAGTGTTACCATGTCAATGGTACATTGCATTTCTCTAGCATCTATTTTTCCACACAAATAGAGCTCAACTGCCTAATAACTCCCATCCTTTATGTTCTTTGACCCTTCCAGAGGAACACATTGTGCCACTGTAACAGACATAAGTGATGTAAACTTATACTTTTCAACAACTCAAGCAACTGGCCAGAATAAAGACCAAATTCAGAACTATTCTGAGAGTATTTGACAAAGACAAACTGCAGGACTGCAGTATTCAAAACCTCTGGGGAGCTCCCAGTAACTTGAGACAGAGTGTAATATACAATTTTCAGTGAAGTTATTTATAAGCACTGTAGACAACATGTGAAGCATTTCTTAAATAGCTTTTACAACTGCTATTGTGTGATGAGCTGGCAGCTTTTCTTGCCATGCAAAGTCCTGCAATACTGTTGCTGACACTTCATAGAATCACAGAATCAGCCAGGTTGGAAAGGACCTCTGAGATCATCAAGTCCAACCCTTCATTTTTTAATTTAATTTTTAATCCAGGCCGGGTTTTCTCCCATTCCGTACTCCGGCCAAAATCCAATCCGGGTTTCCCCCCACCCCCCAAAGCGGCCCCGGGATGCCCGGACAGAGGCACAGCAAGGTGTGAACCCCCCAAGGTGACACCAGAACAGGGTTTTATTTATTGTAGCAAACACGGAGGATCATTTCCAAAAAATCAGCCATAACCCTTGTAACTATACAAGCATGCAAGGAGTAAATGCAGTACAGCAGCTGCATCAGGCACTGGTGTCCATCTCAGACTGGTGTGAAGCAGCCACGTTACTGTTTCAGAATGTAACGGGGATGCAGAAACAGGTGTGATGGCTTTTAAGAGAGCCCTAGAGAAGTGTTCTACAAAGGGTAGATCAGTGAAGCAGTACAGCACAAATTTATTGCTGTCATACCAGACTGCTACTCAGTCTGCAGCTCAAAGATGTCGAGGGACATCTTTATATCCTAAATAAAACAAGTCATCTTACCAAAGGGTAGCGGAAGATTAGAGATTTGGAAACTCCCTCCATGGGTTCCTATGACCTGGGATGTTTATTTATGTATCCCCCATCTATTAAAAATACAGTTTCTGCTTTAAGATAGACTTTAAAACATGAAATTAAAAAGAAATAAACATTTTTACTTTGCTTGTAGAACTTTTCCATTGAAAGGTTTTTAACCTTTTTTCATCATTAGACATGAAACTAGAAATCCACTTCAGTCATGAAAATGGAAGCTGAGATTCTCCAGGTGCTGGCAATTGCAGCTTTAAGCTAAATACCAGGAACTTGAAAATAACAGCATATAGAGAACAATCTGAGGCTTCAAGATAATACTTGCTTTATTAGCTTTTGTTGCACAAATAAAAGATCTACTTAGCAGACTTTGGAAGTACCAACACCCCCCAATTTTCAGTTTAGCTGCAGGTCTCTGGAATAAAAAGCTAAACAGGTTAAAGTGTTTAAAAAATGCATCACTTCCTCCTGTTTTTACCTTGCTTCTGTGAACACATATTGTTGCTTAGACAGGGTGGAGAGGGCATAAGGTGATAGAAGAGTTAAAAAGGTTGTGACCTATAGGCAACATAGTACTGATCACACCACTTCTGAGTGGGACACCCTTACAGAGGTGTCCCTGGATCCAGAAAGTGCAAGGTAGGAGATAATCAGGAAAGCAACCAATGGACACACTATGTTGTTGCTTAAGAGATTTCAGGATTTCTACCTAAATCTGGTGAAATGCTGTGCCCATCTCAGCTAAAGCAGCTTGTAGTAGCTTAGCTTCTCTTGTAATAAACAAAAATTTGAATCATAAACATGCTTGGGTATAAGTCTTGGGGCAGGATGGAAAGTTGCACAGAGCCTTTTTTTGTACATATCTGAAGCACAAGGCAAAGGTGGCCAAGAGTTGTAGCCCAGCAGTACAGATGGGAGGAAGGGGAAGAGATTCTGTCCAGAGCTCTCCCAAGTGAGCACAGAAAGCCTGATGGGGGTGCAGTGAAACACTGAAATTCAGTCTGCTGCACAACTGAGCTAATTCAGGCCCATTTCCATGAAGCCCAGTGTAGCATGCTCAGACTCTGTGAAATCAGACACCTAAATGTGGGTTGATTTCTGCTCCCGCATTCTGTATACTCAGTCCAGCTGCTTGAAGTTTTATCTGAATTTAAACACCTCAGAAAGAGGATGCCAACACTGTAGAGTCTTCCTCCCATTGCAAAGCTGCCAGAAGCCTCTTGAAGGATTAACACACAAGCTCAGCTCTGAGGGACGAACTGCGCCAATACTTAAAGACATAAAAAAGCCAGAGCACACAGAAAACCAGGAAAAAGCTCTCACAACTGTCTACCCTGAAGCACTGATCTAAACAGCTCAAGCTACTGATGTCTGAAACTTCACTGGGGTCACAGGGCATAAAAAGAGATGTTAGCTGCAGGTGCCTCAGGATAAACTCACTCCCCCTAGAGGCAACACGGAGCATCCAGTCATGCTGCTAATGCCGAGAGGTTTGGCAGAGAGCTTGGAAGAGGTATGAGACTGTACCTAGGTTTCCAGGCTCTCCTGCATTATTTATTCTCCTAACCATTATTGGTCAAACTACAATCCAGGAATTATTTTTCATTCCTTATGTCTCCAGGTGCTAAGCCTAGGAGTAGAGCCATTTGGTAGCACTAAAGTCACAGAACCCTGCACAACACTTCTCCTCTGCATGTTTCACACCAGAGTTTGATGCCTTCACAACAGGAAACAAGCCAGAGCAAAGAACATGCTTTTCCTCTGCTCTGAGTATGAGTTAACCACCCCTTCCCCATATTTATGTGTTAAAAGAAGAAAATGATGCAGTAAGCACAAGTTGCTACTGACTGAATAGCTTCCTGTTTGCACCTTGTACTTTCCACTGAAAATTGCCACTTGAAAAATTAAGAGAAGGGAAAGAGCTTTTCAAAGATTGCGTTTTTTCACATGTGACAGGATAGCTCTTCCTAAGTCTGTACTTAACCTGAAATTGTGTTTTAGCAAGATAAGCCCAGTAGCTGATTAACAAATGCTGCTTTCATCCTGAATTACTCGGAAGCTCTGCGGAGGTCATATTAGCACCAAATGAGATGGTTTTAATCAGGGGTATAACAGCAAACACAGATTAGTTTAAATTAATGCAAAATTAAGTGGTCATCAGGGATGCTGATTTAAGCCCCTTGGAAGATAATAGAACACAATTTCAAACTGCTTCTTTTTAGTACATACTGAAGAAAGGTGTCCCTGCAGAGAGAAAAGGTGTCCCTAATATATATGATGAGAAAGGTGAGAACTTAGGGCACATCTGATACTACCTTGCTGAGTTTAAAAGTTTCAAGTAATAACACTTAATAAAGGCTCATTTTCTATTTCCAGGTCTGGTTCCTGCCCTGTGGACTCTTGACCAGCCTGAGAAGTTCAGTCTGCTCCCACGCAATGGCCTTCAAAGCTCTCAGATTTCAGCACTGCTATTCTGCTCCTCTGAACACTGGTTCAGCACAGGACAGTTTACTGCAAAAGCCTGGATTAATACAGCTATAATTTCACTTGCACAGCTGCATTTCTAGGGCAACTCCACAAGAGATGGATTTTCACTAGTGTAATAAAGAGCAGAGTTTGGTTTTCTAGAAAAGAAGGGAAGCAGCTTCGTTTCTGCACATGGGGGTATAACAGCTGGGGAACCCTTTCCCTTGAGATGGTTTACACCAGGATAAACCTACAAGACAGAGGATACTGAAACCAGATTGAAGCCTAAAGGCTTGAGGACTGGGTGTTTACTTCAAGAAGATTCAAGAAGTGCAGCTCAGACTTGCTATACATACCATCCTTGCTGGGGCCAAACACACCCTCAGCGTACACAGCCTGGCAAAAAAAGTTAGTTGTCTGATAACTTTAAACCGCATGAAAGTGAGTATGCAATAGGAATGTTCTCCCATTCTGCTTTTGTGAACTTCCAATATTTTTAGCATAAGAATAGTTTTGCACTTACCTGCAAGCAGTTTTGAGGTTTGTAGAGATCCCATTTTAATGAAGCATAGTGCCCTCTGAACATAAACAATATTAACGTAAGGTTACAAGAAGTTTCTTAAATTTTTATCAAGCATATTGGAGATTTGTTGGGCAAAATAATGTAAAAATTACTCTAAACTACATAGTAAACTCCTGAGACAGGCACTGATATGGGAATTAGGAATAGTATTTCTAAAAAAATTCAGCTGAAAAAAAAACAACCATTCACATCTGCAAAACGCTGCTCCAGATCTTTTTCAAATCAGTAGTTTAGTCATTGCAACCTAATGGCTGGCACATTGGGGGCATAACTGCTCTTAGTCCAGCTCCAAATGAAATGGTCAGAAAACATTTCACAGTGTTTTTTGGATACAGTCTCAAAGTAAACTTACATAATCATCACAAATAAATGCATTGGAGACTGAATTACCACTGATCCCTAAACCTGAAAGAACAACAGGACTGTACCTACTCTCTAGAATATCTCTTTTGTGTCCTAAATTAACCCAAATCTGTCTTTTAAATATTGCACCATATCCTGTATTTTCATATAATAAATATTGATTAAAAACTTCCAGGCAAAATTTAAAAAGTTCTGGTTTTCGTAGCTGCAGGACACCAATTAATGCAGAAAAGGAATGCAGTTCCCTTGAGAACTGCAAAGATGCAACGCCAGTAATGACAAGGAGAACATGATGCAGATCAGCAGTTAAATCATACTCCAGAAAATTCATATCCTTCACCCATTTCAGTAATTGCTTTTTCTCTGTACCTGTTTAACCCAGTGCAGAGAAATGTCAGTACTTACAAAGGTAGACAGGGAATTAGGCAATGAAAATAACAGCTATAAAACAGATGAGCTGGGCATCAAATGCTCCTGTGCACAGACATGTTCCTTTGTTCCTGTGGGTCCACATAATTTGCCAGTGTAGACACAGCCCTTCTCTCTGTAGAGGCACTAAGCTTACATGTGTTAAAGTGGAAGAGGAATGGAAAATCTATTCCTCCATGGACAAAAACTTCAAGCCTTCCCACAAACATTTTTCTTAACTGTCAAACTTTTAGTATTGGGCTTTTTTGTCATGGTATTCACCTATTCCTTCTTGATACAGTTTGCGATTGCCTTTCTGTAGTTCACTTGAGGTGAAAGAAGCTCCCTTCAAGAAAACCTTAAAAGCCTGTGATATCACTTCTCTCACATTAAGGACCTATTCACATAAATAAGGCCTTTTGCTCTTTTTCTGCATGAGCTAAATTCCACTTGAAGTATATTACGCCAGCAGGCTTTTGTATTTAATTTAAGACAAAAATGTTCTGCTTTCTCTTGCATTTAAATCTTGATTTATATCTCCTGTACTTCAATTGATGACTACGGATTGCCAAAAAACATCATCTTGTTGTTCTCTGATTGTTTTACTGCACAAAACAACCTGGCTGGCCAGTTCACTGTTTCATTCCTCTTTGTAGTTACAGCACATTTCATTTTCCCATCACATGGAAAGCACTGCACAAAACCAGCTGAAACTTCAAAAAAGAAATTATTCCTATGTCAGTAGTCACTTGTGTGCAGTGGACTTCTGTACCCAGATGACAAATACCACTGTAGGCTCTCAGTGATCATTATCAGTCAATTTTAGAACTTGAGTAAAAGTGCACTAGGAGCAAAGGCATCAATAAATACTGAAGTAACATAGGACTGTATGCACTGCCTATTATTTCCATCAAAAAATAATATATCAGCAGCAACATGTGGAGAGTAATTTCTCCAAGTTTACAGCTCAGCTCAAAGACGGAATATAGACAAATTTTTCACTAGTTTCAAGATAACTAAAAACTGCCTCCTTCATGCTGCATTTATGAGAAACTCAGATATAACAACTAGCCTGCTGAGCATGCCATAACTTATTAACCTTATACCACTATGATAAACACAATTTATTTCATATTGACTGAAAAAATGAAATCTGTACTTTATTAGGAGATTCAAAACTGAACATCAAAGAGACAGCAATTGTAAATACACTCTTGTTCTGGTTATTCCAGGCTGCTTTTACAGGAACAAACTTCAATATCAACCACATAAGTGAGAAAAAAACTTTGGGTTTTCTTAGATTCATCATCTCAAGAATTCACAAGTAATTAACTCACGTGAATTTGAATAATTAATGTCAATCCATTTTTCCAAAGTCTTTTATTACCGCACGTTCCACATTTTGTAGATTACTTAGTTCTCTGTCATTCCAGCTCCAGTAAGTTACAGTCCTTCCATTCAGATTCCTGAACCTGCCTTTAGTCTGTTCATCAGATATCCCCATACAAGCCTGTTTTCAAGGTGTTATGGACTCTTGTACATCTGTGTTTTCAGCTTCATTCCTGAGACAGGCAAGTGCACTTACAGCTTTTGTACAAAGAGATATCCAGTTGAGACAAGTACGATTTTTAGCAATACTCTTGATGTTCTTTAAAATCAAAGCTAGAAACAAAAGTGAATACAAGTAATTGTATTATACCAAAAATTGATCATGCTCTAGTTAATTATCTGTTTCACAACTATATTTCAGAAGTAGCTGATACCAGCTATAAACAGATGCAATTGAAGTAGTAGTCAGAATCCAATAGAAGTCTAACAAAATAGACAGCTGGGAATATCAGTGCAATGTTTAAAGCACAAGCACATGGAGAACAGTGGTTGATCCTGCAGGCCATGTAACATGCCCCACCCTGTAAACTGGCAAAGTAATCCTTAAAGTTTCTCAGATCAGTTCAGGAAGGATGTATTCAGTGAGATGTAATTTAATTAATGACCATCACCCATGAGCAACGCGAGATAAAATTTGTTTCAACCTCCTCTCTTCCATCCCTTCTCCAGCACAAGCATGTCCATCATTTTACCAGGCCAAAAAGTAAACTTATCAATGATCGGACCTTACCTTTTTTATATCTATTTAATTCATCCTCCCAAACCTGTAGTTTTGTTTCCAAAGGGGTTACTTGTTACAGGGGTTACTGTAACTGGGAGTTAAGGTTGTTATTTAGTAATTATACTGAAATGACTGCACAACACCTGTTTCTGAGATGCTTAGCTCCCCTGTAATCTGATGCCATGTCAGAGAGCTCTGTCATTTCTAGAGCAGAAATCACAGGCCACCCTGCAGATTCGTTCATGGGAATTTGTCCAACTAGGAAAGTCTTATCCCTGACCAACGTGAACGCTTGGATAGCCTTTGAATTCTCAGGGCTGCCAAAGTCATCTATTCAGGGGGAAAAGCCCAGTTCCCAAAGGCAAAATACACATGTAAACATTTTTAAATGATCAAAAGTTGAAGGAAGAAGCACACAAACAGGCAAAGAATGAGAGAAGAAAAAATGTTGTTTATAACATGAGACAGAGGGTTTGGTATTCCACTCACAGACAACAATAAGTTGGGACTCATTAGACACTTTGTTCCCCCAGTTATGTTGGGCAACTCATCTCCTATGTAACAGATGGTTTATTTTTCTGCTCCTCACACTTCTGGAAATCAAACTTTTCCTCAAATGATGTTATAGGAATACCAGACACTAACACAAATATTTTATTTTTTTGGAAAATACACTGAAAGGTTGAAAACCAGATTATAGAAACGAGGAAATTATTTCTTACTTCCATATTCTCCTTTTTCTCCTTTCTTTCCTTGTGGTCCTAAAGCTCCTTTTATTCCTGGAGGTCCCACTTTTCCAGGAAAACTCTTCAGGCCTCTCAATCCTTCTCCTAAATTTTAATTTAAAATAAAATTGTTTAAATGTTTTCCAAGTTTTTCTTCCACTATGTTTTCTTAGTGCTTAGAGAGAGCACCAAATACAGACTCCTTCCCCCTCTCCGTGCCCACCACTAGGAAAATAAAGCACCTCTGGAACACTGAATTACTCCTGTGGAAAGCTTCATTTACTAGGGAATGCATTACTTTGATGAAAAAGCCTTTAGTACACCTACTTATGGCACTGAAAACCCAATGAAGTAAATGCTGTCTCATGTTATTGCAGAGGTACACATGCTCTCAAACCAGAAAACCAATATACTTCAGCTGTAATCCAATCACACATCGCAGTGTATGATCTGGAAAATGAGTTAAGTCTTATGATTAAGGACACTTCTCTCAAGCGGTTTGTTGAAAGACAGTGCTGCAGAGGGTGTACTGAGGGGTATGTGGACCAGGAAATGTCTATATAGAATATCAATACACGCCACAGAAATTTTAGGCTATAGTTCATAACAAGTGGTACTGATAATGATGAGAGTTTTCTTGGAGGTTGAAAAGCAAGTGTCTAATTCCAAGATGAGTGGTATACATACGATAATACAGAAAGAATAGGATAAGAAAATGTACAGTTCCATGTGTCCTTACTAGGAGTTTGGACAGAAACTGATTTGGAAACTTGGCAGAGCATGTGACTTGGTCCTACCACATGACAGAAAGCACTTGCAGATCTATTTGCTGTTCACAGCAGCGCATGAAAAAAGTTGCCTCCGTTGTTGAGGCATAGAGAGTATGAAGCAATCAAGTTATGACCATCAGATTAGTAACCAACAAGCATGGTTTCTGATTTTGAGAGCTGGCCCCTGGAAAGAAAAAGCAGTAATAATTTAGTAGGGTATAATAGGAACTGATTCAGAGTACAAATGGTACAATCAGATTAAATTCTCATTACTCTTCTGTTTTATAGGCTGCTGTGAAAATGTATAGTATTTTTTTTTTTATTTATTAAAAGCCAAGTGTCTAGAGTAGCATTATAAATGCAGAAAGCATTTTCAGCTTCCTGAAATTGTGCAAAGTCTAAAAAAGGTTAATGGGGCAGAAAAAAAGGAGATAAGTAAAAGGACAAAATGAAACTGAATGAGGCATGAAACAAGACTAAAGGGATGATAAGGAGTGTCAAAAGCACAATTTCACTAAATGGTCATAGCTCTGTACCTGGTTCTCTCTTGGCACCTTTAGGACCATCTCTGGTGAGCCACTGACTGCAGGAGTACTGCACTGAATTTCTGTCCAGGAATACATTTTCTCTCCAGGAATACATTTTCTCTTCAGGTTGAACTTGTTACCATCAGCAGCAAAAGCCAAAGGCATTGAAAGGCTGAAAAAGAATCGTTGCTAAGTCCACAGATCTGCAACAAATCAAGCAAAGTAATTTCATTAATTTCTCCATTTACATCATTTTAAAGGGGTGCCTGGGAAATACACTCCTGTCTTCAGGCAAAAGACCAAACAAGGGATAGTATCTAAACCATTTCATGTAGCCTCTGATTGTATCTGTATGTATAGAAACCTGAAAAGAGACAACCAAGCTTCTAAGAATCTGAAAATCTCAAGGTGTAATGAAAATACCTAATATAGCAACAGTCATCAATCTTGCCATGCTGCAAATTAATTTCAATGTTTTGTTCATTGTATGTCTAAATTTAAAGCATTTATCTTCACGCCAAATAAGTCATACAGTGTTCCATTTTGGGATGAATCCTCATCTCTCCAGCTATTGTGTTTCTGTGTGGACTCTTCACAGTTATGTTGCTGTATGTCTGAACTCAAAGTGATTAAGCAGCTTCTCTTGATAGCATCTCTACTACTAGCAAACACCCACAGCTTAAAGGACAAAAAGCTTACGTGTGTTTAAGTGGCAATGATCTCGTTGCCTCCCCTATTTCTCCTTTCAAACCTTGTATATTAATAAGATACTTTCTCCTCAGTATCACACCTCAGAGTTGAAATCCTTTTGGATCCCAGATCGGCAATACTTTGCTGCCCTCTCTGAGCAGAACAGTAAGACTGTAACCATAAGGGAAGGCTCTGCATGACGTTCTGACAAGTTGAGTCACAGTAGTTGTCCTTGTTTCCAATATGAGGGTTTAACTTGAGACAATCACCCCCCACGTATTCCATGTTTATCTGAAAAAAAACCCAAAATGAAACTACCACAAATATGAGCTGATGAACTTTTACAGTAAACAGCCACATACTAAAGTCAAGTGGCCTCATTTTCTCACAGTTCTACCAGTCAAAATGAAAAAGAAACTTAGGGAAGCACCATTTGGTTGACAGATTCGGATAAGGAGAGAAAAATCAAATCCAGCATGAATTCTGCTACTCACCTCAATTATTTCTCTTCGTTTTAAGCTTCAGAAAAGACTTCCCACAGAAAGCAGCTTCCCCTGACGTGTTTCATCTGATAAAGTACAATATAAAGTATAATCATTAGTGTATTACTGTGAGAACATCATTATTAGGATAAAAAGCAGAGTTTAAGAAGTACCATATTTCTATATACTTATTTGTGCTTCCTCCATTAACTTCCCATCAAAGTCTGGGGAAGTGGTACACACCAGAATAAAATAATGAAAGGTATTTAGCTAACTAACATAATAAAACTTGAATTTTGGTTATATTTCTTATCCATCTTCATGGACTCCAGCCAGTTCTTAACAGCTCTGTAAGGATTTCCTTCTGCTGACTTTCTATACTATGTAACTATAGAATATCAGGGAAGTTGACACTGCTGATGTCTCCCATGAAGGTAACAAGACAAAGCTCAAAATAACAGCACAACAAAAGAAAACTTGAAAACAAAACGTAAGCCCTCAGATAAATCCACTCTGAGGATTGTGTGAGGTTCAGCCTCACACAAATCTCTGTTGGTTTTGCCTGCCAGGAGCTAAGATCTATTTACCTCCAAAGTTTTCCAGGGTGATCACCCAGTTCTTTACTCTAGGAGAGCCAAAGCGCCTGTTTACCCTTTGACAAACTGGTGGCAGGGTTTCCTAGCAATTCAATCAGTGAACAATGACAATTGGCACCAACAATGGCTTAGATAAAAAAGCAAAATGTTCCAAATTTCTCACAAAAATTGAATAAATCTTAAGGAACTGAAATAGAAAAAACAAGTTTTGCAATCCATATTTATATTTATAGGAGGGTAGATAATCCTACATGGAGAATCACACTGTGTGGATGTAATGAGAGTCTTCAGGTCCCAAGACACACACAGTTGCAGATTTCTCAGCAGAGATCAGAATTAGGCTTTGAAAGATGACCTGAAACTTATATTTAGCAGGTAGCTAGTTCTGCAGGTCCTATTTAAAGATATAGGTCTCAGGTAATTCTTTTATTCCTCCATGAGAAGTGCTCTAGGACATTATTCACCCAATGGAGGTAACAGCAGAGAAGAGAACCTGGAAGAGGCAGCATGAAGTTCTTGTTCCAGACCTAGTCTTGGAGGTGACAACTCTTGGTGATTAGCCCAAAAGTTGAGAGCCTGGTAGCAGAGGACAGCCCTATTGGAGGTAAGTACTAGGGAAACTGCTCCTCAAAAGTGGTCTTACATTTATACACAGGCTACTCAGAGACAGAATGATGTTAAACTGTTAGTTACATCCTCCTAACAGCCTCCTTCTCAGCCTGCTGTGCCCAGGTGGGGCAGCCTACAAAAGTCCCTTCCAACCATCATGCCTGCACCTGAAAGGCTTGCATGGCCTCACTACAGTCTAATTCTTGTTACAGTCAAAGAGATCTTTGTTTACCAACACCTTCACTTAACCATTACACAGGGAAACTCTCACTGCACCACTGCCTTGCCTGGCAGCCAGCACAACAGAAGGCAGTAGGGAAGAAGTTAGACAGAAACTTGCTGAATTTTTACCATGAGGACAACCCTGCCAAAAGAAAAAGATAAATCACCAACATTTCTACCAAAGCTGTTACTTTGTGCTTTGTTTTAGGAAGAGGTTGCTGATTGGCTAATCTCAGTCTTGCACAATCCTGATGATTGCCTACCTCAGTTTTACCACCCTTATCTAGAGGGGCTGCATATGACATTCGGGGAGTGAGCCCTTTGCTCTTTGCCTGGCCTTGGGCAGACATTGGCTGTGTTACAGTACAAACCAACAACTAAAAAATCAGCACAACTGCAGGCACTGAAAGTTTTGACTGTAAGGTTTTTTCCCCTTTATTCAGTCAATGGATAAATTTTTTAATAACCTAGGAGAGGGAAGGACATTTGAGGCTTAACTTCAGTGACTGCCTTTCCTGCAGCAGAGCTTCCACTGTCCAGCTGGCTACAATATTATTGTTTGGACATGGAAACTACAGTAGCAAGAACACAGTGTGCCAGGTAGCTCTGCAAAATTAATAACATAAAATTTAATGCTGAGGAAGAGATGTTTTAACAATTTTGCTTGCAAAAAACTTCCTTACCCAGAAGGTCTGTTAGACATCTCCAGTTGCAAAAATTAAAACTCTCCCTCCATGCAGCAGTGTCAAGATCCCATTTCTGGGGCTATTGTTCTCTGTTGTGGTGGCATCAGAGAGAAATGTAGGCTGTCAGGCTGCCTTGTATTTTTCTTGTTCAAAAGCTAGGATAAATTCAGGGTCTGTAAAAATAAAATGAACACATCAGTTCAGAGCAGTGCTACTTGTCAGGCATGATTTGATAAAAACATTGTAGAGCCAACATCATTAAAAAAGAAATTTGGAATTAGAGATTTTTTTAAAGTTATTGTTATTTTAAAGTTAGAAGCTGAAATTTCCACACTGACCTTTGCTATTTTGGCCGAGAAGCAAATGTGGGATCTATACACTGTCAAAAAATGGTATCCAGGGCTCAACTTGTAACCTTGTAACCCACAAAAATGTCTGGTTTCCTGTATGACTGTTCAACTTCCCTGAAGGCTTCTTGCCTGCAAAAGCAGAAGTATGAAGCAGATAAGATTTTCAGCAATTTCTCCACCCCTAGGGTCTCACCAGGTCAGGACACCATCTTGCTGAAACATAATTTATCACACAGTAGAAATTTTACTAAACTCTGGCAAAGCCAGCATGTTTACATGAAGTTCCAAACCTATAGAACTATTGTAAATGTCTGTATTATGTGGCAAATAAAAATCATAAGGGCAAGTGTCTTAATATTCAGAAACGATTTTTTTTCCCACTGGATTTGTAATTTCTTTTTCTATCTGTTTATGTTTATACAGCCTTCTCTTCCTCCAGAATTATTTGGTTCTCCTGATTCCAAGTTTGCATACAGAGTTCCTCACTATTTAGATCCTTCAGTGTACCTTCTTTCTGCATTTGGGGGAGTGGTCTTACATCTGCATGGTCTTTGATAGATGGTGCAGTTCTCTGCACATTTCCTTGGAGAAGCAAGCAGCTCAGCACAGGAGAACACTTGGCTTTTGAAGTTTCAAACTTGCCTTTGGAGCCATCAGTTTTGAGTATTCTTCACCAACAGCAATATCATGTGGGAACTATATCCAATTATTTTCATCACAACATAGCAGGATGACAGCTTCTAGACACTTGCAAGGGAATATATGGCTAAAGCAGTGGATAGAAATGCACAGCTAGCTCATTGATTCACTTTGATGTCAGACCATCAGAGTGCTTTTATCCCGAAACCAGGAGTTTACAAAGTGTTTCAAACTTTTCATTGAGACAATTAGAGTCAGGATTAAAGACTTTTGAAGAGCAAAACTCTAGGAATAACCTTGTTTCAGAAAAACCTCGGAGCAGGCATTATGGAGTACCATTCTTAATAGGTGCTCATACAGTGAGTGTAATTAGAGCTCTTACAAAAATATAAAGTGGAAGCTGTTCTGTGCAGGATCTTTTTCTTCTGAATCAGTAGTGATATATCCCTTGCCTGTGCATCTTACCATGCATCTGTACTTCTGCACAATAAGAAGGATGAAGTAGAGCTGAAGCTCTTTACCTGTTTCTTTCCACTTGTCAGTCTGCCAAAGAGACTGTGCAGATGAACAGTTGCCTTCTGTTTTGTTTTCTACCCTGAAATAGTCAATCCTCATTAGTGATAAAATCTTTAGGTGTCCCGTGTCCACTTTGTATACTAAAATCAAAGTAAAAGTATCAGCTGCTTGTGAGAGAACAGGGAATTTATATAGTGGGACACGCTAGGAACAATGCCACAGTAATAGCAGTTTGCAAGGTTGAGGATAATCTTTAAAGAAACTGTAAGAGAGAGAGACAGTTCTGAGGCAGACCACACCAAAAACCCCAAAAAACGTGTTTAATTCAGAGGAAGTTCTGTTTGAGATTCAAAGTTCACAATTGGTACAGGATCCCTCACTCGGGATACTGACTATTAAGAACCCATGTACTGAGCTTCTCCTCCTCTTTTGAAAATTTGCTGACTGACTTTCCCGTCACCCGAGGTAAAAGAGATCTAAGCCTTAAAAGCATGAGATTCTGAAAGAAGATAACATCAGAATGCTATTCTTACCATCCCCAGTCAGCTCTTCTGCTTTACTTACTTGGAAAAGTTTTACTATAAAGTCAAAAAAGTTCTCTCTTCACCTTCATAGAGATTTAAGGGATCCTACCTTATACATTTGTAATGTATTTGTGTATGGGCCATCCATCACTCAGCAGAAGTTTTTATCCAGCACCACTTTTCACTCAGCTTTCTGTTTGACTCCTGCAAAGAATGCATTGCTCAGTGCAACTGGAAAACTAAGCACAGTGTAAAACTGCTGCATATTTACACCTTTATATTTGAGAACAGCTACAGTCTTGTCCCAGTATTAGAATAACAAGGGAGCTGGAGAAACAGAGAATATCGCAGGCTTATGTCTGCTCCAGTACACCTACATACAAAGATAAATTACAGTGCTTCATGATAAAAGCAAGGTTTACACCTTGATATTTACTCAATTGAATCAAAAAAAAAATATATTGGTGGTTACATTCGTGTATGATGCCAAACTGTTCAGCATTATACTGCTCTGTGCAAGAAGTGGTTAAATCTTACCATCCAAAAAGTAGCAAACCAAAAATAAATGCCAATGCTTAGAGAACATTATCTATTATTGGACTAACAGAGTCTATAGACTAATGGGGGATATCTGTCCTTCGTTCAACTTGGAGGAACAGGAAATCTCTTGCTCTTTTCCTTTGCTTTTCTTTCATCTGCTGTAAATGAAATGTGAACAGAATGGGGTTATTTTCTGTTCAGATGTCTTCAAACACAGGCCAGTTCTTAATGCTTAAGGACTCATAAAACACCATGTCTGATTTCCAGCTTTTCACTTTAGCCACAACTGAGGATGTAGAATGTCAACTTTTGCCAAATTTGGATGAGCTGTTCACGCTGACAACTGATCTGTCAAGTAGAGATTTGTCAAGGGTTTTCACCATGTTGCAACAAAAATTTAAGAAGCAAAGGCCTCTACTAGTATGCAACAGCTGATATTCACATGCAGCTGAAGTTTCAGGAGCTGTAAACAATTTGCTTCTCAACTTAGGGGCACATTGAGAAAGGTTTCGTGAAGATTGAGAAGAAAAGAATCCCATGTAGATGTATTAATACAACAGGGTAGGGTCTGTTCACACTGAATATCTTCTAATATGCACAGCAAAACATGGGAAGCATGGTGTAGTCACTGAGATCACCTACCAAGGTTATGGGATCAGTAAAATCCCCACAGTTTTTCATGATTTTTCTTATGTTCTAGTAGGATTTTGCCTTTCTGTTTCTTAAAGTTAATGATTCTAGAAAAGATTCAAAATCATTAGTAGGGTCTTTAGGATCTGCATTTCCACAGCTGATCCAGAAATACTTAATATGGGAAACACCAGATGCTAACTAGGCAAATGAAAGCACAGCCAATAATAAAGTGGCCTGTAAGTGACCTCTGGTGGACAACAAGAACAGTGTTAAATTGCTTTGCTTTGTATTTTTCAAGAGAGTAGTTTATATATTTAACTACCTTACATCCATTCAGTTGAGTATTATCTAACATTGTACAATAATCAAAAACACTTTCCACTTGAACTAAAAGAATTTAATGCCAAAAAAATTGGAAACTAAAACAGGAATGGCAAAGTTTTAAATCATCAATTTTAAAAGCACCTGTAACAAGGGGGGTTCTTTACTGTGTGTATACCATTAACATTACACCACAAACAAAGTGAAGGTAAGGCAATCTTTCAGGTGAACTGAAAGGTGAACTTACAAGCAGTTTCAAAGGGAACAGGGTGATCCTTTGAGAACATGTCAGTCATTCCAAGAAACCACCAGCATTTCCCAGGTTGGGTGAGGTGTTGGAATCTGTTGCTTCCAGCACATGCAGTGGCTGATCACAGCCACTCTACTAAGACTTTATATATCTAATTTTTACAGTACAGATTATCCCCAAGGATCTTATCCTACTCCCAACTAAATATTTTTAAAGAGATTTGTAAGCTTGGGAATTTATTTTGATCTCATGGCTTGAAGAGGCTTCCAACACAGGGTTTTGGGGCCTCTGTTTGCAGAGCGCATGTACAATCTAACCAACCATAAACTTTGTGCAGATCCCTGTAGGACTGCAAATTCCCTTTTGATAATTGGACTTGCTTTCCCTTGCTACCGCTTCCTAATTTCCACATGGAGCTAAAACTCCAGTAGTTTCTCACATGGGTCTAACAATAGACGTGGGAGATGGTTTGCTGTACAGAAATAACACACTGAAATTGTTCCCAAGGAAAACCAGTATGTCTTGGCAACAGTTGTCCTGGCAACCAAGTCTCCTCACAGAGGATGATGGCCACTGATCTGTGGAAACTGATCCATGAGTCATTTTTTCGCAGAGACCTGAGTGGATAGGGGATAGAGTGGCAGAGACCCCACCATTTGGTTTCCCCCTATCACTTGCAGTGACAGGGAACTCTCACCAGTCAAAGAGGTTAACTGGAATTTTGCCTCGAACATAGATCCATGACATACTCATTATAAGGCATACTAATAGTCAGCATCTTTTCAGACAGCACTATTTTTTCTTTTTTTGTTTTTTTTTTTTTAGCTAGTCATGTTAAGGACTGGCTAAACTCTCCACCAGGAAGGAAAGCAGCACTGGAAAAATCACAGCAGAATATAAGCCAGCACAGCCAAGATAGTATTAAGCAGAGCACAGATAAAAGTGGCAGAGCGTATTTTTGTCTAAGTAGCTTTTCAGAAGACTGTTAAAGCTTTGAAGGTCTGCATAGCTTTTGATTTCATATCTTGTGTGCAGCGTGGCACAGGTGCTCATCGGGGCTAGCACTGCTCCAGAAAGGCTGTGCTGCACTTGTAACTGCTCAGCCCAGACCCGAGCCCAAATGAAGCCTGAGGCTTCAAGGAGCACAAATGGTGGTCCTCTGCCTCAGTGTGCCCGTGTTCAGCTCTCTCTGACTCCTGACTTGCTCTTTCTGCTAAAGTGGCCTTACTGCAAGTTACTATCATTTTGGGACAAAGCACATGCTCTATTGTTGCTGCTCCTTCCACTCTAAGGTTCATGCCTGGCACTCATGAACTGACATGGACAGAACATGAAAGTAGAAATGCCTCCTTTCCAGCACTGTTTGCACACCACACCCCCCCCAGGTGTAACAGCACAACAAACAAAGCATCACTTCCCAGCTAAGGCATTTCCCTCACACTCCCACCTCTGAGAGGCCCAAGCACAGTTTGCTTCAACATCTTCTGGAAACATCTGAAGTTGTTTGCTTGGTCACAGCTACGGGGCTCTCATGCTGGGACAGGGCTGCAGGGACAGCAATTCTCTTCCCAGGGAGGATGAGAAGCCCCTTGGCCACAGAGCTGCTGGTGCCCACCCATCCTGCAGGTCTGTGCTGCCTGGAAAGCCTGCCACCTGGACAAAGCAATGAAACAGAAAACAGCCATTTCATTTTCATGGGCTTCTTATCCCTGAGCAGTCCCTCTCAAAGGACACGTGTGACTGCAGTGCTCGGTCAACTGAATGACCCGCAAGAGGTGGAGTGGTGAGCAGAAACTTCAGCTATTGCAGTCTGAAATGGGTCAGTTAAAAGAAATGAGAAGTACCTGAGTCCATCCCAGCCCAAAAGAGCCAGCACTGAGGGTCAGCAAGGCTGCACCAGGATATCCCAGTCCAGAAACAGCAGCATTTGCAGCAGTTTCGCAGAAAATGATGTGAAAGAAACACTTCTGTTTCAGAAAACCTGACTTGCCAAAGAAATTATTTCCTCCTGAAATATTTCTCAGGGTTTATTCTACTGCTTTAATCTGAATTATGCCAATCTATGCATACGATGATTCTATTTAGTCATGAATATTTGGACACACACATTTTCATATAGGAGGAATGCAAAAGAGTTTATTAGAAGATAGCACAACCATTGCATCAATTCAATATTTGCACAAGAAGCAGAGAAATGTTTTTCATCAGTTTACGCTTCTCTTTCCATTACCTGCACAGTAAACTCAAACACAATAAATGTTTCAGGAGGCTATTAGGCAAGTGGACTTCCAGAGATTTTCAAGGTAAGGAAAAAAAAGCACCTCAAGCAGTAAATCATACAGCTTGAAAATTGCATAGTAAACATTTGGAGACATGTAAAATCCCACTGCTAACCTAAACGAGTAAACAACTTGAAAAAATGAGCTCAGATATAAAAATTATGAGCTGACTACAAATCAACTGCAAACACATTAAAGGCCTATATTTGTTCAAATACATTATTCATAAGAAATAATTTGAGCAGTAGTTGTATGCAATTTATGTTGCATAAACTTAAGCAAATACTTGTAACCAAAAGCTGATTTAAAGAATTAATGAGCAATCTCTAAATAAAATTCTATTTCTAAATAAAATTCTATTACTAAATAAATTCCTCCCTGATTTGCAAAGCCATATGCTTCCTTTAGCATCTATTCCAATACTTGTATTAACAGCTGAGTCCCAAGATGTTAGGATAGTGACAAAGAGCTTAGATCTGATCAAGCTCTTGCTAAGCAGGACTGATGTGAGGTAAGGGGGGAGGAACCATTGTTTTTGAAATGTTCTTAAAGTATTTAACATTCAACAGCAACACGAGCCAATTATATGTTTATGCTAAACAGCGACATTTCTTCTCTAGGATCCCTAGGATTTTTGAATTTTTAGTAAACGAATGAACAGAAATGGGAATGTACCTTTTCACCTCTACTAAAGCACTTCCACTGTCCATTGCTGGACTCCTTTGGACATCAAATTTAACAGTTAACATCTCAGGCTAAGAGGCACTGCAATATAATGTGGTATATCTGCACAGTTTGAATTGCTATACCAGTGCTGGCTGTGGAAAAACATGAAAGGTGGCTTGATTTACATTAACTGCACTGCACTAACTCCACACTCCTCTGCACTAACTTGGGACTAAACATGTGCATTATGCTGAAGTAATATTGATATTATTATTCTGTAAATTCTCATATAGAACCTTAATAAACCAGATGCTTTTGAACTGTTGGAGATAATCTTTGGGGAATGTCTACAGATTAACACCTCCAATTACTACCCTCCAAAATTATTACCCAAACAGATGAAAGAACCAGTCTGGCTTTCACAAATAGATGTCTTTTAAATATGAATTTAATTAAAGTACATATGCTGCTTGACCAAGAGTTGAGACACTGAAAAGCTTTCCTTAGACTTTTTGGCCTGTGAATTAAACACATATCAGGGATAATGTTGAACTAAACTAAAAAAGTCAAACATCTAATCCTTGCAAACAGATTACATACTTACAATTACTCTGGTACAGTAGCTCCTATTATCTACTTTCCACTAATATCTACCAGTTTTCTTGTATTCACTTTGTCTTACAAACATGACTTGTACAAATAATTTCCTATTATGTTTTCACTTATCCTTTTAACCTCTTTATTTCAAAAACATTTTTAAAGTTCTGAATAGTTTTGGAGAAGATTCCCATCTTAGCCATGGGGCAGATGCTGTTTTGCAAATTGACCTGCCTTAGAGAAATGTTCCAAACCTTTCTTGCTTCCTTGTGATGCACCCATAGACTGTTACACAGTAAATGGACAGCATTCCAGAACAAGTTGTTTCTCCCTAGTGCCTCCTCTGGATCTGACTCTTTTGAATATAAGGACAACAGAGATGAAGTTTTGCCTTTTGGTAATGTCATGCACAATTTCCTCACATTATGGACAAAAGAAAATGGACTCTCCTTTTAAAATTTGTTTGTTTTTAACCTCTGTGCCATAGTTTGGCAGAGGAGGTTTATCTAAATCCAGGTATAATTCAGATTATCTAAATCCAGGCATAATTCTGAAAAATATGGAATAGATCCCCAACATACAAAAGAAGTCCTAAAAAACCAGCCATCATTTTCTCACAACTTTTTCTAAGCTATTTTTAGATAACCATAGGATACAACAAAGCTCTTCATACATAACTGTGAATTGACTAGTAAATGACAGCTAACTAAGGTCATAGGAGGATTTACACAAATATCACCTTACAGTAAAAAGGATAGTTCATTTCCTTTCAGTGAGTCACTATCCAGCGGACACTTTTTGTTTGTCTAAAACTGATAAGAAGGGCAGCACACAAGGAAGTTAATTTTCACTGGCAACAAAGTGAATGAAGGAAGAAAGTCATGTATCTGACAAACTTCATTGTGGAATCCAAGCAGGAATGCTAAAATAGTGAATTTGTTACTGAGGTGCAATGCAGCCACAATGGGGACATCATTTATGTAATGGAATAAAGAAATGTTACATATGATATATTGACAACATATAAGGTAACATGCACGTTTATACCAAGTGAAAAATAAGCCAGGGACAGGTAGATTATAGAGTCAGAAACTACTAACTTGATACATCTTTTCACTTACCCCTTTGTCCACTGTTCTCTTTTTACCACTCTGCCTGTTTCCATTGATCTCAGTTTGAGTTTTAGGATTTTATGACTTACATGCCTAAGCATTTCTTCTGCCTGTATATCATCCATTTCAGGTGATGGTTATGCTGAGCTGCTATTTTTTTTTATAGAACTGCTCTCTGTTGACTTCCTTAGAGAAGCAAGCTCCCCAGCAGCTTGGCAATGAAGTACTTTTGATGTCTCAAGTCACCCTCAAAAATATCAGTTTTTAATATTTCTCCACCAGCACTCCTGCCTTTCGGGAACAGGAGAATGAGGAAGACCCATAAACACGATACATCTAAATTACTTTCAGCATAGTATAGCAGAGTGGCAGCTTCTGGGAGCCTGCTGAGCAAGGCCATGTTATTTCCCTGAGTGAGCCACGTGTGAGAGCACTGCATACAAATGCATGGCTGATTTGCCAATTTACTTTGATGTGAGTTCAGCTGAGGACTGCTATTCCAAATGAAGAATTGAAATGGGTTTCCAGCTCTGTAGTTCTCTGAAAAATCTAGGGGATTCAGGATCAAAGGGGTCCTGGAACAAGATACCCTGTGAGATGACCTCAGCACTGGTGTTGCTAAGATCCTGAAGAATTACTTCAGTCAGATCTCCAAGAAAGCTGCAAAAACTCTGGGAAATGTTTAGGGGTTTGATTGGTTTTATTTTTCTTGGAGGAGTATTGCATGTCTTGTATGCTCTCATTTGCTGGGTTTTGTGCCATCAGTGGTCACCACCAGCCATGGAACAGCTCGGCTGTACCCCTCAGCTGAGGACATAACAAAACCTGTCCAAATCACTTGCAAACCCAAGCCAGTCTGATTCACCTTTCAAAACATATCTGCATGAGGGAAGTGGCTAGCATAAGCTGCTGTACCTATGCTATACCAATTTTTCCTGCCTAGATATACTGGAAATATATAAATTATCACTTCAGAAGAAAATTCAGTCTCTATTCTGAAATAAAAGTCAGCACTAACCCCTAATACTGCATTTATTAAGAGGGGTTTCTGTGGTAAAATAGCAGCTGCTGTGTGTTACTGTTTGGAATCAGATTTTACTACCTTACCTAATTTCAGAATGTATTGAATTTATTGGAAAAGGTGAAGTGATATATTGTATTTATAGCTGTGCCATGCTGATGAAATAGCATTAATGTAAGGTATAATTATGGTGAGTTAATACTGGCCTTATTAGAAGCATATCTTGACTTTAGTCTCTATTACTAACTAAGCTTGGAGGCTCCTCTAGCTGGAAAGTAGCTGCTGCTTTATCTTGGTCTGCCTATCTTTCTTTAGTATCCTCCTCACCATCTCTGCTGTTCTCAGGAATTCTATAAAGTGCAAACATTTTCTTTCTCCTTATATTTGCATAGAATGGCATTAGATATTCTTGCCAGTGACATTTCTAAAGAGGAAAAAGGGGAAAGCAAGAGAAAAATATATTACTCAAATACCTGTCTTGAGAGGGTAATGAAAAGATAAGAATTGGGTAAGAATGTGGCACATTTGAGAGACATTTCTTCCATTGTCCCCCAGGCCACTTATAAGGAAACCACAAGTACAGAAAGGAAAGCCACAGAGAAACTGCAGTAGAGTGTAGAATTATGACAGGCTTTTGGGAAGGACTGATGCAGTCACTGATTTGCTGGGTAGAAGGGGCAAATCTGCCTCCTCTTATGTTGCTGAAGCTGCAGTGGTGATGCACAAGGCTACTGGTCTGTGACCAGATACTGTGGCTCCTTCATTTTTCACGTTGTCCTCTTCAGCTGCCTGCTAGCATGGATGAACAGATATGTCACCATCAGTTCAAAAAGCTGCGGAAGGGGTGGAAAGTCTCGCTCGTTTGAATCAGAAAGGTTTAAATTTTTCTGCTTAATTAGCTTCAGTAGAGATGTAAAGCTACTACCTCTTAATGTTTGCTTTTCTTCTAGCCTTCCTTCAGAGAGATGGGTTATGTGACTTTCCACAAGCTTCAGCAACCTTCTCTTCTATAATGTTTTTTATATTGGTTTAATGCCTTAATAGTATTTCCTTGCAAGCAGCTTCATTTCATGAGTACTCAATTTCTTATGATACATATATTTGCATTAGAGTGCTACTTTTCTCCTTAACTTGGTGGGGAAATTTCCAGACCTTCTCTGAAGTTAAATTTCTTTCTTCTACCCCTCTAGAAACATCAGATTTCTGCAGGACTTAACAGAAGTCAAGAATGACGTTTTCAATGGATCCAAACAACTTTAACTTTTCATATTAGCTCTTTTTAATTTTAACATAAGCATTTTAAATTGCCTTAATCATGAGCAGAAATTCTTTAACTGTAGGTCATTTTGAGCATGTTTGGTAAGGATGTTGGCTGGGCATTCCCAGATAGATAATGAATTCCTTATTTTTAGCTACAACTTATATTGAAAGAAGTTCTTGAGTCTACAGAATTTCCCTTATTCTGACCTTTCATCTCTTACTTGCTTGTATTATATAAAAAAAAAATGTACATTTTTGTATATGCTTCCAGCTCTAGTGTAAAATATTGAACTGGGCTATATATTATACAGCACAATGTTTTCCACAGAAAAAGGCATGAAGAATTCTTCAAAAACCTTCTGAAACAACACTAGTAACATTTAATTCACTACCAGACCAGAGCACATTTAAATGTGGTAACCTAGAACTAAATGAACCATGGAACAAAAATTACCTGTGGAATATTCCACTCACATTTTGCATGGTGCTCTCGTGTTCATCTAGTCTTTCATCACAGAATCACATGGAATCAGAAGATTTTATAAACCTTCAGCTCAGCTAGGCTCAGAAACCTCCTATCCATATTCAGCAGGGTGATCAGGACTGTACTAAACATAATTCTAATGCAGAATAGATGAACATAGTTACCAGTGACACAAATTGTAGGAAAGCCACTTTACTGTACCTGGATCCCTTTTTACCCCCATTTCCTTTCCTTTCTGTCTTTGCCTGGCTTTCCTTTCTGAGCAGGGCCACAGCCTGGCATGGGTTTGCAGTGGTGGGGCTGTCACTGGGACTGAAGTGCTCAGCACTGGATGCAGCAGCACTGCTCAGTCTGTCCTGGAAGAGTTAATGACAGAGTTATTGTCAGAGCTGATGACCCTCTTTAGCTGCTCATGCTCCATAAGGTAATTATATTAAATCAAGGTGGGTTGATTACCCCTTTTCATTCTGCTGCTTTTTAACACACAGAATGAGTGCTCCTGGACAGCTTGTAAATAACCCCTTTAAAAAAGAAGCCCTTAAAAAAAAGTTAATTGTAAAAATCAACTAAAATGTGGGAACCCATATGGAACTAAGGTTCCATAATATGGTACTAAGAGCCTTGGCATGTAAATACTCTCAGGTGCATTGCCCCTTGCTCAGAGTTGAGGGTCTGTGATGTCCTTTGAAAATAAAAGGACTTCAGGGACGGGGCAGATGTCCAACAGGTTTGGAAGCCTTTATTCATTGAGTGTAAGGTGATGAACTTGGTGAGGGTTTTAACTGATAATTATGGGGGGATTTCTGCTAAGCCATTAAAGTTCCCCCTTGAAAGCAAAACTCGGCTCTTATAATCCTGTCTTTTGATAGCCCTTTTTGCTGTTGTAATTGTTAGCTATAGGTAATGCCCAACTGAATCTGAACTCACAGTTTCTCTGGATTCACTGAGTTTGTTCAAATAGAACTTGAATAAAATCCAATTTCTAAGTTTATGGGTTTTTAATCAGCAGCCAAAACCCACGTAGACTGGATCTCTCTAATGTACATTCACCTTTCTGACTGTGAAAAGAGGTAGATATGCAAAGGTAAGCTGCTTTGTGTGAATGACACCAATGTATGTAAAGTCCAGAATTTTAAACTCTTAATAATAAGATGATAACAATAATAAGATAACATATCCTCCTCTGTAAATCAGGAAGCTAAAAATATGAATTACTTTAGACACACTTAATGGGTGCCACGTTATGCTATATTCAGCATTGTTACACTAGATATGTCCTCAGAATTTCATCTATATAAATACAGATTTATTGAAAAGAAGGTCAAAAAAAAAAGACTAGAGGTAGAGAGTGCACTCAGTTATTTACTCCACGATTTTCATTGTTTTGCAGAAATTTTAAGCAGAAGTAACTTTGGAGTTCAACCTTCCATTAGCCACTAAGCAATTAGCAGAATGATCTCAAATTCCTCCCCTATGCTACTTTTTTCTATGTACATTTAAATTACTAATCTAAACAAATAATCTAATTTTTTTTTCATGGTAAATAACTACATTGTACAAACAAAAGAATAGCAGCTGATAACTAATTAACTGATATGCCTATTTCATGATATAATAGAGGCCAAATATATCATAATCAGGCTTCCAGAGAATTTGATAATATCAGAAAGAATGCTTGTGCAAGTTACTGTGAGCTATTGCTTAAGCCCACCCAAAATCCACAAAAGTCTAATAAAAGCAAGGAAAATATTTCTATGGAATGTAACAACTCTGGCTCATACCTCTGTCAGAGTCAATTTGCATAATGCTGAACTTAGCAGTAAATACAAAATCTGAAATACAAACAGATTTTTCTTCTGCAATATGTTCTCCTCAGTTCATGGTCTTCAGATTACATCTGGAATTCCCAGTATTTTTCCCCACTCCCAGCTGTCATCTTATCTATTGTATAAAGCAGACATGTAATTATGGGCTGCTGTGAAAGACATTCAACAGAGATGCCCCTACCTACAGCAGAGAAGTGAAAGAACTGATGATGCTTCTCTTCAGTTTCATTCACATGATTTTTCCCCTGTGATCAAAATGTCAGATTTTATGATTTCATTAATTTACAGCCCAGTGCTCAAAAACTATCAGAGCTGAATAATCAAAATATTATTAGAGCTTTATAACGCTGTCTACCACAGCTAGTCATTAGAGGACTTCCCTATCATCTTCTAGCTATTTCCACATATATTTAAACCGCAAGGATTTCTTCCTTGAGCCATGATTAGCAAAAGCAGGGCGTGCCAAGTTACTAACTCAGTAACTATATAGCCTAAGATAAAGGTTTTGAAAAGTGACAAAGAAGCTGATTTTCCTTAAACCAGTTTAAAAGGAATAAAAATCTTGGCACTATATGATGCTACTCGAGTACCCAAAAGTCAGGTCTTCTCATGTTGTTTATCAGAGGACAATATTGACCCCAAGTCATTCCTTGACCTCAGAGGAGATAGCGTTTTACAGGTTGCCCTCATATGTCTGGTTACAAAGAATCTAAATACAATAGCTTCCACCTTCTAAAATATGGCTGAAATGACAAGCCTGAATTTATTTTTAACATATTGGTTAGAATTAGGTGTAAGATATTAAACTCCTTCTATTTCTTAATTATATTACTTTCATATCTAATTTAGATTTTAAATTATTTTCTCAACAGGGACAGTATTTTCAATGAAACCTGGAGAATTTCTAATTCTGCTTTAACATGTTCAAAGACACCTAGGTTAGCATTCTAATAAAAATGGCTCTGAATTTATCACCTATGTTATGCCACTTGTGAATTCTCTGACATTAAAGAAACACTGAGGAGACTCTAGTCTAAAAAAATGTACTTTAGCATCTAAGCAGCTACAACACCATCAAGACGACAAGGCTGAATTCTAGTGCTTACCTGAGTGTTGCAGTAGGTTTGCAAGTACCAAGACTTGGGTAGCCAGCTTTACATCATTAGTCAGAAATGGTTCTCAAATACAAGCCTGCAAAAAATTTCCAGATGCAAAAAGGAATGTTTTTGAGGCTGAGACAAGAAATATCCTAGCTATGTTATTTACTATTTGTGTATTCTTGAAAAAAAATTTAAAACAGGTTTATAGCACTACATAATATAAAATAACAATCCTTTGGATCAACTCAAATAGAAGTTAGAGCCATGAATACACATAAAATAAATAATTGCACATCCCAATTTAACTTTTCTCCTTTAAAGCCATCCATCCCATTTCTTCATTACTAATTTTACTTAGTACACAAACACTGGGCTCCTATTTTGAAAGTCTGAGTTGGATTAGAGCTGGCAGTTATCATGTAGGGATTTCACCAGGGCAGGAGGATGTGAAACTGTTGGTAGCAGTACCATTCAACTGCTACTTGCAATCAGGGTATCTTGATGCAACATAAGGTACATACATGATTCAAAACACCTAAGGGCAAGCTAAACATCTACACTAGCAATTATTTGCATACATACATACAAACAGAAGTTTCAGTACTCAGACAGATGGCTTTTATTCTTCGGTCTTTCAGACAGGTCCAGTTAAATTCTAAATGTTTGAACACTTCCTCATGTTTGAACATCCCTCTCTCCATGTCTGTACAAAGAGTTGTTGAACTTGCCCTCTAAATCATTTATGATTTGTAGTAAAATGGCTGCACATTTTCAACGCACGAACCTCCTACTCCTGTCCTGTCATTTCCATGGGAGGGAGCTATTTGTGTAACCACAATCTTTAGGTAGGCAGTTATTCTTAAGAAAATTAAATTCTGTGTTTGTAGCCTCACGTACATGCTTTAAACGCATGATTTTTGCAATATTTATGCTTGGTAGTCACAATTGCATATTTGTCACAGGAATAATTTTGCATCAGCTCTAATAGTCATTTATGTCTCAAGTTTTCTGTTTAACAGTAGAAATAGAGGAAAGGAGAAGAATTAAAATCCAGCATTAGGGTTCAAAACAAGTTATGAGCACATACTGCAATGGCTGCAAAAAAACCCCTGCACATTTACTACCTAAAATGCAAATGTTTTAAGGAAACAAAACTTTGACAAATCATGTACTGCTTCCTCTTGAAAGAACATAACTAAGAAACATAAAAGACATAAGTAATTTTGGAATTGTGATTTACAAGATTCTTACAGTAAACCCTTCCTTTAGAATCTGGCTCTTTATACACACAGGTATGTATACATGTACACTAGGGATGTACATGTACATTATGGGTTAAGTGTCAGGAGCTTTTGTGTCTCAGCTGTGCCAGTTTACAGTAAGCAGGAATGGCACTTACCATACTTGATGTTATGACCACAAGAGAGATCAAAAACAATGGAAAGTTTAATGTTGACACAGGAAAGCAGGAAAAAGCACAGTGAATTGACCACTGCATCGTCTGCTGCAGGTTATTCTGATGATTCACTTTATTTTACCTGTATACACACCTGGCTTTTCAGCAATGAAGAGCAATTATTTACAAAAATCACAGAATCTTCTAAAAAGTATCCTCAGTAAAACGTGTTTCAATCTATGTGGTTTTGCTACTCTCCATTTAAACTAGTTCTCTTTCTGTGTAAAACATGGACTACTCTGAGATTGAATAGGGTGTGCCCCTGCCTGTTTCCCCCACCTTCCCTTCACACTCTGTTCTAAAGAAGCACAAAGATTAAAAAAAGAAAAACTATGCATATATAAAAAAATGTCTATAGATATTAAAGTAAGTTGGTAGGAGGCTTATGCTTTGACAGAATCTCATTACTCTGGGATATCAAAAAGACTGACCTTTAAGAACAGACTTTAACACTGTTCTGGTCAAATGTATCCCACCGGAAATGTTTCTATACTTTTCAGCCTCTGACAGCCTTTAAGAGATCCTAATTCTAGAGTTTTTCAGATAACAAACCAGCCTACAACCTGACCTTACTAAGAGTAGTAATTAGGAAGTGAGAAAGTTGAGTTTAGGGTAACAGGAATTCTTTCAGAAAATACATTTCAGAAGGAACACAGGAGGACAAACACTAGAATAAAGAGTTAATCTTGGTAGTCCAGCACCATTTCTGAAACTCTAAGAGAAAGACCATCAAATTCCTATTTCCAGTTATCAATAGATTTCAAATAGAGATTACAGGATTGTTGCTACCTGTTCCATAGAAAGGACACTACTTTTCAATTCTTTATTTTCCCTTACAGCAGAGAATGACAAAAGCAGAAAGATCACACATGGCAACTAAAATAGTGTTTTTTCTTCCAGGCAGAGAATGAGAAAGAAAGCAAGGGAGAGATGTCTGTGTAGGAGAGTTTATTTGACCAAAATAGCTCAGTGACGTTGGATCTCTAAGCCGTATTGAGGCCAAGAACTTTTGGGCAGGACCCATACTCCTTGGGTCATTGATCAGCTTTACCTGTCACAGTTTATAAACTCTCTCTTGATCCCCTCCACTCCAATCAAGGCCTCAGACTCAATAAAACCCTTTCCATCAAACCCTTCCCACTGTTTCTTTTGCCCTCCTTGTGTTTGCCTGAAATTCCCCCTTACCCTCCACAGCCTGCACAGAGTTGATACGTTACAGTAGTTTGTTCAACCTTTTTTAAGTAATGCATATGATATTGATGACTTTATTAAAAAATACGTGTGCTGCTCAGTTACTCAACAAGGTCATGCTTCCTACAAGTATTTTGGCAATCTGTGAAACATTTGTTATGATTCAGTCCCTTCTACCCTAAGGGTTTTACTCACAGGACAGGATTTCTCTCAGTATTTCTATAACACTCTATCAGGTGTATCCTTTTATCCAAAAGAAAAAGGACAGAATTCATATTTTGAGGTTAACACATAATTTTTTTCCCCATGGCTGTAAGTTAAGGAAAGTGTTAGTGGGCCATTATATACAGACCTAGATGGACCATTAACTATAAAACTCATCACCATGGTTCCATTTTAAGCCAAAACTGAAGAGATCAAGTGGATAAAGTAATCCTGCAGGTGAAACACTTTAGTACAAATGACTAGAAGCAGGGTATTCTGCTGCTCAAACATCTGATGACTGTAACTTCCATCTGTGCCTTGCTGAATTCTGGCAGCAGGCTGGATTGCTTGGTCTATTATTGTTCAGACAGCAGGATGACTTTGTTATAGCAGGAGATGTGGGACAGCTTTCTGAAATAAAGGCAGCTATCAGAGCACATTGGTAACTGAAGAAACAGGACTTGAATGAGTTTATGACCTGCTTATCCATAGGCAGACAAGGCATCAAACAGGAACTGGAGTAATTTGTGCTGTCGGATATTCAGATTATGATTCAGCACATCACTGCCTCTTCAATCAATTGTGGTTTCTTACCTTGATGTACTGGGAAAATGAAGCCTTTTCTGTTTAATAATCAGGACAGGTGTTTCTACTGTCATACGAAAATAGTAGAGATGAATTAAACATTACACCTTAAATTAAGTATGTTCCGGACAAAGCATAATATATGACATGATATTCATGCTTACCTGATATGTCATGAAAGCTGTAAATCCTTCTTTTGAAAATATTTGCTGGTCTTTGTTTCTTCAAGTGAAATATACTTTTAGATGTAACTTAATAGTTGAAGACTGTACGTGCCTCTTCCGTATAAGCAAGCCAGAATTACATTATTTAACTATGTCCTTTAATTATGGGATTAATCTTCAAAGCATTGTGGAGTACATTTGCAAAGTCACAGAGAGAATAAAAGGATTATAGAGGATAAAAACCATACAGAGCACAATAGGTACCAGCGGTATAAGTGAGTGGTGACAATGAAAAGATGCACATGTGCTAAAGCTATAGTTACACACCAAGATTACAAGGAAATGAAGGAACCTTGATTCTTTTGTCCTTTTACACCTGCAAAACACACTGTGGCAGCTGTCTATACAAGGTTAGTCTGATGTTTTATAATCAGCTTTCCTGAAACTGCATGCTATGTATAAGTTGTACTCATCATCCCCAGTAGGGGAGCTGTGATATATTAGGAGCCTTCTCAAGTACAGTTCTTTATTCAAGGGAATCAGAAGATGGGAACTTCTGATTTCCTGTAATGTGCCCCACAATGTTGTTAGAATATTAAGTTAAAACATCATCCTTTTCACTGGCTTTTCAATGAGCTCTCCCAGATGACCCCTTCGTCACCCTAAACCCTCTGACTCCTCCAGTGGAAGAAAGAACATACTACAAACTAATCTCAAAAATAGTTCAAAATGGTTGGGCTTTGGTAGAGAACTGTGTGATGCTGGAATATTTGATACAATATCTATTGCCATTTTGCATAAAAAATAATATAGTTAAATGAACTGAATGTGTAGTTGATAGACTAAGAAAAGAAACAAGTCACTACTGGACTCCCTGAATTTCATGTCACGAAAAAATGAACCAACTTTAAAGGAAAAAAGACAGTTATCTCTATTAGAAAAGGTCTTCCTTTGTCTGTCACTGCACGGAGATATTTTTACTTCAACACCTTCAATACCTGTGATTACACTATGTGCAATTTTTTATGGTACTTTTTCCTTCATAAAAAAGCATAACAATCTATCTTTTGACATGAAATCTAACCTAATGATACCAAGAATGCTGAGCATAACTTACTTGAGGGTATTGGTTAATTTGTCTCCCATGGAATTAAAATCTGTGCAAATAATTAGCATAAAATATATGCATTACTTATCTAAAATAAATGGCCCATTGGCCATATATCTAGCTATGTACTTCATGTAGGATATACTTTTAGACAGAAATGTTTCCTTTATGTACAGAAATCAGTTCATTATTTTTCTCTTAGGCATTAAAAAATGGTGACTTACACTCAGAAGCTCGTGGTATTAGTGCTCTGAACTTCAGTTTTCACAGTTACATGCTCCACAACACAGCAGAAATCTTTGGGAGAAAAAAAATCAGTGTAGGAGGGTGAATGGAACTAAATGAGATGGTCAAACATCAGGGAGAATTCAGAGAGGCAGCCAGGGGAGGCAGGAGAGAATACCTTGTATTTAAAGCCAAGCTGCCTGCTTGCTTCATTTTAACACCAATGGAATATGTGGTAGCAACATCTTTGTTCCTCCCTGAGCACAGCAGAAGGATCCTGACCAGAGCCCTGACTCTCTTCACAGCTCTGCTGCAGTCTCCAAATGCCCCAAGGAAGACCAGTAACTACTGCAGGCGTTGTTTGGTGCTACAGAGAGAAGCAAAAATGTGCTTGCTGTATCCCTGCATCAGTGTGCCAGTTGCTCAAATATAAGGAGACACAAAGGGACCAGAACGACCTTTGTTAAAAACTGAGAAACAAACCAACCAACTTTCCCTACCCTGCTGGGGTAGGAAAAATAATTGAGGAAAACAACTATTTTATTCATTCCTTGAGACACAAATCCAACAGATTTGCCCCGCTATGACGTTATGGTTATGTAGAATTTCCTGGCTGAAAAAGTACTTATATCCACTAAAAGGCAGCCGGTGTCTGTACTGAGTAACATGTTGGAGACTGAACTGTCTGTGGAGACCTCTCATGTTCTTTTCATGTTCTACATCAAATCCTACCAGAGGACATGCAGTCTAGCAGAAGGCAAAGAGGTCAAATTACTCACCATTCTTGTAGCAATTCCCTTAATAATTTCTTAATATTCTTTGTTTAAACACAAAAATTATATGTTCAGTTTTACCTGCTTCCTTGTTTTTCACATTCTCCTCCTAGCCCTGGTTTGTAGGGAGATAGCTGTCTGGAAACTGTAGTCCCCAAAATCAAAGCATTCCTGGTTCCTGACCATTTCTAAGGCTACAAAGCTGTGAGGTTATCTCGAGTCTCTAGACTCACCTTTTACCCAAAATTTTGGAGCAGAAAGTAAAGCTGATAAAAATACTAGCTAGCTCTCACCACAAACGCAGTCTTTACCCTAATATTTGTTCTCTTATTTTTTTCATTGTCAGACAAAATAAAAACCTAAACACAGGTTTCTATGATAAAAGGGACTCCAACTAATAACTCTGTTAATTATACAGTAAGTGACAATTTTTTAAATTCTAAGCACAGTTTAAGTAATACCAGTCTAACAGAGAGCATTACATAGCATAAAAGTAATAGGAAACAAACTTTTCTAATTTAGTTTCCATCTACATATGTTACTTCCAATATTAGAAAACAAAATTTGTAACTCAAAATATGTTTCTTAGATGTATCTGGATTATGTGAGATTAAAGTAATTATAGCTTGAATTACTGTAACACAAGTATTCTAGATTGCCACATATCAAAAAAATAGAATTTTAATTGAATTTGGGATAGATAGGGAAAGAAGTGGTACTGCCAACAAATTTTAGGCATTATTCTAGCCATCTAGATAGCACAATCATCTACTAAGAGTCATCTAATAAAAACAATAAATTAAACTAGAAAACTCAAACTAAAAACTCATAAACCTGAAGGGAAGTATATCTGAATGCCTTGGCATACAAAATTACATATACACATGTATTAACAAAGTCTATCAAAGGACTGTGGATAACTTCACTCTGGAAAATATGCTTGCTTTGATCTGCTCTCCTAATCATCCTTGATTTTCACCAAGAACACTCTGTATAGTTTCACAAGACAACAAAGGAATAAAAATATTCTGATAAAAGCAATGGACTTGTTTTATGGCTTCCTCTTTATCTAATAAAATATTTTTCTACATAACTTGTCTTTATGGTGCTTCTGTATTTTTTAACTGGTTTTCAGAGATGATAATGGGAAGATGAATCTGTAAAGCAAACATATATTATTATATTGATACTCTTCTTTTGTTTGCAAGTAGCATCTAAAATTCATATCAAAACATGATGGGATACAAACTGGTCAGATAAATATGGAAAATTTCAAATTTTTACATATCAAGTAACCTAAACATTAGTTGCTTTCAGTAAAGCTAACACTTAAACTTTGTGTGTTTTTCTTTGACTTGCCTTTATTTTCCACTGTTTCTTCATGTATACTCTCTTGGGGTATTGTCTATATTTTTCAGCAAATACTGTCTATATTTCCCCTCCTCTACCTTCCCATAGGCTTGTGCAGGCTGCCATGCTCTCCTGGGATGCCTTTAATGTGCTCCTTTTCAGTCTGGCCTTTAATATCAAACACAAGAATTATGTATTTGTCATTTTTCCCCCTTTAAAACAAATTATTTCATAGTTCCCCTCGAGGAGCAAAAGTACAGACAAGCATGCATACCAAACTCACATGAATTTCTGCTAGTTATTGAGATGTTGGTTTGTTTTTTTTTTTCCCCACTCAGAGTATCTAATTGCCCTTTGAATTTAAATTCATATTTAAATAATGTACAAAGTAACAACTACTTTACTAGATTAAGATTTTGACAACAAACCTCCCCATCACATTTATTCCAATGCTCTTGGATTTACTGCACTTTTTATATGCTTCCACAGACCAACACGGTAATGGTTTGAAATTGCTTCTAGAGGCTGTAATGCCTGCTGAGGTACTGGGAGAGTAGATTAACATGGGTGTGATCAAAATAGATCAATGCCATCGAAATACTTCGCAGACATCCTATAGTAGGAGTCTTCAGTGTCAGAAGATGAGGAGGTTAAGGAAAGCACTGCCGATCTGTTGGGCTGAAGCTGAAACATCTCCCTGAACGTGACCGGACAGTAATTGAGCTCTTCAGAGTGTTTATTCAGCGCACAAGATAAATGAAAATTCCTGCATTAAAGCCTTTCAAGGCACCGGTTTGATTTTCTTCGCGCTTCCTGCTGTTTCTATCAGGCAGGAGCAGGGGAAAACGGGCTGGGAGAGGAGCTGAAAATAACCGTGCTGTTCATTAGGGGAGAGCAAGCTGCACCGAGCCCGAATGCCCAGACGGCGCGGTGCGTTGGCAGCGCGGGGCGGGCTCTGCAGAGCGCGGTTCCCGCCGCGGGCTCGGGCGGGCGGAGGAGCGGGGCGGCGGGCGGAGGAGCGGGGCGGCGGGCGGAGGAGCGGGCGGAGGAGCGGGACGGCGGGCGGAGGAGCGGGCGGAGGAGCGGGGCGGCGGGCGGAGCGGGGCGGCGGCCGCGAGAGGGAGCGGCAGCGCCGCAGCCTCTCCGGGAGCACCCAGCCCCGCAGCGCCTTCCCCGGCGCGGACCGAGCGCCCGCACGGCCTCCCCACCGCCCGCAATCACCTGGGCCAAAGCAGTCATTTCCTGGAGCAGAAAGCTGCCGCAGCGCTTGGTTCTGCAGGCGGGATGCCGCTGACCCCGAGAGAACCCTTTAGCAGGCAGCGGTGCCGGCGCCGCCCCGGGCTGGAAAGAGCTGCTGCTCTGGAACAGCGGGAGAAGCCAGTTTCCCACTAGTCTAGGCCACTTGCAACCAGGTTGACAACGGCTTCATTGCCTGTGTGCAATCTGCTTACCTGCCATGAATGTTGTAGTCCTATTATACAGAATATCATCCCTTTGGCAACTTAGATGCTGCCAGGTGTAGTAACAGAGCCAGAAAGAATTGGGATTTCTCCCTCAGCTGGCTAATACTTTGATTTCTCAACTCCAAATCATGCAGTGGTTTCTAACCCCAACAATACAGACTAAACTCATGAAACACCCACATCACTATCCTGCCTACACTGATGTTTCCTCAAACATAGTTATGCTGCTGCTGTGAAGAAATTTATTCACAGATCCACCTGTGACCATTCTGCACCAGAGTTAAAGCACATTGGTGGGTACAGGCAAGGCTTGTCTTCACCAGTACATCTCTGCTCTGTGGCTAGAGAATATAGCAGTCTCCACCACCACGGTTTTGATGAAATGTACTGCTGGTACGTGTCAAACAGATTTTCTCAGAGAACATTATGGTCTCTCTGAATAACTATTTTACATCTGAATCGCTAATCTGAAAATGGCACACATTCAGTCATCCCCACTTCTTTTTGGGATCCAAATTTCACTAGGTTCCACACAAGCCTATTGCTCTTGTGCACTGTGAATTATCAACTACGGCAATGCAGAGTCATGAAACTGTAACTAAAGATGATGTTCCTCATGGCAACAGAGTAAGTGCTAGGGCATCAGATGACTCACACTCTTTCCTTCTCTTGTGCTGTCTTTATGTCCTATTTGGTTGCTAATCAATTAGAAGATATGCATTAAAATGTCTTTCCTCTCTAAGCAATACTTCTGTATTAATTTTAATCATTATGCAGCACAGAGCTCCAAACTTTGCCTGACATACAGCTGAAAAAGGGTTATATTGTTACATTTAAGTATTAATCCCTTTTCTGCTTAAGTACAGATAGATTTGTTTAATCTATTTAAATTTGCCTTAATTGTTTGAGTCCATAGAAAATAGACTGTACTTTCTGCTTTATTTTAGGCAATTCCAAGAAATTAATATGCACTAAGCTGTTTCCCAAGATAGTGCAGACTTCTGTTAGTAGTTACAGTTACTAAGCAAATACAAAATACATCTCCCGGGTGAAGTAAAGACACCCCATGGTGTTTACCACTGCCTGCTTCTACCTTGATATCCTAAAATGGAGGAGGTTTCGCCATGATTTTAGATTTCAAGCAGCCATCTAACTCCTCCACTCTATGCCACTTACTCCCCCTGATATCAATCCCTTCTGAGGCGTAGAATCAATGACAACTTGCCTGTACCTGATCATCAGTCTTGAGACCACATAAGAAAAACTGGCTGTCCTTCCTTACACAGTTGCACTGAATAAAGTAAAGAAAATGTCATGTGTAACCTGGGCATTATGCCCCACCCATGCAACACTACACTCAACAAAGAGATCTGTGTACATTATTAAAAATATATTTAATATTTAATGCAAATAAATGAAAGACAATGCAAAATTGCCTATATGACAGCCAGATGAGTAGCCTCCTTCTCCGATCCTGCTTAAAAAAGAATTTTAATTTACGTCCTCTTGCATTTCTTTTAAAGCAGAACTTTAACAATTATCTCTTGGTCCTATTGCATATTACAAATAATTCCCAAGATAATTTTTTTCCCATCAAAGCATTTTTCACTCTGACTATACCCAGCTTAAAATTTAAACACCAAAGTCAGACATTGTTTCTGTTACCTTATTAAGTGTGAAATATTTTAAATGGAACACTAATGGAATAACATCCTTAATTGCTTTCTGTAAATCTTCTGGGATTCAAAGTCTTTATCACAAATACAAAAAGGCTATTCAAAAACTCTCATTTCATAAGTGTTCAAGACAAGCCACTGTGAACTGAAGTATCACTTTTGCCATATTTGCAAAAAACTTTCCCATATTTACATGTTTTACTTAAGTAATATTGCTCCTGAAACTGAAGTTAGTTTTGGAATTTGACACAAGTTAGAAAACTGAAAGATAACTGAACACATACAAAGTTTTAGTGAATAGTTCTGGTCCTCTCACCTCATGAAATCAACTTTTTTTTGTTCTCCACTGCTAAAGAACTGTCATGATCAAATAAACAGACAAGAAGCTACTATTTTCTAATTTTGCTGGCAACTGCACTTGCTTACAGTGTTCTGCAATTGTACTTTCCAAGTACAATTCTTTAGCTTGAAAGACAGGGAAGACTTCCCAGACTGAGCTTACCATCAGGTCTTTGACATTTTAATATCTTACCTGCCAATGCAAGAAAATTATAGACTATTGGGAAAAGGAATAGAATGCACGACTTCTCCCATCATCCATGGCCACTAGGAAAAAAAAAAGAACAGATTTGAGTCTTTCTAAGCAATTGATCATGTCTTCCAAACCTTTATTTACATTCTTTTAATTGCCACAAGTATTTTCTCCTACCCTTTTGACTGTCTCCTTGGTTCAAGGAGTACTGTTTTCAGGAGGAAAACGTAGAATTGAGGAAAGAGTGAAAAATGTAAGTTCTATATGAAGTCTGGGTTTGATTTTCTTTTCCTGATCTGTCAAAATGTCACCCCTGCTTTGTCAGACGTTCGTGTGGAACATCTAGGTCTCAGTGTCATGAGATAAATCTCTAACAATGTTACTTAATGGAAATATCTGAGTATCTACAAAGGTGCAAATAAAATCAGAATCTGGCCTAGAGCTCATACTTTACCAGTAATTTGTATTTACCTCATTTCATCTACAGACTCTCTCTCTCTTTTTTCTCTTTTTTCCTCTTCCCTACAACATTCCAAAAATCATATTTTGGAATAGAAAGTTTCCTGGTTTGAATGAGTGGTTTTTTAAGTTAGAAAAATCCATTTGGCTGCATTACAGCCACATAAAACTAAAATAAAATCTTTTCTGATTTAAAATTTTTTTATGTATGCTTTTCCTTTCACAGATGCCATAAAGATTGCTTTTATTAATGAAATTTAGAATGCAAAGAATATATGCTTTAAGTTCAAATAGTGTGACACATTAAAAAAAAATTGCATGTTAAAAATAGCTTTGATTAAATGTATTAAGATAAGAATATACTCCAAATTTAGGAAAAGTATGTGCCATTTCAATAATTTAAAAAAGTCAAAATTATATCTTTCATTTTCTGATCCCTTTCACCCATCCCATTTTTGGGGAAGCACACAGGGATGGGGAAATATTGTTATTGGTTTTTTCTATGATGTCTTTTAAAGGATCACTTCTAGTACTGGGTGTTTTTTACCCATTTTATTGGGAGTAGGATCAGGTCCAAATCATATTTTGCTTCCATGATGACTGATGTGTATAAATATTCATGAGTCAACACCTGGGGTTGGCTATTTTCTAAAATCTGTATAACTGTTATTGCAGTTGTAACTGTGAACTGCAACATCTCATTTGAATTCATGAGGCCTGTTATAAATTTTAAATATATATGAAATGATATTAAAGTCTAATGAAGAACAAGAATCCCATCTGCTACCTGCACTCTAGCAATACCTGCATAAGAGGGAAATAGTAATCTAAGCAAAGAAGATGGAAACTTGTTTGTTTATTAAAACTTTAAATTTGTTTTGATCATCCCTTCTAATCCCTGTTGATAAAAATCATGTTCCAAAGTGGCATCGTTCCAGATCTCTGCAGAGATCTTGGAGTTTTAAGCCACTAGAATTTTGGCAGAGCATCTAACTGCCATATTTTTCTTAAAGAAGAAAACTACTTAAATTCCCTAGGAGAAGCCTATTTTATAGGCAACTTTGCTCACATATGAGACTCTATGGAGGACGCATGCTCTCTTATTTCTGTGGACTGTAAGACAAATTAAATTTAGGGTTTTCAACTTAATTTTGCATCATGAGAATTGCAGGTACAAAAACGATACTACTTGCACATTCATACTACTGCAGAGACGCAAGATGTTCTTCATGGTACTAAAAAAATATATATTTTCTCACTTGTAAATACTTTTCAGAACTGTTTTTCCACAAAATTCTATCACGAGTTATTTCTGAGCTTAGACACAGAGAAAGATTTAGCTCTCCAAAGTGACTACAGAGAAGTTGTGAATACTTTAGAACATTGGTACCCTTGGTATGATCTTGGTATCCTCTGCATAGGGATAATAGGACATCATAGTATACCTTGAGAGTGCATTTTTTGTTGCTCTTTAAAATTCCATTTGTGGTGAAGAGAGGAGGAGGAAAGTTTTCTGCTCATATCAGCAAGGCTAGTGTTTCACAGTGTGCCATGCCAGTCCCAGTCACTGCCATCACTCACTGTAATGACCCAAAGGCCCATCCAAACCACTCATAGACTATTTGTAATATAATGAGGCATCACTACTGACTGTAACTGTGCCTAATATCTAATTTACAAAGAAAATATTTTTAACTGAGTTTTTATAAAACCTAGAGAGTAACTGAAGAAGTCTGACACACTGGTGAGCTGTGGATTGAGACAAGTGTTTATGTATAGGTAAGTACTAAAACTATGCCACACTTTGCTGAGAATATCTGCATTTGCTAGAGTACAAAGGCATAACAGTATCCAATAGTCTGACACTTATGCTTAAAACTATTTTCATTACACATGCCAATGTGATCCCTAAACTTGTTTCTGAACAGCAGCAATCAGATTTGACTTGCAGAAGCAGCAAAACTCTAGCTACAAGGAAGAATCAGACAGCACTCTGCAGCCCAATGCAGTGAGAAACCCAGACAAGACTCAGAGTTCTATAAGCTAATAAAGCTGCTCAATTAATTTAATCTCAAGTTTGTCCCAGTATTCATGGTCACCATTTCTGGTTATTCTCTTACTTTTCTAAACATGATGGAATAAGACAAACTGTCCATTTATTTATAACTTGTGTTGCCTGCAATAATTCATGCTGCCTGAAATAATGCTGACACTAATAACACAGATCAGTAAGAAAATGAGAAAACACTAACATCTGTATTTTAAAATATATATGGATATATGTAACAGTAAAGATCACGCTTTTAAGTTAAAATCTATTTACTCATCATGCCAGATGACAACCAGGGTTCTAACCTGAGAGCTTCCTGACATCTCATTTCCCTTTTAGTATTTTCTAGGTTCCCTAAGCCCATATACTTCCAAGTGTAAATGGAAGAATCTGTCATACCACCAGAAAAATAGCTGCTTGTCAGTTACTTCTGTAGTCACTGAAGGCAATGATATTAAAAAAACTTAGAATAAAACCTAATTTATAGCAACTCAGATGGAAAATTTAGTGCTGTTCACATAAAACCTATGCACATTCACAGTTCACTATTACCTATTAGTTACAAATGAAAAATAGAAATGATATACTGTGAATATTTACAGGATAAAAGCAGTCCAAGCAAGTGCCAATGGAACAATGACACAGGGCCATACTGCTTGTAGATAACATGCTCAATTCTTAGAAAAGACAGATTTGGATTTAAAAAAGATCTTATATGTTAAATGCTTAAATCATCGGAAGAGAAGCCAGACTACCTTATGTTAGTTAAAACTGTGAGACACAATCTTTTCTCATTTGTGGTCTTTATGGATTTGAGTTTGGGCCTTCACTGGCTTGGGGATTCTTTTTTTTTTTTTTTTTAACACTATTAACATCCAAATTGCACTCTGAATATGGTCCAATCTTGTCATGTTGATACAAGCCTCCACAAATAATTACAGTTCTGATTTTCTATAGTTTCTAAGTAGACTTCTAAAGGAAACAGTCCCCCCACCAGAAAAACCCAAACAAGCAAACAAAACCTAAAAACCCAAACCAATGAAAACATAAACGGGTTTGTTCTTTCACGGCAAGAAACTGCAAACTTGATAATCTCGTAGGTCCTACAGCCATCTAGGGAAGT